GTTTGGTATAATCTACCGTATCGTATGTACATGTGTTTACCGTATCCAGGAACCGATAAACCTAAAGCATTGGTTATAGATATTCGGTAATGTCGATCATCTGTTCCGAGCTCGTTTTTATTTCCATCAACGGAAAGTTTCTGAACTTGCAATAATGAGGTAGAAAAATCAAGTCAAACAACTTCAGTATTGCCTGCTGAATTTATGTACATGTTGTTGAGATATAGGGGCTAATGAGTATGCTATTGGCATCGGCTGTATTCCGTAATAGGCTACAATACGTAATAGCATTGGCCAGTTTCTGTGTGACATAGCGATCAGTACATAGTATGCCAAACAAGGGCCTCTACATAACTTGCCGGGCGTTGTTAGTGTTCGATTAAATTAGTTCCCCAAATGAAAACTGAGCGAGGTATCTAATAATTATAATTAGACCTAGTTATCCAATCTTTCCCTATGTAAATGAAGAAAAGTCAACGCCGTCGCTATGCAAGATAGACCCTCACATAAAAGTATTCTTGAATAAATCCGGGGTATTATGACCTTGCATGACCGTCAACCTCCTCATCATTCTGCCCATCGTAACCGGAAAGAACTCCTTGACCTTCGACACCGTTGCCAAATCTGCCCTCATAAATATCGTCTCTGCTCTTAAAGCCCTCGATTACCTCGGCCAGTTTTTCTCCTTCGAACTTGCCGCGTTCGACATTGACGAAATATATAAATGGTGCAGGAAGGCTGACCAACGCCGCCAAGAACCAAAATGCCGGTCTAATTTCACCAGATGCGTCTATAATAGCTCCCACTATAACAGGTCCGAATATGCTTGAGCCTTTGTCGGTAATAGCGTACAATGCATAAAAAGCAGCTTCGGAGCCGGGAGGTATCAGTTCTCCGTAAAGTGATCGGCAATATGAACTAAGTCCGCCGAGGACGAGACCGTAAACGGCAGCTAGGGGGTACATTTCCCACGGCTGTTGAAGCCCGAAAACTCCCCATCGTTGGACTAAAGGCAAGTAGCCTAGAAGACCATAAATAGGTATGATCTCAAAGAGGGCGATGCAGCTCAACACAGTCTGATGGGGTCGCAACTTGAAATACTTGGCGACGAACGACCAACCGAAGGCACCTAAGACACCCGTAGTCGTAGATATAACGTTAATCATCCCTAGCGCCCACGGTTCCATGTGCAGGGTCGTCTTTGCAAATAATATGGCAGTTGAAGATGTCGTCGCGATAGCGTCGGAAATCAGAAACCAGCTAACCAAAAACAAGACAACATCGATCAAACGTCGTGCTAGCTTAACCGTCCGGAATAAATTCTTCCACGAGTAGGCGATATAAGATATCCAAGCACGAGCGCCTCGGTGTTGGCTCTCTGCGAGGGGAGGCCCAGGTCTAGCTCTCAGCCATATAGCTGCTGGTATCGTAAAAACGGCCCACCAAGCCCCGATACAAAATAGCACGACCCGTTGCGACCAAACAGAACTATGCATGCTCACTAATATTAATATGGAGGCGCATTGCACGAACAATGCAGCACCGTAACCGATCCCAATCCCCTTCGCGGATATCTCGCTGGACAGTTGAAGCTCGATAGAGGTAAGCTCCTCGTGAGTAGGGATTCGTCGCAAGTCGTGGACGTCGGAGCTGCCGTCATTTTGCGGGAGCAAGGGGGTTGTCGGATCATTTGGGGGATGCTCAGCCAGGGTGGGGGATGTCGACCGAGAATGAGTATCGATTGCAGTATCCGATTCCAGGTCGTCATCTTCGGATATGCCGGTTACGGATTCCAATACTTTCGGATGGTGGCGGACGAGGAGAGGAAGGAAGGAGTTTAACAGAACGAAGGACGCCCCGAAAGACGTGTTAGAGACGATAGCCAGCAGCGCGCCGAATATATATATCTCTTTAGAGATGAATATATAGCACATGACACAAAAGCTTCCAATCCACGCAAATGTCAATAATAATCGCTTTCGATAGTTGCCATGATCGGCCGCGCAGCTGATGCTGACTACTAGTAATGCCTGGAGTAGTACACTTATACTAAAGGTGTACATAGCGAAGCTAGCCGTATTGATCTCGATACCGACGACAGTGACGATACACGGACCGTCCGAAGTTCTCGTGCAGGGGCTTTCCCGATCCCTCAAGAGGACGCCATTTTCCCTGGCCAAGCTCTCTAATAGAATCGGAATAAATGAAGCTATTCGCGTTTGGTAAGCTCACGTTTACTAGTTATATACTGGGTAGTTGTGATGATAGTGCGTGAGGATTCTCGAATATGATAGAGGATGTAGCTACTCACAGATGGCTAGTGATTGTCAGCATTATTTCCAGTGCTTCCAGCGAATAAAAAGAGCAAGAGCTTATATTTACTAACCGCATATTACGTAGGTCTCGGCGGCGAAGGCATACATGTACCAACCAGCAAGCTCCTTCTTACTAGTTGGGCGAGTATCTTCGCCATGATAGCGACCGAAGGGGGAGCCGTTCTCGATGCTGGGCGTGGGTGTCATTCTGCCTGACTCGGTGGATGTTGATCGCTCATCGTCAGCTTCGAAGGAGGAAGAGTGAGAACGAAGGGAGTATTTAGAGACGATGGACTGGACTGAAAGTAAGCGAGAATTTGGAGCTGGGCGCCGAAGCTGGTCATCATTCCTAGGGACCATTATTGGATGGAGGCGGTAGGTTAAGTTTAAGGAACGTGACGAAATAGCGTCGCGTTACACTGAACTAGGTTGGGGCAGTCAGCTGGAGCCTGAGGGCCTGGGGGTGCCTCATCAGCTCTCATTAGGGGGCCCCTGACCTTAAACTTCCGACCTAAACCTTAAAAAGCTCCCGCTGTCAGCAGTGCCTGGGTCCAGTTTGGGGAACTGTGAGCCCCAATCGGCGGAGTCTAATGTTCCATAATAATCAAAAAGGCCGTGCCTACCTAACCTTATTGCAAGAGCTTGCATCAATTAATTGAATATGCAGGCCTAAACCATCAACTAACTGTAGCATAAAAATGTCAATGGGTTGAACCTGCTTCGTCGTGTTCTTGGTCCGGGTCCGCTCCTCTCCAGCCTCCAACCAAAGTTACCATCTAGTGAACCTCTTCTCCTCGCCTGTTAGCCTATTAAATGCGGAGGATCTACCGGCACTTTGACCTAGTTATCATAGTTGGTTTCGAGCCTCCGCCTGGGGTTCAGGAAACGAATGTCTTTTTGATTTTGATTTTCAGCACGCGATATAACGCAATATTTGTGGCAGCAATCGTGAGAGGAAGCAATTCAATCTGGACTGGATGGATGAACTATGAATGAATAGTTGAAGAAACAAAACGGCCATCTCTCTCATAAAGAAATGACGGATCGTTGGTACAAACTATGTACTCTAGGTGCATACCTTACCCAAAAGCTAAGCTGCTTTCTAACAAGCTACCCCTCGTTCGTGGTCTGATGATGGTTCACGAGCAGCAAGGCATGACGTCGCAGGGGAAATATGAAGTAAAGCTGAGGGCAGGGATCGCCACTTAGGTAACCCCATGGGACGTCGGGGTTGTTCACGACCCGACACTCACGAGTCACCACTCGCATGAAATTTAAGAATAAGTGATGAAGGTTTCCTTTCTATGAGGAGAAGAGACTCCCATCTCATCCCCCCTTTAATAATTAGAGTATTACTACAGGACTATGTTCAAGCTATACGACAGCAAACCATAGCAGCTTCGAGAATCTCGTTATTCCTTCCAGACAACATTCTCGGACTACGGACTACGTAGTAACTAACTCGCCGCGGTATTCCTGAATGGGACCCTATTCCTCGATTACGCAAACATCCCCTAGCGGATCCCAGTTTTGGCAAAGCCAAACAACACCAAGCCTTTTAGCAGTTACTTACATATATGTAGTGTCCTGCTGGTTCGATCTACACCAAGATCCACGACGATCAAGTCCACTTCTCCGAAACTAACAACTAGTGTACATAACCTACTGTCACGTATAAGGCGTAATTGCTAGTTAGCAATTACGGCGTCGTTTTTGCGATACCTATGTACATAGTAGTATCCTTTCACCACACAGACATATCTAGGATTCTTGCTTTATGGATTGCTACTTGTCAGTATTGTGTCTAGACGTGAGTAGCATATTACCATCATATTGTCATCTCTCAACTAATTTAAATAGTTATTGTATAATGTAAGCGACAATTATATAGATTGGCGGATGCTACGCTCGCGGCCTTTGGATTTTCCACCAATGTTCACCTATATTCAGGATATAGGTCAGCCTTTTTTAGCCTGTATCGAGCGTGTGACATTCATTTTACCATTTTGCTCAACATGCCACTCTCTATACCACGTGTTAGCTGGCATTTACGTAGGTTCCCTTGCATATCCCCGGATCTTATACTGTAGCTTTGACGACACGATCTAGGTAGCTATTGTGTGCCTCAAGATCAACTTACTACCTATTCATCAGTTACTACATAGCAATCTAAGAGCAAGTAAAATACTTTTTTGGGAAACCGGCCTTCCCCCAGTGAAAGTGTCTAGATGTCTTTCTAAGCTAATTCCGTATTTCGTCTTCGACCTCGCCCTCTTCGTGCGCACTTTCAACGTCCCTAGGCTAGAGTAGTTTCTTGATAGGTCCGCATAAGCTCGTAACTTTGAGATGTTTTCAAGCCTTATTTCGGGGGGTTGATACCGAGCGTCTTCTATAAATACGTTCGTAAACCCCCCTTGCACTATAATGATCGCATATATACTCGATACCAGCATTGACTTTAGGCTATTATTGCGTGATGCACCCCACGGCGTTCCTTTTCGCGGAGCCGTGTAGTTCTTTCGTGGAGACAGCGGGCAGCGCTTCTTTACTCCGGTTTGCCAACGTTCATGTATAGCGCTTATTATGCTGGCGGGCCGTTGTCACCGATCGCCCCCCAATCTCGCCTTGCTGGCACATGGGAAGACGAGAAATGGGGCTCTAGACAAGCAATATTTCCTTCTTGGGAATTAACCACTATGCTATTCTATTTTACCGCTGTGAAATCTCCAAGAATTATTTTGATGGGGGGTGGCTATGGAGCCAGATCTAGCCTCACCTACCACGGGTGCTATCCTCCGTTGCACTTGGATCGACATCTATAAAGCCTGGGTAATGCCACCATTGCGCCATCTAAGAGCTTCACTGTAGTCCTTGCGGAATAACCCAGTACCCAATCGTACCGAAAAGACCGACAACATGAAGTCCACTCTCCTATACCTGCTGGCTCCTCTAGCAGCCTTAGCTGCTCCCACCGAGCTTGCCGAGCGACAGGCAACCGACAGCATCGACGCGCTGATCAAAGCCAAGGGAAAGCTATACTACGGAACCTGCGCCGACCAGAACCGTCTATCGACCGGCAAGTCCGCTGATATCATCAAGGCGGACTTCGGCCAGGTGACCCCTGAGAACAGCATGAAGTGGGATGCTACCGAGTCCTCCGAGGGCCGGTTCAACTTCGCCGGAGCCGACTACCTCGTCGACTGGGCTACTACCAACAACAAGACCATCCGCGGCCACACCCTCTGCTGGCACTCGCAGCTGCCCGGCTGGGTTCAAAACATCAGGGACAAGACGAAGCTCACCCAGGTCCTCGAGAACCACGTTACGACTCTGGTGACGCGGTACAAGGGCAAGATCTACGCCTGGGTTCGTCTCGCCGCGGTGGCAACAAAAAAATCGTTGATACAAGCGGAGCTAATTCGTATTTAGGACGTCGTGAACGAAATCTTCAACGAGGACGGTTCCCTGCGCCAGTCGGTCTTCTCTAATGTCCTGGGCGAGGACTTCGTTCGCATTGCTTTCGAAGCTGCCCGCAAAGCTGATCCCGATGCGAAGTTATACATCAACGACTACAACCTCGACCAGCCGAACTAGTACGTATATCCTATATATTATATCCCATTGTTTCCACGTGTCTTAAACAAGGGCATTATACCTATGCGTCGGGCTGTTCAGGCTCTCAACATGGACTAATCGGCCATGGATTTTCTCCAAAGACTCCTCTACCGAGCATCCGCTGACTTACGATATAGTGCCAAGCTCACCACGGGTATGGTCGCCCACGTCAAGAAGTGGATCGCTGCCGGTGTTCCCATCGACGGCATTGGATCTCAAGCCCACTTGACCGCCGGTCTCGCCAGCCAAGCCGCCGCCTCCATCAAGGCTCTCGCCGCCAGCGGTGTTAAGGAGGTTGCATTCACCGAAGTCGACATCCAGACCGCTCCCGCTAACGACTACGCCGCCGTAACCAAGGCCTGCCTGGACGAGCCCAAGTGTGTCGGTATTACCGTCTGGGGTGTCCGAGACCCGGTAAGAACAAGCCACCCCTTTCCGAATCTTTCAGAGATATACTGACCATAGACGCAACAGGACTCTTGGAGAGCCAGCACCAACCCCCTGCTGTTCGACGGCAGCTTCAACCCCAAGCCCGCGTATAACGCCGTCGTCAGCGCCCTGAAATAAGCTGATAACTGTTTTTAGACTGGCCAAGCTTGGTAAAAAAAGAATAGTTATACATATAGGAAAGGTTCGGGGATCAGCGAAACTACCTCATGATTTAACTGTATATAGTACCAAATCTGATATATAAGATTGCATATCCCTCAGACGCTCTGAAGATACAGGACTGCGCTTAAACCTCTGTTTTCAAAGTGTCACTTTACCTTAGTACCTAGGTCCGGAGTAAATATCGTGATCGCGCGGAGCAGCCTTGTAGACGGAGTGTACCTATGTAGAGAGAACGGGATATCATTGAAAATCAAGTCGAAATCGCGACCGGCAGCGCTAAGCCGCCAGTAAGAATAATAAGCGAAGAATAAGTAAGTAAGTAAGTAAGTAAGCCGGGAAGCCTTATTTCCCTTTCTTCAAACCATCCCCAACGTAATAGACGCATTCATCCATTCATCCCTTCCGCCGGCTTTCCCCACACCCCCTCCCCTCCCCTTTCCTAACCGTCCATCCCATCCCGTACGATCGCAAATTTCTCTTTATTTATTTCTTAAACACCCCGAAGATCTTATGCTTCAGCTTATCAGCCAGGCTCACGTGCGGCGCGGTGCCGGGCGTGGATGGGGTGTCGACGACTTTGTTGGCGCCGCTGCCGTGGTGCTTCTCTTGCTTTTTCAGCTTGTCCTGCTCGGACAGGTGCACGTTCGCGGCGCCGCCGCGACCTACGTGGAAGCTCTCGCCGTCGGTGGACGGGCGCGTGGCTTCCTCGGGGACGATGTCCCGGTCTGCGCGCGTTGCGGAGGGCGGTTTGTCGGCGTCGGCGATGTTGGCTGCGCCTGTTGGGGGGGTTGTTTGTTAGTGAGAGGGTGGATGGGTGGTGGGTAGATAGATAGGTAGATAGGTAGAGAAGACTTGCCTCCTCGGCCGGTGCTAAATGCGCCGTCGCCGTGGCTGCCTTGGGGACCCTGGCGCACGATTTCGCCGTCGACGTACTTGGTGTCGTCCGGGTTGATGTTACCGGCGCCGCCGCGGCCGTGAGATACTTCGGGCGTAGTCATTGTGGATGGATCTGCGAACGGAGGTCGGTCTTAGTTATGCGGTTTCTAGGAGCTGGAGGGGTTTGCTATGTATGTAAGTAGGGATTGTGAATAGGATAGGATATCCTTGTTTATCGAAGAATAACAAACAACCCTGTCGTAAATCATAGATATCTCCATTACGAGATAGATGATGGATATACGGATTGGTATGGTGACTCGCTCCTATGTTCGCTGCGTCGAGAAATATTACATACCTTTATTATGTACTATTTACGTGTGAAGTTGGGGGAAAGAATTAGGAGGGATGTCGGATGTTGTACAATACACATTGGGTATGCGAACGAGGCTCGCTCGCTCATTGATAGCCGCAACTTTTTTCCTAGCAAAACCCTCCGGTTCACCCTCCCCGTCTCATTCCGATACCTATCTGACCTTTTCATTTATATCCCTGGCCCATACCATGTCCTATCAATGCCAAAACTCGTCAGGATCCCAGGCGGCCGGTGGCTTCGTGAGATATCGTATCAGCGTCATGGAATCCAGCCACCATTACGCTGGAAGCCTTCAAGCTGGGGGTGGTTAGCCAATGACATCTCGTCGAATGCTTCTTGCGGGATTCTAGAAGGTCATTTTGCAACATAATAGGCACAGCTATTGAACCAATTGTTCCTGTTTCCCCCGTCCCTGAGTAATTCAGCCGTACCTGATGCTCCTTTACTGAGTAGAATTCCTATCTATCAGTTACCTGACGTAATTCCAGCTTCTCATCCAACGATAAGATGGCAAGCTATCACTGGCTGATCGCTAACCCCCGCAGGGGTAGCTAATGAGTGCCAAGATAAATAGTGGCCCTGTCCCCAGCTCCACGAGCTTAGAGCGACATTGGCGTATACATAGATGGGATGATAAGCGTTAGAAGATACATAGTTAAATCGTGTGGAGCTCCTTCTTTTCCAACGTACCTAGGTATTCAAAGGTATACTCATTCCCTTTCGCTATATTATGAGACGCTGATCCTTAGCTGTATCGCGAACCATATATTTCCGCGAATACACGGAAGAAATACATCTTGCCCGTTTTAATACAATGTTGAAACTTTACGGAGACGTTACGAGCCGCTTCTCCGACCAATATAACGTAACTCGTTCCCGATATACTGATACGACGAATATACCCAGATATCACTACGAGAGACTACGTCAATATCGACGAGTGGGTGATAACTTGTGATATGGACGGTTTATTGTGATGCAATTACCGTGAACTAAACTCTCAGGTTACGATAATGATGTACTGAACTGTGTTAGTTGATAGATATATAATAGGGGCCGTTCGAATGACGGAATTGCACCCTACGTAGTGGCTAATATCTCCGCTGTCGCACCTCTCTTGACTACTCGTGTCTGATATAATATACAGGTCGAAGTGTCAAACTAATGTAAAAAGATCACATGGGAATCGATATCGTGTAGTCTGTTCTGGGATACTTGATCATTATCTACATCTACAAGCGTGACGCCGCCATTCTTACCCTCTAACCCCCTTTAAATAGCTTATAACAGTTTTTTTAGCCTACGAGAGACCTGTATTATCAGATACTACTTAGTCTCCGAAGGTAGCTATCAGCAGGACGAACGAAGCCATGTTATACCACCTGTTATGATATATGAGGGTGTCTTAGTATCCCACGCAAATTGGAACGAGCAACTGACGCTTCGCTACGTTACAATCGGTCTAATATAGGTAAGTCTAATCATTGTCACCAGATACTACCAGGGGAGTGATGATAGATTTAGATTGGGGTCTTAGACTATATTGACCTGATGTTCAATACGCTTACTTGGTATCAAATATGCCCTTGGCCCGCCGGCAAGAAACATTATGGTTTTGGTTGATATTGCTTATTGATGTCGCAGTTTCAGTTTGCAATGGAAGTTCATAATCAGCGCGACATCGCAAGATTGAATACCGTTGAGTGACCAAGCCCTATATGCATATACCATCTCATCCTATTTCACGTATAAGCTGTCGCTGTTTAAAGAAAGAGTCATATTATGCCAATTAAAAGGGGTATTCTATCTAACAGGGCGTGCCATTGGCATTCCAGGCTATGTGGGCTTGCTACTGATTATGCCACATGCCTATTATTTGACATCGGTAGTTGCGAACTATGGATACGGCCGTCAATCTGGAGTAATTGCTAGCTCTTGAAATATCTCAGCTTCGCCGGTACGATTTCTCAGTTGCACTGCATGAGTCCCAACATGTTGTCTCACATGCGAGATTGATGGCGCTTAGTTTGGCCATGTGGCTGGTCGAGAAGCATAACGCGCACCTGCAGAGTGCAGGAGGCTCAGAAAGACTTCGATATTTAGGATTGCCTATAACTAGCTAAGAATACGATTCGCAGTAGTTTTATATCGTATCGGCATGATCGTGTAGTATGCAGCGGCTTGGTGCCAGGTCCCTCTGCTCATCCCCTCCCCGGGATATGAGGCTTGGCCTGCGATAATTGTAGCTGCTTCGATGTCAACTATTTCTAGTAGAGATATTAGCTAATATATAACCCGAGCTGGACAGACAACTACTCGGGGTTGAGGTCGAGACTGGAATGGTGTGCTGCAGCACGTGTAAGTCAAGGAATCTGACGCCAAACCCCAACGGTGGGAGAGGACCAAGATAAGCGCGCATACAGCGTAGTAGCGAGCAAGAGAAGCTATCAAACTGATTGCCTATTCTCGATCAGGTTTTCCCTAAGACGGAAGGTAGAAGATGAGAAGTGGACATGTGATGCTGTATATTTATTTGTCGAGTTTAGCGGTCTTTTTATTCACGTCGGTAGACGGGAGATATCAAATGAGCCTACGTCATGGCGCCTAAGTTGTAGGCCAAGCTCGGGACTAATACGGAATAATACCACTTATATCAGGTTCAATATAGAGGCTCGTAGGTTGGTCTGGTTAGATACCGACCTCACGAGCTCACTTTACTTAGATCTCGGGGATCTAAACATGTTTTAGGCAAGATATTATCAGAGTCCCAGTTAGGCAGTATCGTATTGGGCATCCCCCAACTTTTTCCCCATTGACAATCCCCCGCGATCTCAGCCAATCCCAGTGCCGGGGCTAGACGACTTACTCCTTTAGCTTATGACCGAACCCCGGACCCGCCCCCTGACCGCCTCGTGGAGTCGTGTGGGGAAGAGGAATACATACTTCTATGTGTGTGTGGGGTGTCAGCGTTACTCTCTTTGTTTCTTTGAACAATGACCAACATCGATGATGTCCAATATATCGGATCGTGCAAGCATGTATCCGAGAAGGTTGGTATACACGGCGTACGGATATAGCTTAGTACTTATACGATACGTAGCACGATCACATATTGTGACGTGAGTGCGGGAATAGGAAATCAAGGCAGAAGTATTGGGTATACAAAAGAGTTGCAGAATTACATGTAGTAGGCAAACTTCTCACATACCGCAGGAAGATCTTCAGGGGAAATTACTTACATATACCAAGGCATAATTAGGTAGGTGACGGCGACTCGGGCTGCCTGCTAATTTCCTAAAGTGCAAACTTGGATCCAATCAAGAGCACCGAGCAAGTTTCCCCTAAATAATTCATGCCTACTTCGTGACTCCGTCACGGGTACGAACGGCCGCTGAGGGGAAAAGGAAAAGCTAACAAAAGCTGCAGCAAGGAATGCAGGTAGGATAAGCCAAATTTGTTTTTTGGAGAAGGCGCCTTGTATGCCGGTGCGACCCCGTGATGCGACCAACATAGCCTTATCAACTTACAAACCCTGCACGCGCCCGACTTCGAGGAAAGAGCAAGAGACACGCAGGAAACATAATGCAGGTATACATACCTACATTGCACAGATGAAATGGAAGGAAGGTTCCTGCATATAATCCACTATGGGGGGGAAAGGGGGAAAGGGGGGAATCTGCGCGATTCCCTTTGTCCCCGATGGACTTATTAGTCCTTCCCTCCCTATAATATACCTGCCTTTCTGTGGATCTATGCGCCGCATTCTTTTCTTTTTATTATGCAGGCAACTTTGCATTTCCGTTAATATCGCGTTTTATTCTTGTGGGCATTTTATTATATAGAGGCATCTTTTTGGCCGCGTAAAGATTCGTTGCTTTGTCTTGTGCCTCCTTTAGATCCCCTTTAGATCTCCTATAGCCTGCTCATGTCATCTCGAGCACTTCTATACAGATGGCTACCTCACATATAGGAAAGGCGGTCACCGCTTTTCTTCTAATCACACCTAGCTTTGGGCTACCTCACGATTCACTCGTAGATAATTACTTGGAGAGCAGAGACAAGTTAAGCCGTAAGATGGTTTCTTCTCTGCCGTTAACTTGAAGCTGATCTATGACCAGTTGTGCAGCCGATACACCAGTCTTTCCCCCTCGGTACTATTAAGCCGCGAGGATGGTTCAAAGACCAATTGCAATTAGAGGCTCACGGACTTGCCGGTAACTTGTTCGATTTCTACCGCTTCGTCCACGACTCTATGTGGATAGGCGGCTCAACAGAGTATTCTGTACTTAACGAGGCGTCCCCATATTGGTTCAATGGCCTTGTACCTCTTGCCTTCGGATTGGATGACCCGAGACTTAAGGGACAAGTTTATTCTTATATGGATTATGTCCTTGACCACCAGCAGGAGGATGGCTGGCTCGGGCCCGAGACTACTCCTGAATCTCGAGGCCTATGGGCACGTTGCTACTTTCTGCTAGGGTTGATGGTATGTCCTGGCCGGGACAGCCTACTGTTCTAAGTGCCTCTCGGGAGCAGCCCGGCTAATTGTTGTAGCAATACGCCCAAGCAGACCCTTCGCAAGAAGACAGAATCGTGAATGCTATGCATCGATACATCCAACTTGCTCACAGTATGCTAAAAGACGGCTTTAGCGGGCTGATACAGAAGGATGGCCAAAATTTCGACGGGGACGGGTTTGGTCCCATGCGAGCTCACGAGATGCACATCCCGCTGCAATGGCTTTATGAGCAACACCCTAGAAATAATTCGCAGATAATATGGGAAACCATGGAGCTCATGATCGAAGGAAGCGCCAACGCTAGTAGCGATTGGAGAACTTTCTGGGTTAAGGGAGTATACCCAGAAGTCACATATACTCCTAGAAACGAACCGTTTAAAGATCTATTCAACCATGGTGTTAATATGGCAGAAGGTATAACTGAAGCGCAATCTTAACGTCTGAGTAGAGGTTGACTGATATAATTAGGCCTTCGTTACCCATTATCGATATACCGAATGACGCACGACGAAGCGTTGAAGACGCAGACTAGGACTGCGGTAGATTTGTTGGCGCAATATCACAAATCTTTAGCCGGGACGATTATCGGCGATGAATTCATTACAGATCTCAACCCGATAAGAGGGGCGGAACTCTGTACTGCTGCAGAGATGACATTCTCCATGGCGTATATTTACCAGTATCTCGGCGATAACGACTTGGCAGACTGGGCAGAGCAAGTTGCATTCAATGCTGTGCCGGGATCCATCTTCCCAGATTGGTGGTCACACCAATATGTACAGCAGGAAAATCAGGTGAGTTGATAAGTCCGAAGTCTTAGATGTAGGCTAATTATGGCTCTGTAGCCGTGGTCGCGTACTCTGTCGGTGAACCCCGACATGTGGGTGAATGTTGGAGTTCACGGTAACGTGTTTGGCTTGGAACCTAACTACGTCGGTTCTACCCATTTCCCATTGTTTGAAGCGATATCTGCTTACCCTTTGATAGCCCTGCTGCACGGTTAATCACCCTCAGGCGTACCCTAAATTCCTTGCCAATTCCTTTACGCTTACCGATGGCGGAATTGCTCATGTTCTACTTATCCCCGGAAGCATCAGTACCTCGTTAGGTCATAATCGAGTAACCATCCAGGCTGACACCAACTATCCCTTCGGCATGGGTATCAAGTACTCGATCACGGCAGCATCTGATTTTACGTTCTACGTTCGAATTCCAGGCTGGGCAGACAAATCGAGTACCATCGTAGGACCTTCGGGCAAATCGAGTCAGATTTCCCCATCGGATAAGGGGCTACAGAAGATTCAAGTTAGCAAAGGTTTTAGTTTTATTAATGTCAATCTCGAGACGGAGCCACGGGTAGTTACGAGGCCCAACAATACCGCGGCAATATACTACGGATCGCTGCTCTACAGTCTCCACATCGATGCCAACGTATCGGATGTACCGGTAGTCGCGTTCAGCGGTGACGCGATACCAAGTGCAAGCACTACATCCCATACGCACGATCACGTTATCGAGCCTACGAGTTTATGGAATATTGCTATCGATCCGTCGCAGATAAAGGTGGTGCAGGCGGATGTGTCAACGTTGGCGGATCCGATCTGGGACCTTGGTGCGCCCCCGGTCGAACTTCGCGTGGCTGCTGTTGAGATAGACTGGCCTCTCGAATTCGACACCGCTGCAGATCCTCCTCTCGAGCCCAAGATTACAGGAAAGCCTTTCAGCGCACGTTTCGTGCCGTTTGGAAGCGCCAAGATACATATGGCGCATCTCCCCGTTGTCGAACTAGCCAAGGTAGACTTGTCGAGTTGATAGACATTTTAGATGGATAGATGTAGTTTAGGCGATAACGGTAGAACATAAGAGCTTAGACTATGTAGTAAAGACTTGTATACAATGGTATAAACACGGACCGCGGATTTAATTGTGCAATTGTCCTTACATTATATGGCCTGACGGCACGGGAGAGGGCCTTGCTGTTGAGACCACACTCACCACAGTCACATGATATTGGTCATGTGACTCTGGTTGGGCCCACACACAACGCGATCCCAACCCCAGCATGACCACAGAACAGTTATTTCATTCATTGTATTTCCTTACGTAACCTTGCATGCACAACATACCTTGTCATTCCAACACTTGCTTACTCGATTACTATATTAAATGCAATATCACGGAGAGATTAATGAATATCACAAAACATGCACGAATTACTAAACAAATTTTTTTTTATTTTTTTCGCACGAGGGGAAATAGGGATTAGGGGTAGGGGATTAGGGGTAGGGGGTAAGGGGGTAAGGGGCCGCTGAGGCTTGACGACTTATCGTGCCAGTCCCCAACAGCGGATTAAAAAACAATTTGACCAGATTAGGTACATAACTCCAAAAGGTTCCAACCCTTTTCCAAAAATCAATACTTTACATGTACCTAATCTCTCTCCCACAGTATCGTCTCCCATAGTATCGGTAGGTATTCATAGGTCGAGCCACCGCCCCAGCCACGCGATCAGCTGAGGGGGGAATCTTGAATATCAGCAGGCTCGCATCCCACAAATACCGGCTCGGCCGAGCACTTAAGGGTCGCTGTCCTTGACGGGGGGCTTGCCAGTAGGAAGCTTGTACTTGTGGCCGTCCATGGCGTCGCCGTCGCGCACGTGGTGGCGGCCGTAGACCTTCTTCCAGGCCTTGATGGAGATGTCGCCGCCCTTGTCGAGGGCGCAGTAGGCGTCGAGCTCGCGCATGGCCTCGACGACCTCGCCGCGGCAGGTGGGGTTGATGCCGCCGGCGGAGCAGGCGTTGACGACGACGCTGCCCCAGAGCAGGGACTTGCAGCTCTTCTTGGGGATCCAGCCCTGGTCGGGGCCGTAGTCGATCCAGTCGAGGAACTTGGCGTAGGCGCGCAGGTACTCGGAGCGCGCGACCGTGCGCGAGCGGCAGAGCGTCTTGCGCGAGGGGAACTGCGGGTCGCATTGGCCCGGGGGGCGGCGCTCGGCGAGGGCGGCGGCGACGGATTCCTCCGTGTTGTTGCTGGCGGCGCCGCTGAGGGCGGTGAGGCCGTCCCAGTCGCGCACAGCCTGGGAGAAGTCGAGGGTGTCGTCGTCGACGATGGGGATGGTGTACACTGTTGGGAAGGGGGGGAGGGGGTTAGGTTAGTGTCTGGGGTATTCTTGGCTCCGAATAGGAGACAGGAGGAGAAGGAGGAGAAGGAGAAGGAGGAGGAGGAGGAGGAGGAGGAGGAGGAGGAGGAGTCGACTTACTTCCATCGGTCAGGTCAAGGTATGAGCTGGCAGTGGCATTAGGGGCATTAGGGGAGGCAGGGGCGGCGGCGGCGCCAAGGGCACCGGCAGCACACACGAGGACTTGAGTGAACCTCATGATTGATGATGTTGTTGTTGTTGACGAGAGTCAAACAGGAGGTTTGTTGCTTTTTTTTTTTTTTTCTTGTCGGAAGATTGAAGTATGTATGAGAAGAAAGAATTGTTCGACCGGCGAGGAAGAAATGAATCCAGGACGAGAGGGAAGGATGTGATATATACTAAATTTGTCTACGATATAGGCACCCCATCTCTGGCGATATTCTCCGGACAGCTGGCTCAGCAAGATCGAAAATCGGAATAGCTCACTATCTGGACGGCTCAACGGGGGGAAAATCGAAATGACTCAACAGGAGAAAATCGAAATAGCTCGGCTACGTGGATGGCTAGGTACTATTGCTTCATAAGCTTTATAGCTTATACGGAGTTAAACTACAAAGAGCTCGGTAATAGCAGATCCGGTATCACTATAAAAGTCAAAGTCGACTATTAAAAGTCAAAGTCGACTATTAAAAGTCAAAGTCGACTATAGAAGTCAATGTCAACTCCCTTCACAGGTAGGCAGGCGGCGATCAAAATCATTTGCATACTTCATCGAACTTGGCTAACATGTGAAATAACATCTATTACTCGTAACGGCACTGTATTTAATAAAAAAAACTACCAAAAAGTACAATTATTATTTCAAAGCTAAGGAATCTTGTAACGTCTTTAATTTTTAAATTTAATGAACGTAACGTGGTGTACGTTTTATTCGAATGTAGTTATTTGTTACCCAAGTTCAAAGCGTTCAAATTATTTTGTCCGCCACTTGGCCATCCTATGGGTGCTTTGGCCTCACGAACAAAGCACCTCATAAACTAAATCTAGTCGTCACCTTCCGGAGTCTCACTTTCCAGTCGAGCTTCCTCCTCATCTTGTTCACCGTCGTCATCTGGCAAACTCTCCTTTTCCCCCTCTTCCTCCTCCTCCTCCTCCTCGTACGCAAGCCACTCGTCGAGCAGATCCACTCTATACTCGTCCGCCCGGATGCGCTTGTCCTTAAGCAGGTTCTCAAGCCGGATCTGCCTGTGCTTGATATTGGGACGAACGGCAACGGCACCGGTGTGCGTAATGCGCACGAGGTGGAATGCGCTGGACTCGTAACTCCGGACTCTGGTGAACTGTCTCCTCTCCTGCCGCGTGAGATCTTCGATGACCATCTTAGCTCGCCAGTTTAAATTCAAACTTATACACAGCTCGGGGCAGTCTTCCCACGCCAGCTCTGATAGGTCGTTACCCCCGGCATTACCCCATCGCCTGATCTCGCTCAAGATGAGGCGGTGGAGCATCAGGAAGACAGGCCCGTGGCCATCCCCTGGAAGACCGGTGGTGTTCAAGAGAGCCCTTTCGCACCTCCGACAGTCGCAGGAGTAGATTAGGAAGTAAGCGTGCACCATCTCGTGCATGAGCTGGGCTATAATATCATTAAGCCCGTAGATCGAGTCACCACGAGCTGTGCGAATGCCAGTATTAAGCAAGATACGTACGTATGTACGACCCCCTTCTCCCTCTTCCGTAACCCAGGTGGTTTCCCCATCGATCCTAGCCTCGAGTCGAAACGGGTCCTCACCGACGACATCGATACCAGTCTCGATCATGACGTAACGTCCCAGCAGCCCGAAGAAGAAGAAATCGTCCAGCTGCTGCGCCCAGAACCTGACGTCGGTATCTACGTACTCGTATGACTCACCGGGCTCGAGCCGCTTCCCATACGACGGACCCTGCAGCACGTACTTGGCGCAGAAGTGCTCGCGCGCCGCGGTCTGGCGCGGGCTTAATGCAAAGTCCTGTCGGTTATAGAAGGCTTTTATGGTAGAGTTTAGCATTTCGCGGGGTCTGTACGCCCGTCTGTGGAGCTTGATGCGGTAGTAAGGGTCGAAGGGGGCGTACATGGGATAATTAAAGTGGTACACGTTCCTACCGTCTTCGTCCCTGAAGGGCTCGATGGGGATTCCGCCTCGGGTGATAGTAGCCATGGTGTATGTGTCGTTGAAGGGAGATGGAATAATCACTTGATAGGGATTCCTGATGGATTACGAGCAAGATTATCTACAACCTGATAGTTGGTTGGAGTCTACAGCTACTGATCAAGAGCATTAGGCACATAAATAGCTTCTCCATCAGCACTGGACAGTTATTTTGTCGTATAACAATCACTATGCTATATTGTACTTGTCAGTTTATTGTGTACAGTTCCTTTGAGCAACTAGTAAATCTCGGCACAACTTAGCTGTTATGTATCACGGTTACTGATGCGAACTGGGTTCAAAGAAGTTGTTTCTGGTGGGCGAGGCTAACTTCTTTAGGGACGAACAAAAATGCATAGGAACCTAATGTGAGTGTATGCGTATGGTGGCTAGAACCTTGATGACCACTCCTTCTGTTGGAAAAGGGGTAATAAGGAGGCGACCGAGCACCCGGGAATATACTCAATGACGCAAATATATACTCAATGACTCATATATTAGTAGACGCCAAAAGGGTTGCGATCATCGTTGTAACCTCTAACGCTATGCCGCTATGGCCGCTATGGAAAGGCAAAAAACCCTCATCATTAGTAACAAACTTCTATTTTTTAGTATGAAACCCCCGCTGATGGCATCACCCCTTAACCAATTCTCGCAATATACCTTTAGCCTCCTGAACGCCTAACTACCGAGCACATGTTTTGTGATTAGATAGGCGGCCCTTCTCGGCTCTTCGGTCTGACCTCTTTCTTGCTCAAGAAACTCCTTCGCAAACCACCATTCCCGCTTCTCGAATTTGGACTCGGGCTATTGCTTTCTATGCTAGGCTCCGCAAATGTGCTCTTCAAGACCACCGTGCCGGTACCGACCTTGATCTCCTTTTCGCCGCTGCCACTTTCGTCCACGAAATATAATGCCTCACCTAAGTCGTCATCGCTCCCAAAGGTGTGGTGGTTCTTGACTTCTATACGGAACTGGGTATCGGCGGTGCATGTGTGCTTGAATGTCTCGTCGAACCGTACCGTCAGATGAGCTTCGTGGTGTTTTGTTTTGCCGATAGTCCTCTCCTTGGGAGTGAGCTGCTTGATCAAGACGTAAATGTCTGCCGACTCTGGGAACCCCGACGCGGAGACTACGGTGAAAGTAGCAGTTCCGGCGCCAGCAGTACCCGGGGCCAGACTGTAAATAGAGACGCCGCCCATGCTAGAATTACGCCCGTGTGCCTTCGAACCACCGTTGGGCGTCACAGGACGGGCGGCGTCGCCGTCGACACTCAAGCCTGTAGCCCGTCTGAGGCCGGAGCCAGCTGCGGGAGCATCCGGTCCGTTCGTTACGATCGTGGGAATCTCGGAGTTGCTTGGCGTCAAGGCCAAGCCGTTACCTTCCTCATCTTTCTTGCCCCGAAAGCCGCGCTTGATAAAACTCGCACCCTTACCAACGCCGTGGCCCACAACGCCGACTACTGCGGCGCCACCTTTAACCGGAGCACCGACAACACCGGTCACAATCCTGCCAGGACCACCGAACGTACCCGCGAACGTGCTAGTGCCTAGTCGAGTACGCGTGACGTAGTCAGGCTTGAATAGCAGCCGCAGTCTAATCGAACCCGACTTTCCATCTAGTAGTAGCTTGAGCTCCTGCGCCTTAAATGGATCGAGCTGCTCAAGATTGATATCGGCCCCGCCTAAGAAATCGGGCTTGTCTGCGAAGTCGTAATCATAGACTTTGCAAGTGAACTTGGCAGCAGTCCGCGACGGTATGGCAACCTCGAAGAACTCATTCCACACGGGGTTGAGAGTCTTCTTCTGCGTTTTGGTCTTGAACACATCCTGTCCGTTCAATTCGAACTTGCAGTAGGGGTCACTCTTGCCATTCGAGTCGGCTGCGGGTAGGTCTGCCGCGTCTAATACATCGACGCGGAGATTACCCATGTTGTTGATGCTCTCGCTAGGGTCTAGGTGCATCTTGACGGGGATGTATTTTAAGCTGACCTTGATCGTAGCCGCTCTATTCTCTTCGTCCTTGAGTCTTAGCACCGTGGGATTATTCTGACACTGTTAGCGATACATTGCAGTTTTTGCAGATCGTGGCGACTTACTAGGCATTGTTTGAGGGTATCCAGAGTATTGCCCGTTAGGCGAGCTACTGTGTGATCCTCATCGCGTTCCTCGCCTGGCTTCTCGCGTTTTTCTCTCACCTTGAGAGTTAGCCGTGAGAAGTCTAGCTCACGGATAAAGCAGTCGCCAATCTCATCGAATTTGAAAACTTTGCTCTTGGCCGTGCCCGAGATATAGCTAGGGTATAGCATATCGTCGACATATATTTCAAGATGCGTTCCGCTCTTCGGCATTTCTCCTTCGAGCAGTTTGAAGATAAGGAACCCAGATTCGTATTTGAGTAGCTCTTCCGGAGTAAGGTGGACCTTGGGACGCTCCCGTGGCGCTTCGCGAGACTTTCGTTCCGACGTAGTTGACCTAGGAGAAACCGGGGATTTGGGAATAGTTGGTGTGGTTGGCGTAGTCGGGGCGCTTTCTTTCCTCTCAAGGGCGGATATTTTTCCGGCATCTAAGGATCGGGGCACGTCAAGAGATGGCTTTGGAGCCTCGGAGCCTGTTTCCTTTTCGTTTTCGCTCTCCTTCTCCTTCTCCTCTTCTTCCTCGGGGTCCGCAACATTTATGCACGGATAAAACGAGACGGTATAGGTAAGTGTTCCCTTTGCAATGCCCTTTCCGTGTAGTCGGAGTCCGGTCTCTTGTACCTTCTTCGCGCTGTGGACGAGATACTCGCCATTATCATCCTCCGAAATATAGTCGCCTGCAAAGACCTCAACCAGACCCAAGCTACGATCCTTGCCCATCTTCTCGGCGTCCATGACCTCGAGCGTTAGACGATCCCTGGGTGAATGCATTGGCACATAAATGACTTCGTCCCATTCGGGCTTCAGGGTGTTGCGGTGGGTTACTGTTCGACCTTTCTCGATACCGGAGAGCAGCACGCGGACGTAAGGATCCGATTTACCCATAGTCTCGAAATTCCGTAGGTCGCGGGCGCTCTTGAAATGGAGACGCATTACGCCGATGGGGGTTTGGTAGCCCCCAGTACCTGCTAGCACGCCAGATAGGGCAACAGGTTTCCATTGCGCAGTCAGCTTCGCTCGTCCGCTCTTGACCCCTGCCAGATTGTACCAGTCGTGCCCCTTTTCCATCATCTCCAACATATCGTCCAGCTTGATTTGGTATGTGCCGATCAACTGGTCGCCAGCAATATCGCGGTCGTCCTTGATAGCAAGACCCAATTTGGCATTCTTTCGGTCCGTGATAAGAATCTCTTTGGAACCGTTATCCCAAATAGGATTGTTGGTGCGCTTGAGTGTTTTAGTCTGGTGAACTTCTTTTCCGTTGAGTAGTAGAGCGGCATATGGATTGAGCAAGCCAACTAAGCTCTTTGTGTTGTCGAGGTCCTTCGCTTGCTCCACAGTGTATCGTAGAATACCTGTGTTAGACTCCGGCGGCGGTTCTTCTACGCCATCATGTTCCATGGCCTCCAAGACAGGGAAGAAGCGGAAATCGGCGCTGACCACACCTCGGGCCTTGCCATGGGCGACGACTTCTAGACGTTCGTTTTCGTACACGCCAATATCTTCCAATCGCTCGAGTGGGAAAGAAGCGACACCGAGTTCCTTGTCCTTGCGGAAATCGTTATAGTCGTAAATGAGGAGATCGAGCGAATCGTTAAAGGACGTAACAATAACATAGTGCGTTTCGTTCCACCTGGGGTTCGGAGTGTCCTTGACAACTTTGGTCTGAGCTAGGGGCGCCCTCTTGTTCAAGGTAAACACAGCGTACGGGTCGGGATTGCCAGCAAAGTTATCGGGATTCTTGAGACCTTGGGCTCCGTGAAGCGTTACCGCGACCACGCCGATAGCTTGGTCGACGGGAGAACCTGCAAGCATTTTGGCTACCTCAATCGGGAAGACATTAGGGGCATACATCATCGGGGCCAAGTTTCCGTGAATCTGTTCCTGGATAAAGCTTTCTAGACCCGGAATAAAATTGATATCGAAACCGAAGGTTTCACCACCGAGGGGCTTACACGCATAACCGAGCTCCGGGCGCTCGAGGAAACACATCTCAATCTTCTCGATGTGAGGGAAAGCGAACTGGAGTTTAATCTTCAGGCGCATGATACCGGAGAAAGACATATTTTCAACGATGACGTCGAGACCTTTGCTGATCATGGCCTTGCCAATACGGATTTCAAGGACTACCTTGGGGTTAATCTTGTTGCGGACCTGCCGAGCCGTCATATCCTCGTCGTCGTTCGGCGTGAAGCTAAACTTCCAGTCCATAAGGACAATGTCATCTTCTGCCTTGGGGTAAGTCTTCACGTGCTCCATTCTGGGAGGTTTAGATCCGAGAGTGAAGGTTTTCAAGCGGAGACTATCGAGAAAGGAAGGAGTCGCAGAGCTTAGCACTTGGTCGACGGAGTTAATGACGATCTGAGCGAGAACAGGTTGATAGATGGGCCAGAATTTGACCAGAAACGAGTTTATCCACTCAAGAGATTCGTGATCCGTCTCTAATTTCTTCAGCGCCATCTCCCTGGTAATGTCGTCGCGGAAATTTCTTCGCACTCGTCTGATCGATGTTCGGTAGTATGTCGAGCAACAGGCCATAACGATCATGACCCAAGCTAGCCCACCCCCAAGCACGGCAACCAGCCACGAAGCGAGACAGGCGAAGATAATCACTCCGGCATTGTGGTACCATTCTGTTGAGCCAACTAACGTTAGCGATTCGTGTCCAGAAGAAAACGGAATTGGGTAAACCAACCTCCAAAATACTGGTCGGGAAGCCTCTCTTCCAGCCAAGTAGAGTGATCCAATAGGCTCTCGCCTTCCGTAACACTATCGACAGGCCAACCGAACCGTTGAGTCCAACCAACTTTGGCAGCCAAGTCTTCCTCTTCTTCAGGGGTATTTCCATCCACAATCGGCCTGCCGTCCTTGTCTTTGGGAATTTCGATAGCCCCAGCCTTCGAGGGGGTCGGGAGATCGTAACTAGCCTTCGTGCCGTCGTCGACATCAGTAGCAATAGCCACGCCTTTCGGTTTTCGTGAACGGCGGGGATCGTTGGGTACAGCCTAAGTTGACTCGATTAGCTGGTGCCTTGGACGGAGAGAGGCTTAGAGAACACACAGCCCTAGCTTGAGCAGCCTTATCCGCTGGGCTCGCATCCGGATCGAATGTGAAAGCAGCCACGCCCGCATTTTTGCTCTCTTCGACTAGTTTCCTCTGAGCATCATCGGCAGTAACATTGGATTCGGGATCGCGAGAAGCCTCAAGAGCCCCTTGCTGCTTTAGCTCGCCAACTTCCCGTTCGGTAGCCATACTGACGGTCGAATGCTGCTATGGCAGCTGTTGGGGCGGCTCAAACGCGGGGGAAGGATAAGTAGCCGACCGGTGTGTAACAGAGCATAGGGAGTCGTAAAGCGATGTTAAGGAGGGGCGGCAGATTCTGACAAGGAAATCGGACAGAGCTAAATGAGCGTAGAGCTGGTAACACAAAGGTACGTAGATCTGGTATTAAGTCGTCCACAGGGGGTGGGTAACGATGATGTAGCTAAAGGATGACTAGTGATTCTAAGTAGGTAGTGTATTAGCGATGCATGTATGTACTATGTAAGTAAGTAAGTAGTGTAAGGAGATGCAAGGGCAACGGGTAAGCTAGCGATAGTTCACGAGTCTGCTACTCTGCTACTTCCAATTGAGGGCTACCGTACCTTAAGAGTTGACGGAAAGGAGGAGAATAAATGACAAATAAGAAGAGAAGGGGGGAAAAGTAAAGGTAATCGGGGTCTAGAAATAATCGAAGTTGACGATAGTCACGAAAATAAGCTTAGCAATTAAAGAAAAGCCACGCAGCGCCTCGTTTCCTCAAAGTTTAAATGGGTACCAGGATTGGAAGTGATTACACTGATTGGAAGTTACGGGCTTGGCTACCTCATAGCTGTTTTCCCAGATGTTCCCAGATTCGTGGCCCCATGTGGCTCCAAACGACGTAATTTCGACAGGGGTCTTTTCGCCTAGTGTATCGCTAGCTCGCCGAACCAAGCCAATGGGATTGGTACCTAGGTAATTTCACGCAGCGCAATACAAATGTAGAATAGTTTCCTCCCTACAACACCTGAGCTCCTGAGATACAGGGGAGGCTATTTTACATATCTTTAATATGTAAAATGCAGCTTTCCCAATATCCAATATTAGGTTGACTGCCAGACTGTCAAATCTTGATTTGTGAATCATTCAATTCAATTGAATTGAATTCAATGCTGTCCAACGATACTCGACCGTGCTCAAAGAATTGCGAAATACCAACATCATATATCGACCTCGTATCAACCACCTACATAGACCAAAACAAAATACCATCCTGCCATTTTATCGCTTCGAGTTGGATGATCGTCACATCGATCTGTCCCCGGAGACTTAAAAGTTTCAGCTGATCTCTTCCAGTTTGACTATCCCGCATACAAACACGACGCTACGGCTACGGATAGCAACAATAATAGTATCGCTGTTCCCGAGCGCTTTCTACACTAATCCTTGGAATAGGTAGCTAGCAAATCGGGCTAAGCGGCACTGCCACCACCACGACCGGCCAACGCCGACCTACATCGATGTACTGCAGCTATAGATGCAGAAAGCTCTTCTCTTACTATAGACGTGTCGTTATCCGCGCCACGGGCCGCTCAAACGGCGTTTCAATTTGCTCTAAAGTTTGTTTTCGGCGCCGAAGAGTCAACTCGTTTCTACATGCACTTTTGCATGCATTGCATAGTTCCTTGTTCGCCAGTTCATTTTATTACAGAATCGTCATACAAACGAGATAGCGTAGTAGTACCTAGGTCCTACACACGCGCGCGATGTTCTGGAGTAGTATTACTCGCCCGGTGACCTGTATGCGACGCTCCCACGGCAAACCCCTGCCGGTTCATTGTTTCTTAAGGCGCCGAATAACCGGCCGCTCTTTAGCAGCCAAGTGTTAGACGTGGAACATGTGTGTATTTGAAGTATATAGTATAGTATATAAGATGGCAATGCTACCCGAAGTGGGGTATAGTCATAACATCATCTAATCATTACAAGGCAATCCCGTTAAGCTTAGTTGACTTTATCAAGTTTTGCCGAGTTCGAGTTCTTCTCTCAACTTCTCAATACGAAGCGGCCCGCTGCACTAAAATAAGCACGATGCCGAAAACCTGTCAGGATTCTGAAGTCAATCAAGATTAAGGTCACATCAAATTGATATTTCTAGTTTTATTAACGTGTCTGCATGTCGACCTATATTACTATATTACCATATAAGTTAATAATTCGCAACAAATTGGCCGGGCGTCTCACGGACTGTCCTCTTATCAGTGTCCCGCATGCCTCGGTTCAATTAGTACATCGTAATATCAGGGAATGACGATCGCACGCATTGGCGTCAATGTCGCTTGGCCAAGGAACCCAATTATAGAATTAGCATCTAGGAATCCATAGTCCTTATCGTATAACTTGATTCACCAGAGCTAATCCAAAGAAGCCAAGTCAGTGTGGAACCAACGTCAAGTAAATATTATAAACAGAAAGCCTTGTCTCCCTAGGAAAAGTAAAGTAGCAGAGAGGATACGTACATGCCCCATAGCAAAATAGCTAAGAGAACGTCAAAGACTATTCATGTCCAGGCCAATAGACTGAGAATAGCCTCAAGATTGCTATACTTACTTTCACCTAAACGAGGTGTTATGTAAGGCGCAACGGCCAAAGTGCGCGACAAAGCGCACTCAACAAGTGCTACTATATCACTACCCGCAAGTGTTGATGAGAGAGAGAGAGAGTGATAGAAGCTGTGACGAAGGTAGGCACGAAGAATATTATGAGAGGTCTCTTCAACCACAGTAGCGGGACCTTCAACTTAGAATCTTATAACAATATAGCTACAACTCAGCCCCAACTATATTCGCCCATTTCCCCCATTTATACTTGAAGAAATACATTTTATCATCATCATCATAGCTTTCCTTAGATCCGTGTGCAACATTTAGACAGTATCATCGAGGCGATTGGTGAAGTAGAGGAAGATGGAACAGCCGAATACCCATAGCCTCCTTCTTAACAAGTTACCAGTCGAATTAATCCTCAACATACCGGAATTCAAGCTGCCTATCGATCGAGTCGTATTTCCTTTGGTATGTCGCTCGCTAAGTTTCATCTTAGGAGAATCATATGTCTACAACCCTTCTGTCGTGCAGTACTTAAGATACCTCGTAAGGGTCGCTCGCGATCTTCCAGGCCGGTGGGTATGCGAAGCTTGTTTCAAGCTACGCCCCGTCTCTCGAGAGGATACGCATCTAACCCCGTGGAAAATAACATGCCCCTTGCGTTGGGGTCGACGGTGCGATGAGATGTACGGCCAGCAATTTCGGCTTAACAACCGTTACTTCTTCGTCGACCATCATCACATCCAGCTCGCGCTCAAGTATACACGTCTATGAGGTACTACGTACCAACTTTACCTCGACAGGTTGTTAGTGAAACATTATAACCTCGAATTCCCTACCCATCCATACCCGTACAGTCAACAGAACGTACTCAAAGTATACCGCTACTTCTAAGGTTATAAGGGATCGGACGGAAACTTCGGGTACATGCTACGGTCTGTCTAAGATTTCCGAAAAGATTCCGTGGAGATATCGTTGGTAACGGTGGGAGACATCAATCTGTACACACACCTAGCGTTACTAGGCGATATGAGACATATGACAGTTCACGAATTCCCTTGGAAGATCCAACTTGATCTAGACTTCTGGCTGAAGCCCAATGTTGATGGATCCTGGGAGGAACAGTGCAAATTCCAGAGCACCCATAAGGTAAAAGTTCCCGTTATGAACCACTTCAGCACTCAAGCCTTCCGCTCTGTCAACTCCTGGATCCCCGTCTTCGTCTCTGTGTGCTCCGTCCTTAGTTGTCGATGTTTGACGAAAACGCTCGCCACGACCGTAAGGGCGGACACGCTAGTGTATAGTATGAACATGTTCCTTATACTCCACGAAAAGGCATCTAGTACAGCCTGTCGCTGAACCGCATCTTGGATGGACTGGACGATTTCAACGTTTGCTGCTGCCTGATCGCCAGATAGAGCCTCTAGAATAGGTCCGCTGAGGCCAGCCGCTGCGAGGGACGATTGGCGATTAGCCATACTGTTCTGGAATACCACGCCGCCGACAACGATGGATAGCGATGTCGCCAAGTTGCGGATGAAGCCTAGTGCCGATGTAGCCGACGCAGTATCAGCTTGGCTGACAGTGTTTTGGATAGCGATCATGGGTGCTTGGAATAGGAGTGCAGTGCCGATGCCATTGACGATTTGGTACCCAATAATTTCCCCGAGAGACGTATCCGGCCGGAAATTTATATACAGCCCTGTCCCTAACGTCATGAATGTTGCTCCGGCCCATATGATTTCCCTATAGCGGCCCGTGCGATGGATTACGATACCGACCAGTACGTCAACGGCCGATTCCGTAATCATCATCGGCAATATCAGAAGGCCACTATGGACGGGCGATGCCTGCTTTGCGCTTTGGAAATATAACGGTAAATAATACTCGGCGCCGATAGAGACCATGCTATGTGCAAAGGCAAGAAGGAAGGTCGCGATATTAGACCAATCCTTGAACATTCCTAGCGGAATCAGGGGATACTTGGCCAAGCGCTGCTCGCTAAAGATGAAGCAGCCGATCATCACGATTCCAAATACGATCAAGCAGACGACTTTTGGACTATCCCACGGGAAGATCGCGCCACCGAAGTCCAGTCCGAGGAGAAGTAGGAGAGTAACTCCCAATATGGAGAAGGTGCCGAACCAGTCAATAGCCACCAGGCCGTCGCGCAGCTTAGTATGAGGATCGTGGACATCCAAGAAGAGCAGCAAGAGCAAGAACGAAGCGCCACAGACCGGCAGATTAATCCAGAAGCACCAGCGCCAACTCGCGAGCTGGGTAAACGCTCCCCCGATCAGCGGCCCGGCGCATCCGGCCAGCGCCCACATCACGCCGAGGAAGCCCAGATACAGGGCTCGGCTCCGCATGTCGAAGAGGTCCGAGATGGTAATAGTCACCAATTGGAGCAGTCCTCCACCGGCGGCGCCCTGCAGCGCTCGAGCGGCAATTAGCATCTGCATGTTTGTGCTTAACGCCGCGACGATGCTAGCGGCGGTGAAGACGCCGACGGCTCCTAAGAGAGCGGGCTTGCGGCCCCAGATGTCGCTGCATTTCGCCCAGATCGGCCCCGCGGCCACGTTGGCTAGCACGTACGCGCCGCCGATCCAGACGTACCCAGAAGCGGAGTGCAGGGCGGCAGAAATCGAGGGGATGGATGTTGCTACGATGGTCTGGTCTAATGCCGCGACGAAAAGGGTGAGCTGGAGATATCGTTAGTTAACAGTTGCGCGCCCAATCTTTGGAATTGGTTTATATACGTAGAGCGCGACTAAGAGGGTGTATATACGCAGCTTTGTGCGGACTTTTGGAGGTTCGAGTATATTCAGTGACTCTATATTCTGTTCTTTGACAGGAGCTGGCTCTACTGGACTACCAGTATTTATACTGACGGGCTTGACAGGCGTGATATCGTCCATCGTACCCAATCTACCCAGATATTCTCGATACAAATTGAAGTTTTGTATATAAATAAATAAAAAAAGAAAACGAAGAGAGGCGCAACTTATAATGCTTTATAATGTAAGCAAATGCCGTCCCGTTGACCAATCACCGCTCAATTAGAACGCCTGCGCCGCTCAAAAGCCATGCAACTCACGCCTTTTCAAAACTTGTCATCACGCCCTTTACGATATCAACATTGATATTATCTCAAAACACCATAATACAGCGATCGAAACCTGCCCAAGGTTAAAGAGTACGAGGTGTAAATTTATGATACTATAGTTAAATGACATGTGAACTAAAAATTAAAAAGTCCAGTAGGGAGTTAAGAAAAAAAAGAAAAAAAAAACTTGGTTGTCCTGAGTGAGGCTACTCATATGTTAGTTGAAAATATCATCGATGCTGAATTGTGGAAATACTAACCTCGAACTCACGACCTTTGGATATCCCGAACTGTGTTCGAGTCATAGTTTATGAGACCAACGCTCTACCAACTGGGCTACCAGGACGTGAGGAAGGTACGTGAAAAAGACATTTATCTATCACCTGTAAGGAACTGGCGCCGGGTTTCACCCGATACCTAGCAGTAAATAAATACATTTTACAGAGTCGGGACTTCTAATTGGAAACGGGTTGCTTTTACGAAGTAGTTATGGGGGATACGGTGATAGATTTACATTAGGTACTGTCGGGCAAGAAATGAAGGTATCGTGTGCAATTTCACCCACGAACCCGACGCCCCCTGCCGGGAAATTTATTTCATGGAGGATTCGAATATTTATATATTACATAGGTACCTATGCAAGAGGCCCGAGCCCCGAAAAGCAGAATCTCGTCTATGTATATGCAAATCGTAAGGAATGTGCTTCGCTAAAATCAAATGCAATACATAACCCCCATTAACATTATATATACCCCTTTCCGTTTATCCCAAGACTGCCTCCTCAGTCGGACCTCACGCCTGCGCGTCTTCCTCCATCAAACCCACCAACCTCCAAATTAATTAAACAGGAGTAGGGTTGGCGTAGCAGAGAACCCAGCCGAAGTCGACAGAGTTAGTGCTGATGGACGCGTTCACCGAGCTAGTGAAGGCGGCGCTGCCCCGCTGGACTCCGAACTGGTCGTTGTAGCGCTGGCAGGTGATGTCCGCTACGCCGATGGCGGGGTGGTCCGGGGCCTGGGGCGCGGTGATGGAGACGCTCTCGATGGCCAGGCCGGTGATCGGCAGGTTCGCCTGGTGGCTGAGAGTCGCGAGGTCGACGGTGACTCGCTTCTCGGACCTCTCGCCGCTGACGGGGCGGTTGATTGCGACTAGGTTGACCTTGGCGAAGGGGGGCTCCTTAGGGAGAGCCGCGGCGGAGGAGACGAGGGCGGCGGCGATAGTGGCGACGGTGAAGGACTTCATTTTGATGGATGTAGTATGGTAAAGTTGGTGAAGTTAAGGAGGTTGGTGACGCTAAGGATATTGATGAAGCTATGGATATTGACAAAGTTAAGAATGCTGAAGATGTTGATGATGATTATGACATTTAAACAGCAAACGAACATCTATTTATCTTCATCGAGTTCTATCATAGCTTCGCAATTCTTCGACCGGGAACGTGATTTAGAGCTCCGCAGTACCTATACGTGCTGGCAAGAGATCTCGTCGAGGCGCAGTTGGGATCGTCGCCGCCAAGTTACCTTTTAGAGAACTCCATCGCAATCTCATTGGTCGAATGTACGTCGCCAGGGAGGTAATACGACGAGGCGTCGAGTCCACCTCAGCCGCAGATCAGCAGCCATCAGCAGCCGCCTCGTACTGGTCGTATAGCTTGTCATATTTTTAGTCATAGATCCTGATCTAAGACTATAACGGTAGAAGGATTGGTATGTATAAGTGAGCGCTGGCACGTTACATCTGTTGCCATGACTTGGCTCTACCAATCGTAGAAATAGGTAGTTAATTCATAAGAGCCCAGAGGTTATTCTAGCGGGAAAACCACGTAGTCAGGGCATGGATAGCTAAAGCATATACCCAAGACCGCAAAGGTTATAAGCTACCTATTGTCGAATAACAAAACAGAGACTACGTCAACTCGTATAATATTCGTTCGCGTGATCCGTGCCATTGTGCAACAACTACCTATAAGCGTATATCTCATTCCATCTTAGCAGGATGGGCCGACTACAGCGTTACCAACTCGCCAACCTGCAGTATAATAGCGTGACTGAGAGGTGGCACCAGCTCACCACACGGCCAAAAGCCCGTGGTATTACTCGACTCATGGACAGGTTAGGTATTCAATATATTATACCTCGATGGGGGTTAGCGCAAAGAGGACAGTCTGATTACCGAGCTCCCCGTCATGAGGTGAAGCAAGAAGGCATAAACAACTTTGTTGAACTCTAAGCTAACTGTGGGAGCCTATGGCTATCCATACTGAAAGTATCATAAGCTACTACGTGTTGGCCAATATATAAACAGAAGAAGCACCAACCCATAGGAAATTAGCTCGGGTAGCCAGCCTGTGCCGTCGTGGTTAATACTGACTATCCTTTCCGATACGGAAAATCCAGCTGACTTATCAGCCCATGCCTCAACCTCCTCTTACGCCGAGATGGCGTCGGCTACCTAATCTTCTATCCTCTGTCGAGGGCGCTGCGTACGCCTTATATACCCTTACTATGTAAATCTATACCAGCCCCTGACTAGCACCGCTTATACCCTAACATAAAGCCATTTAAATATCTAGAGAGGTCGTGACTACACACGGAATACAGCGGATAGAACTCTCATACGGGCCCATCAGCATCGTGGTCAGTATGATGGGTATATCCAGGATTGCGACTGCTACTCTCTTCCCTCTTCGCACTCCGAGACTACCACAGCGGCACTTCCGGCAACTCTTACACCGTCAATAGGTATCTATGTAAGAACCCAGAGGCGTATTCAGCATCAAACCAACGTCGTAATAGGATGTTATAATCCCACCGAGCCAAGAGCCTAAAGTCATTGAGGCGAACAAGGCGAATAAACATATAGGTATAACCCAGCTAGATCATCACACAACAGTCGGGAGCTTCTAAGCCCTAATATATCGAGAGGAGAAAAGAAAAAAAAGGGAGACTTAAAGACCCGAGCCCAAGTTTTCCCAACTAGCTTTTGTAAGAGGAATGCAGCTGTCAGTCAATCCGGGCTTTATAAATCAAAGTGCAACATCAGCAAAGCGCCATTACAATAATTAAACTAAACACATCTTCTTACAAAATACCCAGTAGATATCGTCATGTGTCGAACGTTTCTATTCAACCCCCATACTCCATACGAATATAAAATGGCGCCGCTGTGTATACTAGCTAATTATTCAAAAACGCTACCTCCAACTCCCTGCCCGCTATCCCCTATCCCAGGACGCCGGTGTCTATTCCCCGTATACCCATTGAAGTGTGTGCGCGTCGCAGCCAATGTATTCTATAGTGCTGAATGAAAATAATATTAATAAGCTTGTTTTCAGTACGACCATGTACGAATAGTAATGCTGTTGAAATCTATTCGGCCGGTGAAGCTGCCAAGAAAATGAGAACCTTGGTGGCCGGGTGACACGGGCTATCACGCAAGCACCCGGCATGCTGTTGGATATGAATGGGCGCCCACGCCGATCAGTGCGGATCAAGACGCTGCACTTGTTCCGAACATTGCCCCCCCACCGTGGGACGAGCGTGACATATCCGCGATACCGAATATCGGTAGTTGTTATCTATACGATTTTATATACCCTCTTCGCAATGATAAAGCAGGCAAGGCCGAATAGTAGTAGTCCCGCGGTAATGGCGAAGAACCACTTCAGGTCGCCCTCGTATTCCTGGCCTGGAACCCAGACGTTCATACCCCAAAGACCGGTGATGATATTCATAGGCAGGACGATAGTACCGAGGACGGTTAGCTTGCCTAAAACATCAGCGGTCTGCTCCTGTCGTTCGTTCATACGGATGTTGATTTGTGCGATGTAATTGGCATGGCAACGGGCGAGAATCCTGCTCGGGTTAATTATCATTCTGGGAGGGGAACCAAAGGATTGACACTCACATTTCATAGTGACTGAGATTGGCCGTCATAGTCACGATATGATCTTGGATATCGCCAAGGTATAGCCCGATTTCGGATCGCGGAGCAACTTCCCAGTGCTCGTTACAGCGCTTTGCGAAACCTTTGATGACGTCCGCCTTGTTTCCAAGAAGTCGGTATAGAGTCATAACCTTCTTCCTGCAGTCGCCGACGCGGCGGAGCATATCTCCACCATTATCCGCATTCGCTTCGCTGCCTTTCTCGCCGTCTCTCGACCTTTTCTCGTCGGACGACGAAGAAGGATCAGAGGGAGAATGGAACTGTAAGATTCTGTCGTCAATATCGTCCACCTCCTCCTCGATGGACTGGATGAGAGGAAGGTAGATGTCCGTGATGTCGTCAATAATTGCATAGCTGATCCAGTCTGAGCTGAGGATCATAAAATCTTTAAGTTGGCGAACCCGGCGTCGAACATTCGCCGGGTGCGGGGTCTGCCTGAAATGAAACGAGATGACACCCTCGCGGAAAACCACGACATACATGTTGACCGGCTCTAGGTGGTTCTCTGATTCAGTGTTCTGATCGAAAGATCTGTAATTGACAAAGTAGTAGTGTCGGAATAGTTCCACCTTCTCACGTTGTTCCTGAAGCATGATATCCTCCGAGGTTAGAGGATGAATTCCGAACGCTTTGGCGAGCACCTTCATCTCCGCTTCGGTGGGGCTCAAGACATCCAACCACCATACGGGACGTTCGCCGTATCGAGGCTTCTTCTTCTCTCCATTTGAAGGAGGCGATTTGATGCCGGAGAATGGGGACTTGGACCGCGATGGGCTGTGGTCACCCGAATTATTTCTAGAGGAACTTGCAGACGCTGAGACTTGTTGTCTAGAAGCTGCACCTGGATTAAGGTCAGATGTTGGGAAATTTGGTGTGGAAGATGGCTGGCGAGAGGGTCCTCCAGTAGTTGCGCCGCCATTTCTGGTTGAACTTGGAGCCTGAATATGAGGCTCATCCTCCTCCTCATCATCGTCAGATGAGTCGGATAAAATTGGAGGATCTGGGAGGAAAAGTTCCTTGAAGCCTGCGTCTGGTTGAACAAGCTCCGATATGGTCTGACTGTGGATCGTGCTCGGGAACTCCTCGTTGAAGTAAGTGAATCGATACGGAGCGTCTTCCTCTGTTCGATACCACCCCTTATGGACCGGCCGCAACCTTCCGTTCACCAATTGTGGCTCCGTGATTTTCTTCATCCGTCTTTCTTCGCTCCGATCCTCCCTCTCGATCCGGGACCACTCTTCAAGGATGGACAAATCCGGCCACTTGTTTCGTCTTCTACGTCGAGCCCGAATACCGCGGCTGTCGCGAGCTTGCTGGGCATCCTCGTCGGCCAATTCTGACAGTCCCTCTTGAGGAAAACAAACATCCTCCTGTGCCTGAAGCGGGTCGTTGCTCGATTCCAGTACGCTATCGGGGCGAGGTGGATCCTCTGCGAGATCACCTCTCATCAAGACATCCCCAAAGCTCATATCCAGGGGATCCGAAGGCCCGAGCGTAGGAGTCCCAGGAATGGATGGCGGATAGTTGACATCATATTTATCAGATGGGGTCAGAGGAACCGTTTTTGATTTCTTACCCGATCCGCCAGAACCGGGACGACTGACGGATGTATCGGTCTTTCGTCGTACGTCTCCTGACCCGTAGCCTCGCGAAGAGGTAAGATCCTGCCGCGAAGAGGTGGGTAATAAAGGTGCGGTCTCGTTAGTGTCCTCGTCCACTTCCTCGTGGTCGTGGCTCTGACCGCTCTGCATTATACGCGACCGGTTTGATTGCGGCATGTGAAGGGAGGCCGTGAGGGTGGAAGATCGTCGCGGACGAGGATATTGATGCTCCCTGGATTCAGATTAGTTATAATGTTGTGATGGATATAAATTGAGGGCCGTAACAAACCTGTGATCGAGAAGCGCTTCGCTTTCGATGCTTGTATTACTCAGATTTCTCCCACGCATGTAGAACCCGGGCCTATTGCCGCTGTGGCTGGATGGAGGTATAACTTGGTCTGGAATGTTTTCTGGAGGAGCAGCGAAGGACTTCCGCCTCGCTTTCTTGTTCTTTCGTCCCGAACGGTGCTTTCTCTTGGGTGATTGGTTGGTGGTTGATGCCGTCGCATTGGAAGAGATCGAGGGGTCAGCCGGTGCGCGAGAGGAACCGAGAATAGAAAACTGATTGCTAGACATAACGGCGGATAGGCATTCTCATTGGGAGAAGTGTAAGAGGAAACTAGTTATTTGGGAACAGATGTGCGGACATGAAAGCGAGGTTAAGTTTTCATAAGGAGTCTCTTTCATAAACACAGAGATAATGTAGGAGGAATTGAAGCTTGAGCTTAGCTGCTCTAAGTTGCTCTAAGTTCCGTAGCGGTAATACACTAACCTATGCGGTTACCTCTTTTAGCATATCCTTAGCACATCCTAGGCTAGCACATCCCTCGGTGGTGATGTCAACGGAAGTACGGATTAGGCGGGTACCTAGGTGTACTTTTGTGGAGACTGCCCAGGTGATGCAAGACCGGTGACTGTAGGTGCCGATGGAATCTAAGCTTCAGCGTTACTTTTGGGGGCATTGGGATATCTAGACGTATCATGGATGTATTTATTCAGTTTATATAAAATCATGAATTAATGCATGTCGGAAAATTGCTATTTTTAAAGATCGAATGGCCTTGAATCGGTTTATGTAGAATCAGGTACTAGAATAAGGTATAAGACGGGATAGAACATGTGCAAAATGCAAGATAAACCTTGCTGCCTTAGTATGTATGTAGTTTCCAATTTTGGCCGAGAACATTAAGTGGGTAAGGTGACTTTACATAAAGGGTTTGCATTATGCTCAAGCCACTGTTTGATACCTGCATGAATTTAAACGGTGTTGGGGTGTTTGTTTCGTTTCGTCTTATAGTAAAGTTCATATTAGGCCCGAGACTTTTGCACTTGATTTATATCAAGGTTAATATACCGCTAATTGACCCTAGTGTTGCCCTATTGTGTCGGTGCTATTAGACGTGCTCATATTTTAGATTTAGTATTCGACATTGCGTTACTATCAATGCCGAATCTTACTACATACAGTGCGTAGTATCAGCCCTACTCCCTCGAGCTAGGGTGCGATGCCTTGTGTTCCGAATGCCTTTGTACCTGAACCGTAACCTGAACGCCAACTTCCAACTGTCCGTGGGGGTATGAGAAAATTGACAAGAAATGACTATTATACCTCATGGCCACCAAGGCACTCAGCGTCTTTGGGCCATCATACCCGCTCTTAGAGTCAAAATCTGTTGGCGCTCCGCCTCGGGAAGCTGATCGATCATCTCCTGTGACAAGTTCATGACTGCCTGCATCAGGGCCTCTGTATCCTGCGGTGGCGCCACGGCCGGCGCGCTAGCTGTGGGAGGCGCATAGCCAGGCTGGGCAGTTGCTGCAGCTGGCGGCGCGTACGGTGCAGCGACTGGGGGCGTGACCGTCGTGGCGCCAGTGTACGCGGGGGGATAACCGGGTACGGGTTGTTGGACTGGGGGCGGCGCAGCCGAAGAATCAACAACGGAATGTATAGCTTCGGGAGAGACAAGACCCATCAACAATAGAGCTTGGAAGATGGCGTAAGATAGCTGTGGTGCCTGCTGTAGTAGTTCCGTCGCGCGGCCTGGGTCGGTTGTTGCTAGAGATTTCATCTGAGAGAGAATATCGAGAAGCTGGCTCGGAGGTAGAGTGTTGAGCGTCCTGGAAATAGCGTCTGTAGCGCTCACCCCAGCAGGCAACTCTTTTCCGGGTGGGAGAGGGGGTAGCGAGCCTGCAGGAACAGGCTGAGGAACGATATACGAAGCGCCATTCGCGGGCTGGCCAGTAGTGGTGGATGCGCTGTTAGAGTCATCGCCATCGACCCGACCTTCCGTACTGTAGTCGACACGGAGCTTCCGTCCCATGATTTCGTAGTCGTTTAGGTTGCGAACTGCTGAGGCTGCCGAGTCTAGAAGGAGAAGTGGTAAGTATAAGTACAATATACAATCGTAGTAGAGGCCAAGACCCTACCTGCGTCGGGGTACTCTGCAAATCCGAAGCCCTTAGGCCGACCGGTATCGCGATCATAAACGAGACGGAAATTTAGGACTTTGCCAGCAGTGCTGAAGATATCGCTGATCTGCTCTTCCGATAATCCATAGGGAATATTGCCAACGAAGACGACACGCGACGGCTGTTTTGTCGACATTGTTGTCGAAAGCGACTCACGAACTAAGAGTCGAAGAAGAACTGTGATATTGGGGAGAAAGGGGTGAAGAAGCTGCTGATAGACTACCTTAGGTAGGTAATTGGCTTGGTTACAAAAGTGAATTGGCTTGGATAAGTATGTAAGGTCTGCCTCGTAGCTTTGAGGATCGACGTTTTTGGTTATCGATAAAGCCTATGAAGAAGTCGCGTTCGCTATTGCTAACGCGAGCACGGGCCGCTTACAAGTGGATAGATTAGGTACTTGAGTACATGTATCTCAGCTCCATTTGAGCCTTACGTTCTTAGGTCATGGTTAAAACTGCAACTTCGGAGGGGAAAAAAAGCCGAAACGCCATTGGTTGGAGTTAAGAGCTTCCTGATCTTTTCAACGTTCTAGTAGCACCACATCCTAATTTGTCACTACATCACCAACCAAGCCGCCACCACTACCATTTGACATCGCATAACTCTGTCCAAGATGTCGCGTTCTCCAATGGACGACTATGTGGAGAGGATGCGGACCATGGTGCGCCAGAACCGAGGTGGATTTCCTGGTGGTCGCCCTCCTCCCGGTGCGGGTATGGCAGCTGCCGCCGTCGGTTTAATCGGTGGTGGGATTTTTCTACTACAAAATTCCCTATTCAACGTCGACGGTGGTCACCGAGCTATCAAGTACCGGAGAATAAGTGGTGTAAGCAAGGAAATCTATACTGAAGGTTAGTCCGGCCTGTCCGAGTTCCTAGCTTCCGTCGTACGCGACTATATTAAATGCCATCCATACTCATACGACTACTGATAGGAACCCATATTATGATCCCTTGGTTCGAGACTCCGATTACTTATGATGTGCGAGCGAAACCGAGAAATGTCTCGTCTCTTACCGGCACCAAGGATTTACAGATGGTTAACATTACTTGCCGTGTGCTCTCCCGACCTAATATCGAGGCGCTCCCGCAGATTTACAGGACGCTTGGACAGGACTACGATGAGCGAGTGCTACCTTCTATCGTGAACGAGGTTCTAAAGAGCGTGGTAGCGCAGTTCAATGCCAGCCAACTGATCACTCAGCGAGAGAACGTTGCTAGACTAGTTCGAGACAACCTGTCGAGGCGAGCTGCGCGATTCAACATCTTATTAGATGATGTTTCCCTTACGGTATGTTAGAAGTGCCCTCGTGGAGAGCATGGCATTAATTTACTAATTTTGATTATTAGCACCTTGCTTTCTCCCCGGAGTTCACTGCCGCGGTTGAAGCGAAGCAGGTAGCGCAGCAGGAGGCTCAGAGGGCAGCCTTCGTCGTCGACAAGGCGAGACAGGAGAAGCAGGCCATGGTCGTTAAGGCGCAGGGTGAAGCACGATCAGCAGAGCTTATTGGAGACGCTATCAAGAAGAGCAAGGCGTACGTCGAGTTGAAGAAGATCGAAAACGCAAGAGTCATCGCCGCCCAATTGCAAGAAGCAGGTGGCAGAAACAGACTGCTACTCGACTCAGAAGGTCTTGGCCTAAATGTGTTTAGCGATGACCGCAACAGCAAGTCATAGGGATGAACGGCTAGGAGTAACTAAAATCTCCACTGTATGTTTAAAATAATACTTGTAAAATACGGGAATTTACAACTGCGTCCTGCTTTATAGCCTCAGGCTTCGACGAGTAAAACAGCTTAGTGCTTACACATGCAACGCCTTGCTATGTTCAAACTACATAAGATAGCCTGAATTGGTCCCCGCTCGGCTTACACATAGACGGGGAGCATTTTATAGGAGTATGAATATGATTACTCGTTTACCTTAGGTAGGTATAGGTAGGTAGTTATCCGTTCATGCTGGCAAATATGTTAATATTCGAAATTAGGAATTTGATCTGCTCAAGTGAGACGTTTGCATATATGATATTACATGTAGTTATCGACGTATAAGATATAAGGAAGTTCATTAATGTGAGCAAGTACAGTAGAAACTGCTGCGTCAGGTGGGGTATAATAAGCCCCACCTACTCAGGTAGACAAATAGTGAGTGTAGACACCCCACTATGCCCGCCTACCGCCTACGGGTAGTGGACCTATCACCTATCCGTACCTCTCACCCGTCACTTCCAGGCTGGCTATCATAAACCAACCATAGGTACTGGACGCAACTGTCGACATCTTATTCCTCCTTTCTTCCGTCATACACATACGCTACGCTACAACTTACTCGCCGGATACAACATCCTCAAAACCACTTACTTCTAAAACCCCCAAAGGTCGCCACCCTCCAACACCGCCAAGATGATGATCAAGTACGTCGCCGCCCTTCTTTTCTCCGGGCACCGCGCTCGTGAGATCGGACGGACCGAGCTAACACGCGGCGCAGAGTGAGAACCCTGACGGGCAAGCTGATCTCGCTCGATGTCGAGCCTACCTCCAAGGTACGTCGGCTTAACTATCTCGTCTCTTCTTCTTTGTTTGGAGAGCTGTCACCGCATTGCGCCATCTCACCTTTATTCCCGAGGAACACGCAATCAGGCAGACAGACAGACAGACAGATGAACGGATCAGGATGTTAAAGTGCTAACCGTATATTTTTAACTCCCCAGATCGAGGATGTCAAGAAGAAGGTCGAGGAGAAGGAGGGAATCACACCCGATCAGCAGCGACTTATCTACGGCGGAAAGCAACTGTACGTCTCTCCTGTTATTTATATATAACTACCCCCTCTACGCAAACAGTTATAACTAATCCCGTGCGATGCACCTATAGACACGACCAGTTAACCATGACGGAGGCCGCTATCGTCCCCGACGCAACTCTGCACTTAGTCCTGACCCTGCGTGGCGGCAGCAGCAGCAGCTGCTGCTAGACCCCCTCCCACACCCACCCACCCTTCCGACCCGAAACTCTAGATTCCAAACTCCCCAACTCCCAGCCGCATATCTGTCATATTGCGCCCTCAATAGACAGAGCCATTACACCTCCTACTTCTTAAGATACCTAGCTTCTATAGTAGTGCCGGCGGGGATGACAAGGTCTACGAACGGCGTTTATGTGGAAAAATAATAATAATGCCGTCATCGGGGAACAGGCCTGCGCATATTGGAACTTATACAGGTGCTCTCTGCTATTACGGAAGACTCCTATTCCTCTAGGTAGACTCGGCATCGCGGAATTACCGCTAATAGACCGTACCAACGCACCTAGAAGTAGCGTTCCCAATTAAGATGAACTATATGAATCTTGACTAGGTACTGATCTAGCTGTGAACCTTCGTGTTTTGCTTTGCCGGTCGGGGCATACGTCCTAGTACTTTGTTAGTAATTTGGTTATTTCTAGCCGTGACAGCACTGGAGGAGTTCTAAGGGGGAGTATCTACTAACTCGGCTGTAATTTACGATAAGTTTACACATAGTATGGTTTACGTTACGTAGACACAAAGATAGGCCTGGCTTTTATAACCCAATGCATTTCATTGAAATCAGTGCCTATCTATAGTCTGTGGCGCAGACTAAATGCAAACGCAGCATGTCTCATCCACCACTTTCTGCAGTATAAGGTATCCATCCTCCTACTACCGAGCCATATGCATACTGGCAGGACGCCGTAATATCAAGAGATGATAGACATCAATGTCATATCTAATAACTGGCCTTCTCCGTTCCCCTCCTTGAAATAAGAGGAGCAAATCCGCAACACAACCCTGCTCCTTGCAAATGACATATCCCCTAACGCCATATGTGAATCAACGGGCCCTCGCAAGGGAAATAGAAAAAAACGCTGTGCAGAGAGAAAGATCCGGTATTGTCGGTATGCCCACCCTATAGTAAAGAATCCCTCGAGATTAAACCGATTTTAGAAGTAGTTGAAAAGAAGAGAAAGTCTTGAAGGCGTCGTAGAATAAGTTTGCCTGAGTTGGTTGCTTAGCAATTTCGCGTATTAATAGATAGAATCTTGCATGTGCCTAACGAGTAGTCTAGGACCTGCGCTAGACGCCATGACCTTTAGGACATTCGTCGGGCCTTCGGCTTTGGTTTCATGAAGATGCTAGGAGGATCCTTTCGCTTCTGTCCAAGTATAGGCTTGGGCTTGGGCTTAGGGTCGGTGCTTGAGATACTGGTGCCCGTATAGGTAGAGCCCCCCGCTGGAGGGTGTGAGGAGGATGCCTTCGATGGCATCGAAGGTCGTGGAGGGGGAGAAGCTGCCGTATGTTTGGCCGCCGGCGGAGAAGATGCTGATGACCTGGAAGCTGTCTTTTGCGCAGGCGACTCGACGGGAACAGTTCTCACAGGGTTGTTCTTCCAGGAGTGACCCATCTTCATCCCAGCGAGACCGGATGAACCAGATGCACGAGTAGAACTAGAGCTAGGGAGCGGTGAGGGCTTGTTTTGAGAAGGCACCGCAGCACTCTTGGTAGCCTTAGGGGCATTAGATGTAGAAGGTGTGTCATCGTCAAAGAGGTCCTCCAACTCTTCAACGTTCAAACCACCTCCTTCCTGGGTCTCACCGTCGTCGTCGAACTGATCGTCTTCATCAAACTCGTCGTCCGATATAATAGTAGCTTTCTTTGTAGTAGTTCCATTCTTCAATTTGAGCAATCGAGCCTCGCGTTCCTTCTGTTCTCGCTCCCAGCGCTCTCCGGTACGCGACTGGGGCGCTTGAATTTTTCTCGGAGTAGGCATAGTAGGAAGTGTCTTGATCCGATGTTCCTCTCGCATACCAAGCGGAGCTTGGACGATCTGCCCCCGTCGAACCGGCAGTTGGCCGGTGGGAGTCATGAGCTTGTTTCGGCGACAGATTTCGGCCGCTTCTCGTCTAGCCTTCTGCATGATACTCTGAGCCGATGTTGTCTTAGTTCGCGATCCGCCGCCCCATCGGAGGCCGCCTGCACCAGCAACCTCTCGTCCACCCACGCCTCTGCGACGGCCCGGGGCGGGACCAAGGAGCTTTGCGTCATAATTGATAAGCTTACTGGCCTTCTCCTCTTTCTCCTTCTCAATGGTCTTCAGGCTAGAAGTCAGTTTCTCCAATGCAATGCGCTTCTCCTCAACTTCGATCTTCTTGTATTTGTCGTAGACTTTGTGCCACAGGGTAGGGTTGCGTGGTTCGAAGTTGTGCTTCTTTACTTGGCGAGGGAAATGGCGGTTGATGAGACGCTGCCAACATTCGGCATCATCGCCCTGGATATGAGGAGATCTCTCCTCCACTTCTCGTAGTTGCGCGGCATTGTCGATCTTCAGAAGGATCGGACGAAGAATCGAGTAAGGCGCGCTGCCTACATCGGTGATGTCTACCATTATGTCAGTGTCGTTTGCGAAATTTGTAGGAGTAAAAAGAATTGTGTGGTGTGGGTAATTGGGAGGAGAGTAGTTTTTGTGGTAGGGAAAAAAATGGTGGGATAAGAAGCTTGGACAATTATATAAAACAATGATGATGTGGGATGATAGTGAGGTGTGAGATAAAACAACAGCGACGGGATTAGTGCCGTACCTTTGACATTTTTGATACACACAGTAGTGCACAGATCAACTAACGTTTTGACCATTGTAGTTTTGACTTCTTCTAGTTCTTCTAGAGGCAAAAACAATGAAATGTTGTAAACACAGCCTGGCCAAGCCGGTGAAATTGAGTTCACAAACTCGTATTGTTTATTATTCCCTTGTTTCCTGTTTACGTTTGTTTACCCCAATGATGAAGTAATAAGTCCGATCAAAGGGGAAGGGGTTCCGAGCTGAATATATGATATCTCCGCAAGTAAATACGGAAGTCGTCAATTGGGATATAGGCTGTGAAGATGTTCACATAATTGGTCTAGGTCGGCGGTTGTCCAAAGGCAGTAGAGGAAGTATACACGGAGAAATAGCGTCAGAGTTCTTATAGGCAGCTTGGCTCTCATCTAGGAAGTCCCTGATTCGTTCTTGTCGAGTATGTTATTATCGTCCTTGCCGTTCTTGATGGGCTATCCACATGCTTGGATCATCCAGGCGAATCAAGGATTCCAAGCAGTAACGACGATCTATTAGAATTAAGGTAGTATATCGGTAAGAATAAACATGTACTATACAGTTCGTTGGTATTATAGTTGGAAGCTAAGGAGGTGGCTTTTGGGGGGCTCCAGCACATTGTTTCTATACTCGTACAAAGACTCAAAGGGAAGAAGATGTAGTTACGAAGTTGGAGTTGAGGCTGACACGTGGGTCGCTGATCTGCGATACTAACTTTTGTTTGGTGGCCCTACCGGTCCGAGAGCACGCTATATTACGGTTCACGCTATATTACGGTTCACGCTAGTATATTACGTTGCTTATATGTACGTATGTGCCTAGCTATTATGTAAGTTACGTTTTACCTAACTAACCTTTATGTACGGAAGTCCCCATCAAAAGTTTTGTCCGTAAGCCAGCCCTTATTAGCTTTTGACTAGCTTTGACAGGGCTTGGCAACAGCTGTAGGTCATCGAGCGCATGTACTATCTATAGTACACTATTTTCGCTTATACATAATGACTTAAAACCTTCTCCTTAAATAATAAAAATTATATAGGCGTATAGAGAAGCTTTTTTACTTATAATAGATCCAATTTTAATGTTTTCATTGGCATTTTAAAGCTAAAATTAGATATGTTATAAAAGCTAAAATTTTGTATACATTTCCAATCTTGCCGCATGGTGTCAGGTGGCACGTATGGACAAAACTTTTGATGGGGACTTCCGTATTACGTTACTTATATGTACGTATGTGCCTGGATATTATGTAAGTTACGTCTTACCTAACCTTTGCGTGATACGTATTGTACATTAATGACCAGGATATGCGCCACAGATATACTGAAGATTGATAACCTTATCCCCTTACTCATTCTTGCTAACCAGCTAACCCAATGAGTCAAGGGAGTCAAAACTCCATTGCATTGTTCTAGGTTAGAGCAGACATAGTCGAATAGACTCAAGGACTAATGCTATTCTCTGTAAAATATGGCTAGCTTATTACTGGGACGTCACTCATTACGTGTATAAACTACGAATAATTTACATCACCAATCATTCACCATATGATATTCAACAAGCAGCTACTAATATCCACATAGCTTAGGTACCTATACTACATACAAACTTGAACTCATTCGAAAACGCGTTTGCGATGTATTAACTCAGTAATATCAGACTCTGTCGCCCGAGAGCTATCTAAGGCTAAACCATAATCAGAATGCAACCAACCCAGCCCGAACCGAATGAAACTCCCATCATGATTTTGACGACCAATACGCCCGCGGCTGTTGGTATCTTCCTAGCCCCGTATTTCCCATGCGCCGTGACACCGTTAGACTATGCTTGTTAGAACCGCTCGGGAATATCCCAACAAGTGCAGCGAAGTATATACATGAACCATTACTTCATCTTTATCACCACGATCACCAATTACCCGGTAATAAGCAGTAAGCAATCATGCTGCAGCCGCTACAGCTCGAGAAGGTGTGGCGATAGCAGGCTCGGGTTGATCGGCTTGCGGTGCTTGTTCTTGGCTCGCAATTTCTCCGCCGGCTTCTGTCTCGGCCCAGGCTCCCCATAGACCACGCTTTCCTCTGACCCGAATAGGACCGCCGAGCGTGTCTTCTTTCTGCTCAACTTTGATAGCATCCTTGGTTGCTAACACCAAGCATTCAAAGAACATCTTCGTAGCGTCCGCCTTGGAGGTTCTCCCTTCTGGTAGAAGGTCCTGGAACACTACTGACTTCTTCCGCTTCTCTTCGTCGGTAGCTGCCTCTTCGCCGAACAGATCTCGGAGTACGTGGACCGCATGTTTCGTACCCATGGAGACTGGGCCACTATCAGCAGGGTGTACTATAGGGGCTGTAGTCTCGTCAAACGCAGGCATTGGGCTTCCTTCGCGGGGCTGATGATCGTCATCCTCATGTTGTACGACAGTTATGTCTGCGGGAATCTCAAGGATAGTGCCCTCAGGAGCAACACTGAGATCGCCCAGGCCTGTATCGGCGACAACTAGTCCCTCATGCTCTTCGCCTATGTCCAAGCGAGGCGATTTAGATGCGCCTTGGTCCTCTTCTCCGCCAATTTCAGCAACACCGCGATCTCTCTTTCGCTTTAGGCCGTTGATTGGTCTGATAGAATCAAGTGATAAGAGACCCCTCAGCTCCGGAGCCCAGGCTTTGCTACGGGCATCGCCCATGATGCTGGACACAAAATTGCCGCTGTTCTTTAGCTCAATTAGGGCTAAGAAATAAGTATCTCGCGAGATAAAGGTGGGTGCCTTTAAGATATTTTCGTGACTCTGTTGTTGTTCTTTAATGTGTGCGCTAGTAAGTTGAGTAGATGGGTCCAGCCCAAAGATCTTGCGCTTCTTTGACCTCTTCTGAGGAAGGGGTTCGGGCTCCTCGGGTTCTTGTCCCGGTTCATAGATACTGATGTTGTGCAGGCGCGTCCACTCCTCTACGTCCCGGGCTACGTTCTCATCGATATCCGAAAGAGGAGACTCCGAAATGCGAGCTCGCTCGAGGCCGCCAAGAGCACCACCCATCTCAGGCGCTACTGACTGATCTCCAATATTGAACTGGAAGTCGTCGTCCATTGGAATATCACCATCCCCATCCGCGATCCTAACATTATCCTCTCCAAAGTCCAGAGTCAGCGATGGCTCACGGCCCGCGCCCTTTGCCAGTGGTGCAATATCTAGCTCGCTAAAGATATCCTCTTCGACCGCTCGAGGTGCAGGTGCCTCTCGACCCATCTCGATACTCTTGTCCCCTCGAGGTCGCTCGTCGATATCCATTCCAAAATCCAGGTCTAACTCCAAGTCGTCCATAGGAGCAAGTGCTACCTCGTCCTCGTCCATACGGTCTTCGTGTAAGAACTGACTAGCGTTAAAATCCTCTTGCAAGTTGATATCGCGATTGCTCGGTCGGCCACGACCTCGAGAGGCCGCGCTACTCTGGGGGGCGTTAACGTCTTCCATCTGACCGAGCAGCCAGTTTGCATCTGGTGGTGGTAAAATATTCAAGTTGTCGGCAGGAGTAATACGATCAGGAAGCATCAACGCCTCCCGATTTGGCATAGTTAAATTCTCCGGTATATCATTGTTTCCAGTGGAACGAAAAGCCTACCAGCTTAGTTAGTAAGGCAAGGAGTAAACCGTATAGAAATGCGACTGACCATTTTAATCTTAAGCAGAGCTTCGTTGCAATCATCTAAGAGATAGCGGGCTTTTCGACTGTAGATTCGGACAACACCAAGCAAGAGCTGACCACTTAAGCGGAGCGCCATCGGCGCTTGGTTAGGAGTGATGATGGCATCGACACTGTCTGGCAAATTGGACTGCAGAATGTGAGTTTTGGAGAGCTTGCGCTCCAAGTTTGCCGACAACCAGACTCGGGCCAGAGGCCCTGTCTTCTGAAGCAAAGTCTCAGAATAAAACATCGCGACAGCGATGACGGAGTGGCTTGGAGTAGCAGAGGGTTAGGATGATAGGGAAATACAAGGCAACCGAGTAATAATTATGACATTAAAGAAATGATAAGGGTTTCGCGGGTGCGACAACGCGTTATAGTCGGGTCCCCTTGTCTGAGATAATGACGAAAGGCGGGAGGTATCGGGTGGTGTAAACAAGGGAATAGGAGCGCGTTGTTTTGGGCGCAGACCGCGTTGGAAGCCAGCGCTCGCACCGACTTTTGCTAGTTTAAAACCCAGAGTTTAATCAGCGCGACTGATGCGCAATGGTAGTATTGCGCGCGTAAATGGGATTGAAGCTACGATCGATAGCAAGTATATATTGAGTAAGGGTGGTGGGTGTTTGCAAGGTCGGAGAGAGGGCAAATGAGTTGAATGAAAGACTGAAATTAGAAGTGGAGGGGGATCTTTGGGGGGGAACAGCGTAGGAAAAAGTGATTCGAGATTGGGTCGCCCACTGACCGCAAGCGAAAGATTGCTGAACAGAGCGACTAAAAAAAAATCATCCGTTTCCCTGCTTAAAATCCAAGTGGCTGGAGGTCTACTGGGATCTACTGGGATACATAGTGGGGCATACAAGGTGAATAGCCCTTCTAATTGGGTTTCCTGTGACTTAAACTATGGCTTTTAATTGGGTATTTCTAGGCTGCTACCTGCAGACGGTGCTGAATTGTACCTCCCCAGAACTAATGTTGGAAAAAATGTTTAGAACTAAGACTAAACCCTTTCCGGGTCGAAATGCTGTGGCTGGTAATACTTTACATTGAGTACCTACCTTACAGTGCCTTTATTCAAGATTATATAACTCTCTTTAGAGGTGCAGCCCGTACGTCTTTGAGCTTATTTAACTTCATCTATTGAGATCATAAAATTGCTATCTGGGTATAAAGTCCTAAGTTAACACCTCGGTATGAAGTAGAGGACTGCATTTACGTACCGAATCTTGAAGAGTTCGATATCTATAGAGCTAGAGACCATTACTCGCTCGTTTTATATAACTTCCAAGACATGCGCCGCTAACGGCTTTTAGAAACATATATATAGCTTTCTGTCGTATGTATAACCTATAAACTGGACACCCTTGTAGAACTCTAACTTTAAGCCGGAAACGAAACCTGCCATTACAAGGTATGCCCTCTTCAACGAGAAAGTCTATAGCACTAAGCTATCGTCATAATATATTAGGTTTACTGAAGGAATCCCACAAAACTCGAGTTGTCCTATGCATATGTATAATTAATGCGCAACATGAACTTTTGGGTAACTTGTGACAATTTGAACTTGTATCTCTACTGAGGTTGTTCATGGTATGAGGCTGAAGGTCTGCAGCCACGAAACACGCTGCACCGCTGCAACAAGGGGTTAATCTTGCCTTAGCGTGCTACGATGGCGCTAAATGCTACGTTGGGTAGGCTCGACAGGCTGGTTGGTACGAAATCGGCAAGCAACTTTCCAAGATCCGAGCTTGCCTTACAGGGCATTACACTCCCAAAGTATTCCACGTTGTGGCCCCAATTTTGGAAAAAGGTCCACGTCTTCCAGATGCCAGATGCGCATCTAGCCAAAAAGTTCGCCAGGTGCGATCTTCTTTAGACATCACTAACAAACGTCACTTTATTCAACCTAGCTCGCGTTAATATGCATTTTTCTACTACTTTATAATTCTACGAGTACATTTTTTGCTATATTCTCAAGCAATCCTAAGTTGCTAGTGTGTTTGTTTGTTAATGTAAACTGGATCTCCCCCCGATGTGGCACTGCGTTTCTGCGCTTCGCCTGTCGTCCTCGTTCCCAAGATGCCATGGCCATGGCGCGATCGCGAGACCGATAACGAGTCACTACTTCCTATAGCGATACCCAACATTAATGGAATAGATCGGAACTGTAATCAAGATGGAGACGATTTTGATGAACGATCACGGTCGATCACTAGAAGATCGGGCCATGCCCGTACCACATCTGCTCAATCACGGGTAGGTTTTTCCTCCTAGGAGCACCTCGAACGATAGCCCAAGATGTTTTCGTTTGTTGGTGATTTATCGAGCTAGAATAGCTGCTAATATATTTCATTGTTGTAGTCTATAGCAGATAGCTTTTCTTTTCTAACACCTGCCGAAACAGCAGCGCGACTTCAAACCTCCTTGACTTACGGCCTCTCGCCTGCCGAGGCCCTCTCGCGACTAGGAGACTTTGGCCCGAACGAGATCCCTCACGATCCGCCAGATCCACTATGGCTTCGATTCATAATGCAATTCCGAGAGCCTCTAATTATCCTACTCCTTGCCTCTGCCTTCCTCTCGATTTTCGTTGGTAATATGGATGATGCTGTCAGTATAACCATCGCTGTGACCATAGTCGTCGCCGTTGGCTTCGTGCAAGAATATCGATCCGAAAAATCTATTGAAGCTCTCAATCATCTGGTTCCCAACCATGCTCATCTAGTCAGGGCGCAGCCGGCACGGCCCTCGCCAGGAACTAAGAGTTCAACGTGGCCTCCCGCTATTAGCGACCCTGAAGAAAAGCATATCGGATATGAATCAGGGACCCCAGGAGAGGAATTATTGGAAGCTACGTCGTCAAAGGTTATGGCAGCCCAGTTGGTCCCAGGAGATCTGGTATTTTTCACTACGGGCGACCGTATCCCGGCTGACATTCGGATTACGAGAGCTGCCGATCTGACCATTGATGCATCAAATCTCACAGGGGAGAACGAGCCGCTAAGAATGACTGCTGATGCGCGATTCCGTAGCCATAGCCCATCAGCATTTGACCAGAGTGCATTACGGCTCCCTACCCCATCTGCCCTATCCCCCCTTTCGTATAACGGGGATGCTAAAGAAGACGCACGCAACCATGGAATTAATAATATTGCGTATATGGGAACTTTGGTCAAGTCTGGTCATGGACAGGGTATCGTCTTTGCTACCGGCGGCAACACCCATTTCGGAACGATTGCCACGAGCGTATCGGGCACCGAAAGCCCCCGTTCTCCCCTTCAACTAAGTATGGACCATCTAGGAAAACAGCTCAGCCAAATATCATTCGGCATAATCGCTTTAATTTCGTTAGTTGGGCTCCTACAAGGCAAGAACATACTTGAGATTTTTACTATATCCATCTCGCTTGCTGTTGCTGCGATTCCCGAAGGGTTGCCTATTATTGTGACAGTCACCCTAGCTCTGGGTGTCCATCGCATGGCGAGGCACAACTCTATCGTTCGAAAAATGCCTAGTGTCGAAACGCTAGGCTCCGTTAACGTTGTCTGCTCTGACAAGACGGGGACACTAACCATGAACCATATGACAACAGCAAAGATGTGGTATTTTGGCACGAGGGATCCGATTGATGTTGATTCGGATGACGAAGCAGCAGAAAGGACGCCTAATACCGCGGTGCGGGGGATCCTACGAATCGGCAACATCGCAAACAATGCGCGCCTTACTCAATCCGCTAAGACTGTATTACCAGATTCTCAAGGTAGAGAATTTGCCCCTTACACGCGATGGGTTGGGCAGCCAACTGATGTTGCCATGCTCGATTTGCTCGACCGATTCAAGGAGCATGATGTGAGGGACTCGATTGGTCCCCGAACGGCTGAGACTCCTTTTAGCTCCGAAAGGAAGTGGATGGGTGTGGTAATCGGCGCGCAACCTGGGAACAGCGACAAGGAATATGCCTACATGAAGGGCGCCATAGATAAAGTCCTCGACGCTTGCGACACGTTTCTTACTGCCGACGGCCGCGAGATTGTCATGGACTCCGTCCGGCGCGAAGAGGCATTACAAGCAGCCGAAAAAATGGCGGAAAAGGGACTCAGAATCTTGGCGTTCGCGAGCGGCCCGGTCACCAAATCCTTCCGAAGCAAATCCGGACATGGTGTTTCCACACGAAGTACCACGCCACTTAGTCGAGATGAGAGTCAAAGCCCAGGGCTACCGTCTCACGAAGAATTGTACAGGGGTTTGACTTTCGCTGGATTGGTAGGGATGAGCGATCCGCCGCGGCCTGGAGTCTCTCGTTCCATTCGAAAATTAATGCGAGGCGGAGTCAAGGTCATGATGATCACCGGCGATTCTGCGACTACGGCGTTGGCCATCGGAAAGGAGCTCGGCATGCAAATTGCTATGCCTCGTGAACACTCGTCAAACCAAATCGCGGTGAAGCCCGTACTCACGGGTGACGAACTTGACGCAATGAGTGATGACGACCTTGCGGCCGCGATCCAGAACACGACTATATTTGCACGTACAAACCCGGATCACAAATTAAAAATCATTCGAGCCCTCCAATCACGCGGCGATATCGTTGCCATGACTGGGGACGGAGTTAATGATGCGCCAGCATTAAAGAAGGCTGACATTGGTATTTCTATGGGTTTGCATGGGACAGACGTGGCAAAGGAGGCTTCCGATATGATTCTAACGGACGATGATTTCTCTACGATCCTTCGCGCCATTGAAGAAGGCAAGGGCATATTCAACAACATCCAAAATTTTATCACATTCCAGCTTAGTACCAGCGTAGCTAGTTTAGCTTTGGTCTTCATCTGCACCTGCATGGGGTTCAAGACCCCCTTGAATGCTATGCAGATTCTCTGGATCAGTAAGTAACCATGCCCCCTTATATTTATCCTACAACTAACATTAAATTCAAAGATATCATTATGGATGGCCCGCCAGCCCAGTCTCTAGGTGTGGAACGAGTAGATCCCGATGTCATGTCCCGACCACCACGATCCCGAAGTGAGCCGGTGCTTACGAAGGCCCTACTTCAACGTGTTTTGACCTCAGCTGCCATTATTATGGTGGGTACCATGGTCGTATATACTCACGAAATGCTAGATGGCGAAGTCTCACGACGGGATACGACAATGACATTCACGTGCTTTGTGCTGTTCGATATGTTCAACGCGTTAACGTGCCGGTCAGAGAGCAAATCTGTTTTCAGGGGTGAAGTGGGCTTATTTTCCAACAAATTATTCAATTGGGCAGTGTCATTGAGCATAGCGGGTCAGCTACTTGTTATTTACTTCCCGTGGCTCCAGGAGGTGTTCCAGACGGAAGCCTTGGGGCTATTTGATCTCATCAGGTTGGTCGTGCTGGCGAGCTCGGTGTTCTGGGCAGACGAGGCTAGGAAATGGTACAAATACGGACGGAGGCGGTTGGGCGGATACAGCCAGGCGGTTTAGTAATTCTAGGCGACGACGTTACATACATTATACGGGGGGCCTATGTTGGATTATACAAAACATGTAAATCTATTTATGAGTATATCTACCTACGTGTAGTACGCCTCGTGGAAGACGTAAGTCGTCGATATTGCGCCTCGTCCTGCGGTCCTCTCATCTGTGCCAAAAGCCACCTTCGCATGTTCCGCCTCTTCTGATAATCGGGCTTCTGCAGCCCATCGTTCAGAGTGCCGTTGCATCCGGACCCGTTGATGCCTCGAGCCTCGTAGATTACCTCGCCTTTTCTCCTGTCGAGGATGGTCTGGCTCTCAGTGCTCTTGGTGCTCTTGGTTCTCTTGGTGCTCTTAGTGCTATCGGTACTCTTATTGGTCTTAGTTGCGGTTTGCTCTTTAGTGATGTCTGCCCTCGGCTTTGCAATACGTTCCGCTTCGCTTCCAGACTTCGTGGGTGCGGTTGTCTCAGCCATTCGCAGCAGAGTCAAGGAGCTATGTTGCGCTGCAACTACCTCCGGTTATGAATTATATGTAGTAGCACGAGGAAATTTCTATTGCTTAAGCTACCGTGCCGGACACGGTTGTTGGTCTTGGTAATTAGGTAGAGGTAGCTAGCTGTAAACTAATATGTTTTGCTCAACGACGAAGGTGCCAGTTCAGAGCCTAGTAGATACGACACTTGTAACGTGATAATAATATGATAATGTGAATATTTTAAGGACTGTTCCTCTAGAGGTTTTCCCACGCCGCTAGCAGCGTGATGCATTGAGTCGGTTAGATGGGTAGCTATTCGTAACCTTCTTTTCCCAAAATCTCTCCAGGAAACTATGTATAGGTACTTTAGAGTACGAGGCAAGGGAACAAGTAGTTCATATAGAAAAGTATCTCCATATTTCTTTGACGAGTAGATTCTAGGCTCAAGAACTTGTGTCGACGGCCGTACCACTAAATGCGGTATGCCATGTCATTGGATAATCGTTCTGTGTAAACGTTCTCTTAATAGGCTGTGACAACTAGGTTAAGGAACTGTGTTGGTATAAGTGGGTGGAAACAGTTAACCTAGGAGCTGTTCAGGAGACAATGGGAGTTCTTATGATATACGTAGCACGGTCTTTGTGTCGTGTTCGTTGGCTTCGGTTGAGCTTCTGTTCGAATGTCTTTCATTATAATTTTGTCTTGCTGGTAACCATAGGATATGTGCTGTCTGTTTCTCATAATGGCTACTGAGTTCTAGCAAATGTATTACGTAGACACTTTTCTGCCACTAGAAGGGGTAAGTCTTTTCTCTCAAAGTCGAGCTACTCAGAGATTACATGTATAATTATGCGCCGATTGAGTTCCTACCTAGTCCTTATATACAGATTTGCCCGTGACTATTAGAGAAGATTTTAGTATACATAGGCAATAAAGTGACAGTGAATCCCCCTTTACTTTTAGTTGTAAGAAACGTGCAACTCAATAGACCCGCCCTATAGAAGAATATAGTTCAACACCGATGGCTCAGAGTTCCATCATCGCTTCAAGGCGCATCGGTAGGATCCCTATGGCTCGTTGTCAATATAGATCATAGTTCGTGGCATCTATTACGCGTGACTTACCAATCCGTAACCAGTTTCTCATCGAGTCCGTCCATTCTCTCCATATCTTCCGCGGAGATCTCAAAGCCGCCTACCTGGCCGTTTTCAATCTGACGCTCGCGTTTTGTGCTCTTTGGCAAAGGAACGAGTCCGTGCTGAAGCGACCACCTATCGAGCGTCAATATCGATGCGCGGCGTAGAAATTCCCTCGTCATTATAGACTCGACTCACCGAATCATTAGCTGCGCAGGCGTACACGAGTACTTCTTCGATAATTCTACGATGGTCGGATGTTTCATACGCATCCCATGAGCTAGCGGAGCGTAGGCCTCCACGACGATAGTAAACCTGGCGCATGTAGCCCTAATCTCAGTCTGCGTGTTGAAAGGATGGACTTCGATTTGGTTGACTTGCGGGGGGTGCCTTGGCTTTGCCAGAATGAGCTCTTCTAGCTAAACTCAGCTGAGTGGTTAGTTAAACAAAGCTCTTCCTAGACAGCGTCTTCTAGGTTAGGTACTTAAAAAGATGACGACTAACGTGGCGGGTTCCGTAGTTGCTAATTCCACCCGACTTGACCTCCCCCTCATCGATCGCATCCTCAACGGCCCTCCAACTCGCCAGTCGAGCCTCGCGACCGCCATACGGGCTGTGAAGGAGAAATAGATCGATATAGCCGAGCCCGCAGGCGTCAACAGACTGCCGTATAGACCGGCGCACGGTATCGTAAGATTTACTATTGCTAGCTAATTTCGAGGTGTAAAATACGTCGAGGCGCGTGGGGTCTCCTTCCCTGCCGTGATAGCCGGGAAGGTAATCACGGATAGCTTCTCCAGCTTCCCTTTCGTTGTTGTACATCTGAGCACAGTCGAAGCCCCGGTAGCCCACAGCCAACGCCGACTGCACGGATGCCTTGGCTTCCTGAGGACTCATCTTGTATAAGCCCAGCTGGATCTGGGGCATGAGCTTGCCGTTCGGCAGCTGACCAAGTCAACGTCAGCTGAGTGAGATGGGGCTTGCGATGTACGTATTTTATAGAGATGATATATATCACTTACCTTGATTTTACTGGCTACCGAGAAGTTGCTTGCCGACATAATGAGCCTCTGGGTTATTAGATACGAGATTTGGAGGATTTCTATATAATGTGGAGGTTTATTGTATGGTTCGGAATTATTGAAGTCAATCTAGATAGATATCTAAGGTGCCGGGTGTTATATATACGTAGTTCTATTTCCCTTACCTCATACTTCGTCAACGTCGACATCACACCTACGGTACCTACACCTAACCTATGCCGAGAGCGGCCCCGCCCGGAGGACGCCGAGTGGTAGATCCTCCCGCTCATTTTATGCTTAGCTCACTTATAGTATCTAGATATTTCTTTGTTAAGATTGATGGCATAGTTAAAGCCTACCTAGTTAGTATGTATGTTTCCACGATACTATTTGTTTCGGTCTCATTGCTACCAATCAAAATTCAATAACATCACAAGGTTCTGTAGTATTTCAACCTTTAAACGTCCCGCCTGTCATATCTTTTTCTTAATCAAGGCGTAAGAGAGGTATGCAACCTTCTCTGCTAAATACCTCCCTTTATGAGTAAGCATATTTACGATGATGGTGTGATACTACCTACCTCTTAATGCTTCTTCCATTCTCGTACTCGGATTACGCTACAATTATAGTTGGTAGGCGGACACGTCAAGGGTCGCATGTCGTAGTCTCCAAACGGCTATTGAATCCTAATATAATATTATATTGAATTATTTATATATGTAAGGATAAAACTACTTGAGTAGTAACTTTGATTATTATTAACTAGGTAGTTATTATTTTCAAAGGATACTAAGGATCAGTTGACAGTTTCGTCGGTCCGTTGTCTAATACATGTACAGTAGTAGTAGGTAATGGTGTGAGAATGTGAGAATGCTTCAATAGCGACACCCGGTCGCGGGATGATTCCTATAGGCCACCTAAAAGCCATCTCCGCTACTCTCGGCTTAACTATTTCGGCCATGATTCTGCGTAGCACAACAGTAGGGAGCTAATGTATGGGAGTATAAAAGGCAAACCTGACAAAGGTACGCAGGGAATTAAATAGGTAAGTAGGTACATGTAATACTGTCAAATGCAAGACACGACATGTCATGACATGATATGACATAGAATAGATGAGGAGAAAAGTCTTGGTTCCTGGACCTAGCTCCGGTGAATGTTTTAAATAATTCACCACCGTCCTGTCAGCCTGTATATATGTATGTTTCTATTCAACCTTGCGGAGATCAAGAACCAAAATAGTAACACACATGAGCTCCCCATAGAAAAAGGATGACTCTTTGGGCATGATTGATGGGGATAGACTTTAGGTGGGATGGACCTTAGGTTTCTTTAGGTCTCTTTATCGCTATCGGTAAAAAGTATGTGTGGCTGTCGCGCTGTGATAGGTTCTACTAAACGTGGCTAGTACAATACTAAAATTGGGATCTTACCTCTACCTAGTATAGTGTGTACCACAGCAACCTAATGACCTTGTATTCGTAGGCGTTGTACGTTGTACGTTGTACGTTGTACAGGTAGCAGGTAGCAGGTAGCAGGAAGGTTCAAATCACGCCAAGACTCATTCAGGCAAGAACGCACTGGTCGCTGGTCGCTGTTGTTCTGTCCGTCATCCGTACCCGCCTTTGCCTTGCCTCGCCTCGCCTCGACGATTTCCTTTACGCATGAACTCATTCCACCTCTCGCCATTCTTTGTACCAACGAACATTTTGCTAAGCATCGCGTCTCCGCCATTCCCTTTACGCTACATACAATCCTCACCGTCGCTTTGCGCATATACACCCAAACACACCCACTACCGAGTACCTACCATTCATTTCCTAGAGAGACTAAAGAGGCATTATTAATTCTGTACCTCGTATCCTTCGACTTTTTTTTAATTTTTACGAGAAGAGGTCCCATGCGAACAGGACAAAAACACTAGAAAAACCAGACTGCATCGAAAGGAGACCTCGCACCCCTCTCGCCGACGATATATACACATGCCTCAGAGCATCGCCGCATCGATATCTCCCGCTTGTTTTCCGATCGATACTGCTAAAGCCCTGGTGAGCCCAACTTCAGTCTCGCGCCGCGCCGGCGGAAGGGGGTTCGAGGCATATGATGCCTGGTGTCGTCATGATGGAGAACGGCGTTCGGGCGTCGCTACCCACAAATCATGACAGAGACCACGGCCAATTTGTTAACGGCAACGGCAACGGGAACCACGCACCTCAATCCGCTCCTGACCGACACAATGGCATTCCTACCGGGGCCGGGGCTGGTAGCAACAACGGAGCAAGCTCCATGGCGAACAAGAAGGAACACGGCGATGCCGCGAATGCAGCGCAGGTACAGCGGACGAGCTCTAACCCGTCGCGTATGAACGACCTCCCAGATGAGATAAAGCATATTACAGATGGATTTATTCCCTTGAGTGTGTTGCTATCGCGACTCGCGCAGAAAACCCACAACCAGCTAGCTGATGAGATCGTTGCTTTGGCCAAGATGCCGGCGCCGACCTCTGTTCTTAACGGCAATTCCTCACATGGTCCCGCCGTAACAGACGATACTTCACCCGAAAATCTCAGCAAAAAGACTAGAATTCTAAACTTCATCCAGGATAAACACGCCGAATGGGTAAAAGCGACGGTAATTGCGAGATGGAGCAGGAACGCCTCATCTGTCAGCAGTCTGATCGACTTGCATTCTCTTATCAGAATGGAGCAGAAGAGGTACTTTGATATTATAGCTATTATGGCAGATCATCGATGGTCCCTGGCCTTCGCACGACTTCCAAACCCCGACCTGCGAACTGCTCTCCACGTACTTTCCACCGGAACCGCCCCCTGGATGCCGGATCTTAATTACATCGACCCTCCTCCTCTGACTCAAAAAGAGCAGCTGCAATGGATCGAAAACCTGAACACGCTACTTTCGATTCGACTTAATTTAGAGGACTATGATAATATCCCTTACCATTTTCGAGACTACACCATCGATTCTGGACGCGTCACCTTCAAAGTCCCTGGTGAGTTCGAGGTAGACCTCACGATAGCCGACGAGGACTTCGAGAAGCAGTTCTGGTTCATCGACTTCCGGTTCGATTTTACCCCAGCACCCTCTGAATTATCCGACTCGATGAGAATGCATTTGGAAGGCAAAGTCAACGAAGTGCTAGAAAAAGAAGGCCTTAAGGGATGTTATAAATTCCTACACGAGCTAGTACTAACTCACAAGATTACGGAATACCTGCGCCAGGCTGCCGAGCTGAACAGGGATCGTTGGGTGGATACCCTCAAGGTCGAGCGGCTTAACCGGGCTTTGGCTATTCAATATTGGGTCGGCCGCTACCCGCCGGAAGGCCCGAAGAGTTGGATCATCTTAGGCGTTAGCACCGGCAAGAAAGCAGATGCACCCGAGGACCCTAAATCGACGAGTCATCTTACCTTACGTTGGTTTAGGGATAATAAGGAGGTGAAGGACGTAGAGGTTCCACTTGACGATGCGGTTATCTCGACGGAGGATCTCTTAAACCGTGTCATCGGAAGGCATATCGGATATATCCTTGGCTCAATATACTCCAAGTTAAAACCGAGCGGACGTTTCACCAAGCGAGAAGCCGGTCTTGCTCTAGACGTACGAGAGGACGACCCGTCACAATCGTCGCTCAGGGTGCAAATAGGTTACGACCACTATCTGACCGTTAGAATCAGCCCCATCACCGGATTGTTCACGATGAAGCCGCAGTCGAGCATGTCTTGGAAAGGGGAGCACAGGTTAAACTGGCTATCGAAAGATCCTATTCAAGACGGGGCTGTCTGTGTAGAAGGTGTAAGATGTCACTACGTCGTCGACGAAATTATCCGACGCGGGAAGAGTACGGGCTGGTTCGTCTGTAAAGCGCCCGTGAAAACGGAGGCTGTTAAGGAGGCATTAAAGTCGCGGGAAGTCGGCCAGCTTGTGTGGCTCAGACGACGTGGTTGGACAGATCGGTGGTATTTGATGGTAAATATGAGCTTAAGCGGGGATGTATGGTGCTTGACGGAAGTGTAAGTTTTGAAGACCATCCCTCTCTGAGCCCACAGCTAATGAAATATTGCGCAGCTATAATCCTCCTACTGGAGACCCGCGAATCTCATCATTTACCAAGTTGCCGTTCAGCTCTTACATGCTAAACCTCAAAGACAAGTTCTTCTCCAACTTGACCATATTCACTGCCGCTATAATCTCTCATATAACGGACATGAGGACCCTCCATCATCGACGAATCAAACACTCCACTTACGCCGGAATCAACTACACCCTCCCCCCTAGCTTGAGGGTTCCAGCCATATTTGTAAGGCTTACGGATATATTGAGGCCATCCCAACCGAACGAACCCGGTCGGCAAGTTGCATCTTGGGCGCACGACTACGTGCAAATTACGTTCAGGGGCGCAAGTGGCCCGTCTACTAAACCGCAGATTTCAGACCGTCATTTGATGACCGTCGAGGGTACCGGGGAAAATGCGTCGGTACAAAAAGAGTCGTTGCATATATTCCTAGAAGCTCGGATTCAGGTTTCCAAACCGTCCAGGTTTGGCCTCCTTAAGGGGCACGTTGAACGGGATGTGGCATTTAGCAGACGGTTAGGGGTATTTGCGCTTCGTTTAGAGGAGAAAATTGGAGGCACGATGTTGGATACACTTGCTCAACGTCTACAGGCTATTGACAAGCTAGCCGACTGCATCGATGCGATACGCCAAAGCGACAGGGACATCCAGTGCGAGGAGATTACGCTTACAAAGATCGTGGTTAATTATACAGACCGACTAAAATCGGAGGCCGGTACGGCAGCGCAGCTACATGGTCACCGTTGGAAGGCGACATTAGAGTTGGGTCCGAACGGAACTAGGCTACTGTTCGACAAGGGCAACCCTCAGCTACGCGCCCTGGATCTGTTCCGACAACTTGTTAATTCGGACCTTCGCTGCGAAAAGTTACCATTTTTCTTATCGAGCACGTTGCCAATCCACCGCGCTTTGGATTCAGTCGAGGATGCTTGGGCTCCTCTCGAGATAAATAACCAAGGTCGCGTTGAAGTGTTTGTAGCGCATCTGGATTGGTTCGATATACGCTACTACCTTCCACCTAGCAGGAATTCACACGTCCCGCGCCGTTTAACGCTACAGATTCGACTCAAAAAACGTCGCGATGGTGTCGAATGGGTAATGTCTCGCGAGGAATCCATCACGGTAAAGAAACCCGATGATGAGTTTAAGCAGGCACTTGAAAAGGTCTGGAATGCAGATAATAAGGTGTGGCGTTCTTTGGTTGACGCGGCCGCGTGCAAGACGGACCACAGCGTGGGAGATTTGATCAGAGCCGTAGACGAAAGCGTTAGGCGGCTCTTGACGCGCTCACCAACGCTTTTAAAACAAAACCATCCCAAAGCCCAGGTGCCGGCTAAGAACCAGACCCAGGCTATGTATCATAAGGCGATGGCAGCCGGTAGGGTTCGAATGCAGACGGACCAAGTGGTGGTATTGGATGACTAGGCAGCGGAAGAGGAAATAAATCAGTGATGGCGTAGGGAGCAAGCAGGTATACGACCAAAAAGTGTTAGAGAGAGACTGCGATGTGAATCGGGGATGCCGGCCATACTTGAGATACCCTTAGGAAACAGAGGCACGAGGCGACAGGAGAATTGCCTCCATCGTCCGAAAGTCACAAATGAAATTATTAGTAATGATTTACATTCTCGGGACGCTTTTGTTTCTGAGTAGCAATGCGATGACTTTGACGAATGTATGTTCCTATAACAGATAGGTAGTATGGCAATAAGTACCTGAGTTAATGTATTCAATTTGTCTATCCCCTTCGGTTTACGAAGATGGGGAGGATAACCGAAACTACTAATAAAAACATGATAGTTATACATGATAGGAACATGCAAAGTTGACGGCATTTATTCTCCTTTCGGGTTGAAACCGGAACCGAGTTTTGAATAGCGGTTTCGCGGCGACGGACCGTGCTGTTAGGGCCCTGTAGCTCAGGATCAGTTACCAGTATAAGTTATACCTAATCCAGGCGCTACAGATGCAACCTTGGGAACACGACAGCCATACGATAGGGGCCCTTTAGCCGTTTATGATTCATGATGTCAGGGTACCTATACGAGCTCCTGTTAGCTAAGGCTTAGGTAGGTTAGGTATGGTACATGTAGGTATGTAAATATCGTCGACTGGTTGGTACGACTGCTGCTGATATTTACGTTCTAAATAATAATTGACGGATCGACTCGAAGATATCTAAATTCTCTCCTAGACGCAGTTTGAATATACCCTACGAGATAGGGCAGTACAGAGTAGATCTAAGAAATAATGTCGTGTAAGTTTTATGCCGTATATACGAGCCTAACCTCCGATTTGCCCTTCTCATTCCTATTTCTGTTCCTATTCCCCCGCAGCGCGGCCACCCGCGAGATATTGCTATCGCATCTTCAGCTGGCTGCATTGGTGCTATACCCTATATATCCTCATTGCCTTTCTACATCACACTCGTAGATCACTGCGGACACACACACACACACACACACACACACACACATATATATATTAGTTATCTAGGTGCCCGGCTATGTAGAATAACTAGGTACTCAAACAACTAACCCTCCGGACTCATGTAGTCTTCACAGGAACAACCAAGCTCGTCAACACCTCGCCGATCCCCTCCTCCCCGGGCCACCACCACGCCCCCCGCATCACCAAAGCCGCGGCCGTCTCGCTCCTGCACGACCACGTCTTCTACCTCAAGTGCGAGCCGCACTACGTCTCGCACCGCGCCCTCCCCCCCACGCCCTCCAGCGCCGACGCCGCCAAGGCCAAAGCCGCGTACCAGCTGCCGCGGGACCTGGAGCCGCTGGGCGAGCCCGCGGTCAAGCTGTACGAGGTGGTGGACCACGTGCCGAACCCGGTGTGGAGCTCGAGCGTCGTGAGCAGCGAGGAGTTTGTGGATTTTAGGGACGGCTTGTGGGTTAGGATCCGCAGCCCGTTGGCGGTGGTTATGGAGACTAGGTGGACGGTGAGGGAGAGGAAGGGGAAGGGTACTACGGGGCAGGAAGAGGGAGAGGGAAAGGGGGAAGAAGAAGAAGGGGGGCTGGAGTTGGTGGAGGATGTTATGATTAGTTGCTCGAAATTACTGATGGGTCTTGTGAAGGGCCAGGTGGAGAGTAATTGGAGGGAGATACATAGGAAGATCGCTGCGAGGTTGGTTGAGGATGCGAAGAAGGGGGAGGTGAAGGAGTGAGGAAGATGAGGGTGGTGGTGGATAGGCGATGAGGAGAGGATGTAGATTGGTTTAAGGGCGTACATATTTCATATATATATGTCTTGATTACTTCATAGTTACGACGGCTATGTTACAGCTAGAATGGGTTGGGTTTATATAAATATTTTACTTGACCTAGAGTTACTAGGTAGGTAATCAGAGTGTTAGACTTGGCCGTATATAAAAGTGAAGGTGAAAAAAATAGACTGTGCATTACTAAAACAAAAGCAAACAGCGGGAGGTAAAAGAATGGAAGGAAAGGAAAAAGGTAAAAAGTGAAAAAAGTAAAGTTGCCAGCTGCAGGGTTCGAACCTGCGCATCTCTCGATAATGGTGTTCAAGATCCTGAAGACTTAAAACCACCGCCTTAGACCACTATTACGGGATTTGTTAGTGCGTGATTTCTTTTTTTGTAGAAGTTCTGGTAAAAACTTACCTCGGCCAAACTGGCTTGATTGCAGTAATTGCTTTACGTTCTTATTACGCCTTAAGTGTAGGTAGGCATTTGCGACCGACCAATCAACAAACACTCCCCTTTTATCAGGTAGGTACTTGGGTACATCCGCACGAGATTTATGTATCCCCCTTTTCGATGAGGTGTTGAGTGAGTTATTTGACTATGTACATACACACCAGCACCGGTTGATGATAGCTAGGTACCTAACCTATATATGTATCTTGCCTAGGTTTATTCGCTTTAGTGTATCTGTTAATTTATAATTCGTCGCTCGTGCGTAAGAATAGGACGCAGGATATCATGCCGAATTTATGTATCGTATCGTATCGTATCGTACGTTTTCGCTGCCCGACCAAAAGTAACCGATACATTATATAAGAACCCAAATAACATAGCCATGGATATCGGGGGTCTCGAATGCTAAATAAGGTATGTAAGGTATGTAACCAAGTCCAAAATAAGGGTGGCCGAGGAGGTAGGTACTCGAGAGGTTAAGTTTGGCATTCATAGAACATCCAGGGACGTAAAGACACTACTGTAGTCTGTGCTTACTCGGGCCGATATTTCTTGATAGTAATTGCATATAGTTAAGTCTGATTACGATAGTACCTATATTTCGAGGACTATTGGGAGTGACGGGAGGAAATGCTGAGAGGGTAGGATTAATATGACTGAATATTCTACCGAAGCAAGTTGATGTGTAGGTATCAATCCGTACTTTAGGATATTTGAATATGATTTAGAATCTTTACCGCTCGACGCAAGTTCGTAGCCACGGTTGATCCCTATCAATAGTCCAGTTCGACACTCTACGCCGGGTATCTACTCCAAGTCGTTTTGAATGTCCTCGGAGCCCTAGCATGAGCTATTTGCCTCTCAAGTTTCCATCAGAAGCTCTGGGGAGAGATCGCGGTACTTCGACAAGGCCTATGCGAACACAAGTAATCCAATCTAGGTAACACGGTTAGAATCTATGACATGTATTCACTATATTCCCACGTCTCGCCTAGGCAGCTTCGGGCAACTAAAATATCGTCTCTTCGTCAGATACGATTTGATAAGACGTTGCCGGCTTGTAATTTCTAGGGTCGTCACACGAACTCGGTGTATTTACGCGTTACTTGTGTATTCGGTTATTTAGGTAGCAAAGTTAGCTGCCGTTAGTAACTCTAGCCTCTTGCTCCGGTAATAAGTCGCCAGAAATACATATCGTAAATCGTGACTTATGTCCCTTACTTTAATCGTACATAACTATTTGGGAAGTTGCTAGGAGAAGTGTAAAACGTTGAAAATCTCGGGGAGAACATTTCGTACGGCGATATGGCCGTGAGGTCAGACAGCGTTCCTAAAAGCGAGCGCTCGTCTAAGTAAATGAATTTATGCACTCGGGGATAGCTCGCAGCTTTCTACTCACGTTGCTCCATCTAAAATATAACGAGACATATAGGTACAGCGCTACCAGACCACCAAGCTTTAGCAGGGTATTTGGCGAGTACTGAATAGGAGTCGTCCTTTTTGGGAGCATGGTTAGGGAGTCCTTCGAGCTCCATTGTATGTATATATCGAGGGCAGTTAAGAGTTCCTAGGCAAAGGGCCCGGAGCGGAACCAATCGTAACGCAGTATCCCGACCTCAACTGCTAATGAAAGTCATGTCCTGGCGTGGACCCCCTCGACCGCTGAAATCCGCACCTACAGCCACGGAAGCAGAAGCGGCCGCGAGCTCCGGCCGAGTTCGTCGATATCGAACGACCTGTCGCTGTCGGGACGGTTACGACGAGTTCGTAGGTATATTTCTTAGTAAGATCCAGGGGTCGTAACCGGTTTTTGCAGAGGGCAAAGGAGCAATCGGACGAAAACTCGCAGCATGTCTATCCCGCGGATCTAGTAGGTATATGCACGTCAAGTTTCAACATCACCCATCTCAATTGCTTAGATCAGGAAGATCCATGTAGGGTTGTGCAGGTATTGTACGGCGACGGAAGGAAGCCGGTATCAGGGGTTCTGCATGTAGGGAGAGATCAAAGCGGGCTGGCATATGCGAGGCACTGGCCATTAGCAGCAGTATGGCGATACATAGTAGGTAGGTTTGAGAACAGCTATGAAGTCAAACTATGTAAGGCTACTAGATTGCCGCAAAGAACCATGAGACTTATGATATCTCGCTCGCCGTTATTCCGAGCGAGGAAGATAGATACTACGTGAGGATTGACGAGGTTCGCTATCGGGATTACCCCCTCGAAAAAGAAAGAGCAAGGGTTGATCTTCGTGCTTTTCTTCGTAGGGTTCAAATACCTAGCACCAACTAGATGTCTAAACCGGCATAAGGCTACGACACATGACTTGGCGAGACTGCGGCAGCGGTTGAAACGGTAGTGCCGGTGTTGTTCTTTTCCGAGATACCTAGGCCAGACGATGCTTCAGGCACCAACTTCGGGTATCAATTTCAGGTATCAACTTCCGGCTCGGTCGATTTCGTAAGAGATATTTCAAGTCTAGAACTACGGAAAATAAAGCATGTAAATAGGTTCTACCGGCCCGGTAGAAATCCACTCGCGACTATGTTTCGAAGCCTCACTCTGTCAAAGCGGTCAGGTACTAGCGGTCTAATATCCGCTTCCGAGCGGTTCGCGTGGAAATATTGCATATAAATATTCCGACGCTCCACTCGCCATGGCAAAACGGGGAATAGCTCTGGCTTAAAGCGGTCTTGCACCGGTATTATGAAAATCTAGAGACGGACTGGACGCCAGAACTGCGACCGAACTCATCGGGCGGTAGTAGATAGTGTAGGTAATCTTACATGAAGCGAGATCCATATTCTACGAGAATAATATCGTTTGCTAGCTGTGCCGTATGTATGGGCCGTATGTGCAATGGGAATAGATCGCCGTCTGCTTTTGACTAACTCGTTTTCGTCCTGCAATGCAGCAACGGGACGGCAGCGTTTACATGCGAGATAACCGGTAAAAAAAGGCGAGTATTCTGCTTGTCGATCTTTCTGCAAAGGGCTCTGACGTGAAGTTAGATTCTTGGCATCTCTCATCAAGGTGCTCTAGAGTACTATGTAGCGTTCAGAATGCAACCACAACAAGAGTAAACGCGCAGCAATGTCCGCCGTGGTGTTGATTACGACGAGCAAGGTAAACAAGACTCTAACTAGGATATTGTCGTGATAGGAGTGGGAATCATAGGACGTGCGCGATCTGTACTCTAGATGAGGCCATCACGATGTCGCCAAGAACGAGAGATTCCACCCCGCATATCGTTTTGAGAAAGATTCGCGAAGGGCCCCTCATCGCCGTTACGTACTTTGAGTCTCATGAAGACCAAGCCGTGTCGACGGTGCAGGAGACGAGGCAGGTGTTGAAGATTTGGACCATTATTGGACCATTAGGGGATTGTTCCGTTGGCGTAGCGAACAGACCACGCGAGAAATTCCCCTGCCCGCTCGTGGATGCCGGACTTATGTATGTACAAGCGCGCAGCGGCAGATACATAGTCTACCTAGCTAGTTAATGTAGTCATTACGACGTAATTAATAATATATGCACTTCAAGTTGCATCGCAGCAACAAGCGCTGTTTATCGACGAAATGTTCCTGCAGCAGCGTATCACTCACTCACTCACTGTAGCACGAGTTTGGACATTGTCCTCTTCCCGTTCCTAACGTCTGGTCAGGGGGGAGATTTTACATACGGATTTTCTTATCGGCGAACCTTGGATCATATAGCGGTCAGTGTGCAGCCCGATATGCCACGATGTTACGCTCTTATTGGCTTTGCTTGTCTGTGTGTCCGTGCACTGCTGCTATGTATAAGGCGAGTGTAAAAGCGAAAGTAAATGTGCATACGTTGTAAAGTAGAAGGATGGTAGTATTAACTCAAGGTTGGGGATAAGAAAACAGGAGAAATGTTTGTAGATGTGGAATATTTGCGTGGTATAAGGCATAGTAAAGTATCCGAGAGTATCATCTTAAAATTTGCTGTAGCGTTGCCGTTTATGGTGTACATAAGGAGTACGCGACAGGGATGTGAAGAAGGGGGCACTTCTCTAGCTTCGTTTCCTGGGATTTTCTGCAAGGGGAAAATGGATATCATGAACCTTGAACCGTACCGATAGCCACGCATCTCGGCCAGTTAAACAAGGATGGAACGGACTCTAAAGTAACGCTAATGCCACCCGGTTGTCATTAGGTAGGTACCCTGCCCATGGGCGCCATGGTTATGGCTGGCGCGATTGCTGCTAACCTTAGGAGGTACATAGTAGTCTGCCTAGTGTAGTGGCTGCCACCTGCCACCGCGCGGCCCGCCAACTTCTTGCTCTGTTGCTTCAACTTGCCCTGCCCTTTTTTACTGCCTGACTGTTTCACACTTAGGTTTTTGACACTTTTCACCCGCCACGAATTCTATGTATGAATTCTATCCCTTTTCTACGCCATTTCATTTTCTTCTAGCGCTCGGATCTTGACCCTTTCCGGTCCGTTATCAGCTCCGTTCGTATCAGTCTAGTCTGCAAAGAGAAGAGGCTTATAGCTTAGTCCGTTATGTACGACACATTGCAGCAAACAGTAGGTGAGAGTACGAGTACCTACCTAAGAGCAAAAGCAGTCGAAGAAGAAATCGAGTCGACGGAAACGGAATGGATTCAATGTTTGACTTCATCCTGAACTTCCATGGTTGTCATACATTTTGCTTGCTTGCTAGGTCTTGCAGGTCTTACTGGGTATTACGTTGTAGTGGCATCGTGCTCCAGCCTCTATGTAGCCCTCTACACACACACAGACACACTAGACTCTGGCATCTGGCATCTCATAATCCCTGACCTTTTGAGGGTTCTCTTATTCCATGCCGGTGTCGATCACTTTCCTCACACGAACCTACAACCAATCCAAGGTCAGTCTCCAGTCCTGCGGGCGGATGCTTGGACCTCATCAAAGTAAATTTACACATTGTACCCCAGACTTAAATGGGATAGGGCACCAATATCCAATTCGTGGGTACTCGGAAATTGTCAGATTAATATAGAGATCCCACCCGGATATCTCCTTTGAATATCTCTATCTCTACTCTTTGGTTTGGTTGATGCCGTCCGTCCTTTTTTTTCTTACTTGAAACATTGTTCAAATAAAAAAATAACTACATTCTTTTGCTTCTGAAAGTTTCTGACAGGTATCTGCGTCAATAGGGACAACCCCCCCTGTTCCGCGTCTGCAGCAACTTTGCTTCTTTTCTTCGAGTTTATTGTTAGATATACTTTCGTACAGTACGTAAACCTGGCCTCGTTGGCTTTCGTTTGTGTCATCTTAAACTCTCGGACTTTGCTGTCAGATCCCCAGCCTGCCAGCCTGCGATTATCGACTTTTGTATTTTCCAGCCGCCTCGGAACGGCACGAAGGGGTTCAAAAATCCAAAAAGGCATTTCAGTAAAACGGGTTAACTTTTTTTTTTAATCAGCATTGAAGGATTCTGGATTCCATTGTTGGATTAGGGGTTGATTAAAAAAGCGGAAATATCCTGACTCAATACCAGTTTCTCGGGATACATCTCTTGTGACTCGATCAGTTTGAGTGTTGTCGTCGATACGGGTTTGCTCGGAGTTGCCACAGGGACGGTTGACGCGTCAGTGACCTCGGGAGTTGTATGGAAAATAACTTAAAGACTACTCCGGTATTTTCGAATTACAGCTGTCATTTTTAGTCCGAAGACTCGATCATCGCCTGTCATACTCGAATATCCACCATCAAGCATTGGTCTCACAGATTTCCAGTTTGCCCGATATACAGACTCACGCACTTCGCCACTGTTGTGTGATTCTCCGATGAAAATCTAGTCGTGCTGCCTCAATTCTCGGCAGCCTGCATTGTCGATCGACTTCACTTCTCAGCTGCTGTCTCACTCTTGGTTCAACATCGGATTCGGATAACTGAACGAGTATATTCACGTGGACATTCGCCGAATCCAAGACTCCATCATTATCACAGCACCGTTGCAATCACGCTTGCTTCAGCAATAAGCAATAGGAATCATGAGTGGGCTAATACCGCTGCTACTACCAACTTCTGCGGGGTGTAAATCAACAATTGGTTCAACTATTGGTTCTACTACAGAGATAAACCGAAGAACGTCACCGGCTCCATCTTCATCTTCATCTTCGTTTTCATCCCCACCATCATCCCTAATTCATCGCCGGCAGCAGTCTCTACCAGCTATTAGGACAGCAAGGCGAGGTTCTCTTATCCCACCACCTGCCTTGCCCATTATTCCATCCACCTCATCAGAATGGAAGAATACTATAGATGAGGTCAAGCGAAAGTATCTTAACCACAAGTACCGGGCATGCTCAACAAGATGCTGCGAGATTATAGATAACCTCAAAGACACATCTAACGTGGAGCCTCTATACCTAATTTATTTACACTTCTATGCCGCGTCCTCTTTCGAGCTTTGCGCCAGGCCACTATCGTGCTCATCCACTTACCGCACCAGGTTACTTAGCGATGCCGAGATTCACTATAGTAAGGCCGAGACGTTGATCCAGAACACGGAGGAAAACATAACTCGAAAGACAAGGTCTGCCTCGTCATGCTCTACTACTTCCAGTCTACACTCCCCGGGATTGTCGCCTAGTGTACGATCATCAGGCTCAAGCACGACATTCTCATCACCTAGGACCTCGGTATGTTCAACGGGAGACGAGGCCGTGATAAAGCCAAGCCCGAAACCAGTGGTCAAGGCTAAGAAGAAGGTCTCTTTTTCCGGACTAACCGATCTAATCGAGTTCCAACCCGAACCATATATTCGCCCAGACAGCCCTACCTTGGGATGGGAGGATGACATCTTTCCTCACCACTCGGATAGCTCTCTTCCCCTATTCTCAGCAAATAAGTTGAAGTCGGCACCTTTATCGAAATCCGAGTCCAAAGAACAAGAACCAGAACCATCTTTCGAACCACAACCTACAATACCAGAGCGCCCCATACCTCGTGATTCCCAATCCGCGGAGGAGTTGAGCATCGTGGACGACAAATTCGATCTCGACGCATTCTTGCAGACACGTTCAATGAATAGGATGTGCGCACAGCTTTCGGCCTTACGTTCGCAAATCTCATGGCATCGCGACGGAGTTCAGGCTTTACTTGCTGAACCTAACGATACACCGGAGATACCTGCGTCAGCATCATCAGGAGACGTTTCCCCTATACCTTCGTCGCCCCTTGGTGCGATGCGATTAACTCGTGCGAATACCCTGCCCGTTGAGGTCGGATCGGACTCGCCACCGTGGACAGCCCCTGGTCAGCGAGACCGTTTCACCGACTCGCCAGGTCCAGATAGTCCTAGAGTGATCAGTCGACCGGCGTCCGCGGCCTCAGCCATACGCTGCACCGACGAAGCTCTAAAGCAACGTATAGAGCGCCTGCGCGCCAACGGCTGGCAAAGAAAGCGATTCGATAGCAGACGGTACGAAGCCCTGCGAGAACAGGTCCTTGGTGAACTTGCATAGGATGCTCTTCGCACTAAGTACCTTATCCGACAGCGCAAATCCGGGCTTAGACACTGAATAGGCATTGTTAGTTTCATATGACCTTGACTATGCCTAGTTAGCTCAGACGCCGAACTCTTTACCCAGTCATGTATAGGAAAGGGGAAGGATTATACTTGATTCGATTCTTGCTTTGTATATTGCACCGCCGTTAGTACATTTATATCATTTGTTTCAAGCAAGGGGGGGCGGAAGGGAGGGAGGGCAAAGAAGTGGCACGGGAATAGGAGTCAGGAGTCAAAGCTGCATGCCACGAAAGTCGACGGGGGAAGCATGTTGTTGTTGTTGCTGTTGTTGTTTTTCTATCATTCACCCGGTAATCATTATACCCGGCTATGAGGCCGCCCAAAGCAAACCAACCAACGGGACGGGCACAATCAGCCAAAATCAAGGAGGACGAGAGGCGGAAGTAGAATATACCCGCCTGCCTGCCTGTAAGGAGAAGCTGTCCTTGCGGAGACATGATGAAGTTGGCACGAGGAAATGTATTTGTACGTGTATGTCTGTCTGTTGTCGTCGTTACGGGATTACGATTCCCGTGATATTCCTTCCTCTCTGTTCCTAGGAGCTGGACCGAACGAGAAGGGAGAGGGGAGGAGAACATTACATTTGATGATTTACGTTATTACACACACGTATACGTACATACAGACCTAAGTTAATTGTAAAATAATCCTGCCAAACCTACCTACCGTTCTTATACCCGTGAAGAATCAACCAACTGAAGCGTAGATGCGAATTATACCATACCATGGCCAAACCTAAGGACTGGGATGGGACAGAACTGGTCTGGTCTCTTTCAACTACACAATCTATTCAGGTACTCACTACTTATGTAGTATCCCTCCTCGGATATAGAATGAAATAATTAACACACGTATGTGGCGCATTAATAATAAACCATCAGCAACCGCAGGAGGAACTATACGAAACGAAGAGGAACGTAGTATTGGATAAAAGCCAAGCTCGACAAGCCCTAACCGAACGCGAAACGGATATCAGGAGTAAACAGGAATAGAAAAGAACAACGAGGAATCACTGCTTCCCCGAACGAATAGCCAACTACTTCCTTCCATCTCGCCAGCCCTGTTATGCACTGCACTGTAATGTCTCAGTTGTGACAAACGATTTTCATCATGCCGTCCTTGATATCTTTCCATTCCCATTGCCCTTCCAAGTACGAAAGGGGGTATCTATTATATCGCTAAGATGCGTCTAGCACAAACTCGGGTTATTTGCTCAACCCTGGAAACTCTTCCGCTTCGCCTCCTTTTCTGCTTCTTCCGTGACCTTTAGGGTCTGCTCCTGCTCCTTCATCTCGCGGACTTTAGCTAGGACCACCTCGCGGAAGATGGCACCCTTCATCGCGCGTGTGAGCTTGCCCTTGCCGGTCTCCTGCTTCGGTGACGGGGGCTTGTCTGATCCTTGGCCGGCTGGAGCTACTGAATCATCGGCAAAGTCGGGGTGCTCTGGGTCGTCCTCTTGAAGCTTGAGCGCCTCGATACGGTTTGCCAGTTTGACAAGTTCGATACCACGACGGAGTCTTGCCTTGGCCATGTAGGCCTTGATCTCAGGAAGCAAGTTGTGGTCAGAGGCGTTTTCGCCGCTGAGCCAGGGGTGCTTAAGTGCTTGCTATAGAGATATTAATACGAGGGCGTAGAAACTGGTGTGGAAGATAAGCGTGACGTACCTTGCTAGACCACCTGTCTTCCGGATTCGGTTGCAAGAGGCGCATAATAAAATCCTTCGCATCGTCACTTACATCTCTCCAGTAGCGCTCGTGGAAGACCACTTTCCCATTACTGCATTCGTCGATCAAATCCTGCAGGTTTTCGGAGCGGAAGGGAGAGTAACCACAGAGAAGAGTGTAAGTAATGACGCCCAACGACCACATATCCACAGGCTTGCCGTGGCCTTTCTTCAGCATGACTTCCGGTGCTGCGTAACCGAAAGACCCCGCCATTGTAGTGAGGACCTCGTCCATGGTATCGAGCATCTTTGCAATTCCGAAATCCGCCAAGACTAAGTCGGAGTCGGGGTGCTTGCTGAGGTAGAGGAGATTCTCGGGCTTAAGATCTAGTTGCATACAGTTAGATAACCATTATATAGCTACTAGCGGTGCTGTTTTTGCTACGTACCTCGGTGTACTACGTTCCTGTCGTGGAGGTAGCTGACGGCGTCGAGGACCTGCCTGATGGTCTGTGAAGCGTCCTTCTCCGTGAACTTGCCCTGTTCGCAGATGCGATCGAAAAGCTCGCCGCCGGTTGCGAGCTCAGTGACGATGTACCATTTATCCTATACGTAACCGGGTCAATTGAAGTCCGCTCGAGAGCACTTATACTTGGATTGGTAGGACGTACCCTTGACTCAAACCAATCCACGAAACGAACAATGTGAGGGTGTTTGAGACGCTGGAGCATATCTAGCTCGTCCCAGACCATTTGCTCGTTCCCCTTGACATTTTTCTTGAGGATGATCTTGATAGCGACCTTGCCATTGGGGCCATCTGCTTCGCGCACGATACCATATGTGCCCGCACCAAGAGTTCGACCAAATCTGTACTTCGCTTTTCGTTCGTAACTTTCCGGCTGGCCTCGAAGGCTGCTGAACATCGCGTTAACTATAGGAGTGTCGTGATTAGTAAATAGTGGTTGTTATATTGGCATTATACACTCAACGCTTCGACGAAGGGATTGAGACCAGCAACGAGCGAATCGACGAGGACATAGCCGAGACCACTTTGTTGGTTTTCCCTGAAATAGAGAGGGGAGGCACACTGGATTAGGCATTGGGGGCTAAGATGACAAGTGAGGATGGTAGAGAGAACTCACAACTCATTGCGACGTGGGGTAAAGCGAATAAGGAGAATCGATGAATAGTGAGGGGCTTCCTAGGTTGGTTGTATGCCTTTTTTTTTGGCCGATAGGTTCGTGGAGTCGAAAGGAACGATCCCCTCTTAAAGAAGGGAAAGGAGAATAGGAAGTTAAGTAGAAAGGAGCCAAGTTACAGAGAACGAAAGCACAGGCCGTTAAAAAAAGACAACAAGGCTTCAGCTGCTCTGGATAACCTTCTGTAATGTATGCAGGTCAGAGATATGTATGGTATGTTAGGTACCATACGGTAAAGACGTATGTATGTATGTATGTATGTATTGGGCTTGAAAATTGAATGAATAAATGAATGAATCGCAAGCCGCAGGTGGGTTGTCAGATAGGTATGTAGGTAGGTTAGGTACCTTAGGTAGCAGGATATGGTGCTGATTTGGGTACGGGTACGAGGATTTGAAGTAAAATACCATATAATACGCGTATGTGAAACTTGTACTCGTACTTGTTGTGATAATAAATGTTGTACTATGGGGTAAATCTGTAAGTGGTATGTAGAAGTGGCTCCCCCCTCCTGATGGTTCCGTTTGATGGACCCCTCCTCTTAATTATTAGTAGTCCTTGCAATTATTAGGGTAGGAACAGCTGAATTTCGATCGACTCTTATAAAACTGGATCGAGGGGCTTTCTGCTTTATATAAGGTAGTTGCCGATGTTTGCCGTCTTAATTTAATAATTACTTGTACTAATAAATAATCACTTGACGTGGAAGATGAGGTAGTTTGTGTAATTTGTGGACATGGAATGATGAGTTGAGAGACGGGAGAGAAATATATCTGTCCATCTGTACCAGCTGTACAATACCTTACACTAGATGTTAGGTCCACAAAGGTATGACCCTACGATCCCATGTGTTTTGCAGGTAACGCCCTAGCTACCTAAGGTAGGCTGAGTTTGGAGGTAACCTTTTTGTGTTTTTGTGTTAGTCGTCTCTCTGTCTACCTTGGCTTCCTTACCTTACAGTTAGTTGTACAATACCTGACATATGTCCTATGCGATACCTATGATGTGATATGATAGATTCGGAAAAAGCCTTGCCGGATACCTTGCCCAACCAGGTGGGGTTGTGAATACTGCGTATTGCATTGCGCCTATCGAGAGGCAGCTTGTGTATGTATTCCATTAATTATTAAGTAACCCTCAATAGCGCATGTGTTAGGACGGCTCAGCCGCAATACTGGGGCAGTCCCAACCCGATAACTCCAATAACTCATCATCCAAGAATTGAATTCAATGGATGGCTTGAGTGTGTAATTAGATAACCTGGTTCACGCGCGTCTTCGGAATCCGGAATGCCGGCCACGACCAGCTTTCGCCAGCATACTCGAGCAGCAAGTCATCCCTGGGTTGCCTCCCTAGTGTATGTAGAAGATACAAATGGTTGTGGCTGAGCGTGGTGATCCTTCCGAAGTTCGAAGGAAAGAGGATATAAATAATCCTTTGCCTGCGTGTGTATTTGTTTGGATTTGGATATCCATGTATGTAAGTTGTAAGCACCTTTGAGAATAATGGGCTTATGAGTAACTGGTGTAGTGTAATCACATGCAAGGAACCTATAGAACATAGATACCTAGTTATATTAACTTGAAAAACAGTTGCAGGTGTGTATATGACTGAGGTGTTCCAATGCATTGGGCTTTAGGCGATCATAAGGTAGGTATATAACGTTGTGAGATTCATCATGTTAAAGGTATTCGACTTACCCGAGTAATATTTTTATGATTTACATACAGATGTTTCCCTCCTGCCTTATACGCTAACGCTAACGGAAGGAGTCATCTGCGAGGCGCTTATTTATCGATAACCAGGATCCATAGGATGCTCATGTAGGTAGGTCGGTATAAATACCAACGTCACCTGGCAGTCAGGCCGAATACTACGCGCCTACTTCAGGTAGCTTTGTTGAAACTTGACTTTGCGGGGCAACTTTAATTTCGAGCTTTAGGGGACCTTCACTTGCTGTTTCCTGCAATAAAATCATACAATATCAAACAGATCGGTCAATTTCTTCCCTTGGACCTGCCGTCTTTGGTCTCGGAGGAGCTTAGGTTAGACAGACAATGTGCACTTCAATTTGACGTTAGCTACTCCAATCCACAAGGTACCTTGACCTAAGCTTAAACTCTCCAAACCGCCTTGTGCACCGTCTAACATATCCGAAAAGAATTTCCTTTACTGCTGTCTCCCTAACTGCCCCCGATCGCTTAATGCCCTTTCGGGTTGCTTCGAAGTCCGCTTAAGTTTGGTGAACAACTCAAATCGCGGGGGTTAACCTAATAAGCGGTAAAGTCGAACAACGCCACTCAACGTTGAACATCAACCTACTTGCGCCTCTTCGCGTGCCTGTTCCCCGTGCCAAAATGGCCAACTTGGGTCCTAGGAGGCTGACAAAGGAGCTAGCTAAGGTATTATTGGTTCTTATAAGGAATAGTTGTTCTCAGCATATGACATTGATTGCTAACAAGATTCTGGCCTTCAGATCTCGAATAGCTTGCCTCCCGGTATTGCGTTAGTCTCTGCAGATAACCTTGAAGAGTGGTTTCTCGACATCCAAGTTCTGGACCAGAATCCTATCTATGCAGGCCAGACATACCGTCTCAAGTTCAAGTTCAGCACCTCGTATCCCATTGGTAGGCGCTCCCGCTATCTATTCTACTAGAGACGGAGAACTAATGCGAACGTAATAGAACCCCCCGAGGTGACCTTTGTGAAGCTAGAAACCCGCCCGATACCCATGCACCCTCACATCTACTCCAATGGAATCATATGTCTCGACTTACTTGGGTCGCAAGGATGGAGCCCTGTCCAGAACGTGGAGAGCGTATGCATGAGCATCCAGAGCATGTTGACAGGAAACACCAAGAACGAGCGTCCACCCGGCGACGAAGAATTTGTACGCGGAAACCGCTTGCGACCTCGAGACATCGATTTCTATTATCACGATAACACCGTATAAAAGCATTGTGTCTATCTATATTTCCTGGTAGGATACCAGTGGCGGTTTCACGGCTTGGCGGTTCTCTGACACTCGAAATACATCGTTTCACTTGCATAACTGTTGCCTGGACTAGATTCGCGAAGCGTTAGGTACCTCTTTATTGGACACCTAAAGGTATAGGAGATTCATCCAGTCAGGCCGAATCCTCTGATGATATTAGCAGCATGAAGCTGATAGGTATTGCGTGGATAGGTAGCATGCGATCGTCCATATGAGACATCTACATTATACATAGGAGCAAAGATTCCTTTACAATTGGCATTTTACGACTACAATAATGGTCATTCGTTCTGAGTGATTATACCTTGGCTTTGCGATTCCGATTATTACTTGAGCAAATCGTGACGCCGAGGTCCATGCATAACATTTCGATAGTCTTCCTAGCATAAGGGTGTAGCTAGATGTCGCTTCTTTGTAGAATTCAAACAATATTGCCTTTTTCAGCCAAATTAATATCTTACGACCACGCAGCTATTCACAAGACAATGATAGATGCATACGACAATAAGACAGATCCTAGCAGTGATGGCTCAAGTATGGCATTTATTTAACTTACAGTAGGGACCTACATATAGTATGCATGTACATACTTTATATAGAGCGGAGCTGTGACGTCGTGTCCCTCCTGCTTGTACAATCGGATCTCTATCTACATAGCCGTGGGGCTAACTAAAATTGGACTAAGCGATAAGCTCGTCAAACCCACCTAACCTTACCCAAGTTAACCCAAAGTTCCCCAAGCTTGACAAGCTGACAAGCTACCCCCCAGTTCAATTTGTAATTCCTCCAGAAAGCTCCAGTTGCAATTCCAACTTTCAGTTCACAACTTGCCAATTCTATACATCGTCTCTTTCGCTCACAAGCACCACCCCCATGAAGAGCTCATAATGGCTCCTCATGTGGGGTTCGACTCCGAACAGATCAGAGACAAGGCTCGAAAGGACCTTCTTTATCTTCTCGAAGGCGTAAGTAAGGCTGCCTTAAACCTCTGTCTTCTTGTTTGGACAGTCGGGAATAACACCACTACTTAGGTTCGCGGGAAGAAGAATCTCGTCATCGAGCGTAGCTTGGCTGGCCCAATCGGTGTCGTAGTCAAGGTATCAACCCTTCAAGATTATGGCGTAGACAAGTTCTTCATTCTCGAAAATAAGAATGCCGACACGAGCCAACGCAATGTCGTGTTTATGGCGCGAGGGGAGTCTGCCCGCCACGCTCAATCCATAGCAGGTTAGTCGTCTCCCTCACACTCACTCTCGCTCTCATCCTCCGGCACCCCCCTCAATGCCGAAGAACCACGGGCTCTTAGTAGGCATCATGGAATTATTTTCCAATTCACGATACGAGTCAATATTGCCCTAAGACGAAGATCTTATGAGCACGACCTGTAGTGTCTTCGCTAGAGTCGACGAGCAAGGCACCTTCATGAAATACTGATATTTAGTACAGAACATATCAAGCGGCTACAACGCGAAAGCCAGACCGGTCACGAATTCCACATCTTCTGGGTACCCCGCCGTACTCTGGTATCCGATAAACTCTTAGAGGAAGCCGGCGTGTTGGGCGATGTCAACATTGCAGAGCTCCCGTTATATTTCTTCCCGCTTGAGCGAGACGTCCTAACCCTAGGGCTCGACGACTCTTTTCGGGACCTTTTTCTGTTCAAAGATACAACACCAACGTTTCTGATGGCGAGAGCCTTAATGGGAATTCAATCTAAACACGGATTCTTTCCGCGCGTCATTGGCAAGGGCAACAATGCGAAGCGCGTGGCGGAACTACTCACTAGAATGCGGCAGGAGATACTGGCTGGGGAGGATGCGAGTGAAAATACCCGGTCCGGGCTTACACCAAGCAACACGATAGAAAGTGTTATATTGATTGACCGCGAAGTCGATTTCGTCACGCCCTTGCTCACACAACTGACGTACGAAGGACTGATTGATGAGATCTGGGGGATTCAGAATAATCAAGCTGATATTGATTCTACTATCGTGGGAGCTCCGCCACAGCCCGCATCTCAGAGCGCGCCTACTCCGACAGCTAATGCCCCTTCGAGGAAGCGTAAAATACAATTAGACTCTTCAGATAAACTTTACGACGGACTCCGCGATGCAAATTTCGCAATTGTTGGTACACAACTCAACAAGGTTGCGCGAAGGTTGCAAAGCGACTATGATAGTCGCCATTCATCTAGGACGACCGCGGAGCTTAAAGATTTTGTGAAAAAGTTACCCGGCTATCAAACAGAGCACCAGAGCTTGAAAATACATACTGGGCTTGCTGAGGAGATTATGAAACATACACGAACTGACGAATTCAGTCGCATGCTAGAGGTCCAACAGAACCTCGCTGCGGGTGCCGATCCTAGTTCTCAATTCGAGGCTATCGAAGAATTAATCGCAAGACATGTGCCGTTGCAGGAAATACTGAGGCTTTTATGCGTATATTCATGCATATCCGGTGGTATCAAAGCAAAAGACTTTGATCATTTCAGACGCTTGATATTAGAAGGCTACGGGTACCAACATTTCTTAACCTTAGTTAACTTAGAAAAGCTGCAGCTATTCTTATCTCGCGCTTCGCCTATGGCAAGCATGATCCCTATGGCCAGCTCAGGGACGACAACCGAAACGAAGACGAACTACGCCTACTTACGAAAGCAGCTCCGTTTAATCGTCGACGAAGTTAATGAGCACGACCCCAATGATATCGCATACGTTTATAGTGGCTATGCGCCCCTTTCGATCCGTCTCGTACAATGTATACTGCAGAAGCAATATCTCCTTTCCATTACACGTGGCAACGGGACGACTGGCGCAAGCACAGCCGCTAGTAGCGGTGCGCAAGGGTGGCGAGGTTTCGAGGAGGCTGTGAAACATGCGCGAGGCCAGACGTTTGACGAGCTACAAAAGGGCGAAGACAAAGCAGTCAAAGCTCGAGCCCTATTATCTGGAGGAGGCGACAAGAAGACGGTGTTTGTTGTATTCGTGGGAGGAATAACATTTACCGAGATCGCTGCGCTGCGATTTATCGCAAAAAAGGAAGAAGGTCGGTACCGTGTTTACCCCTATGATATGTTCTTTCAAATCAACTAACAATGTTTTTAGGTAGGAGGAATATTGTAATCTGCACGACTTCGATCATTAGCGGGAATAAGATGATGGATGCTGCGGTAGAGAAGAAATCATTTGCGAAAGAGCCACCCAAGCCGGCTGCTGCTTCATCTACGACCTAGTAATGCAACTATTTCCCGTGTGCCAAATTCGCCAAGATGATAGTAGCCGCGTCCGGCGTACGATGATGTGGGAAGTACGGCTTTTTGATTTATGTATAGGTATATAATAGCTGGGTCCAGCGAGTAGGGGCATAATGAATGGTACCTATGCTTGGCAAGGTGAATGAGGTTTATTAAGATCTAGACCCAAGGGATATTAGCGGATGCGAATTGAGGACATATCTAGCATTGTACTTATTCTAATCATTATGCGCATCGCCGGCTGATAGACGCGACACGACACTAGGTAACGATACCAAGTGACTACGAATATCAAAGGTCAATTGTTGAAGATGAGTGAATCTGTAGATCAACAATTAGACGATGATTTTGCGTTGATACATACTATGTATGTACATAGAAGACTCTAGGGGATCACGTGCAGTTTAGCGGCGGGGAGCACGGAGCACCCGCTCTAAAAGACCAAAAATTGAAGTGGGCAAGGGTGGGTTTAGCGGGCTAGCGCAAGATTAGGAGGAGCTTTCAGTATATGGGCAGATGGGCATTACTTATGCAGATCTGAAATGTGTGTGTATGTACATTGTCTTAATACGCCAATGTCCATATCAATCTTACCCTCTCCTCCCCCTTCGAGATTGGGTTATTAAAATCCGAGGGAATCTTTCCAACCTCTATTAATGCATTAATGCAAAAAGAAAAAATAATAATTCCTCTCGAATCATTGCAATACGTTCCAATTCTTCAATCTTTTCGAGACCTAAAACCAACAACCGATTATAATCGAGTCGAGATCTATATTTCATAAGTGTACAGTACCGAGGCCCGCTTATTTTAACTGTGCGTGATCATTCGATACTTTAATAAACCTCCAAATCTCAAATCTGATGAGGCAAGTCTTGTATGTCGACTAACAAGACTCTCTAGAGGCCGCAAGAGTCCAGAGACCAAGTTGCCGACAAACTTGCGGTAGTCAGCATGACATTTAAGTGTCAATTTCCTACAACCATTCTAAAACGAGATACTTAATTATTCAATGGGAGTCTTGGCCAAACTCCCCATACACGAATCCCGGACGACCTCGCTCATACCCATATATCGATGCATGTGTATGTCTCCGGCCAACACGGAATCTGAGCCCGTCAGCTATGAGCAGCACTCAGGAGGTCTTGTTGGAGGAGGGTAATTTTATAGGGTCGGGCCCTCTGATGGATTTAGAGGAATTGGACCATCATCTAGAATCAATACTTGCCTCTCCGGCAGATATCACGAGAACTCTTCCGGCAGCTCTCCTTGCGGGCTCGTTCAAATCATATAACCCTGGGCTATCTGCCTCAAGAGACACCCCGAAAACAGAATCTGAAATAGTTGTTCGAATTGGCGGTATGGACGTGTCTCCGGACAATATGGCCTCTGCGCCTGTATCACGACAAGATCCCTCGTAAGTCTCTCATGTGATATATCCGTAATAATAACTTCCATCATAGTCTCAAAACTCTAGTATCATGTTTCCATATCCTAAACAGATAATAGGTCTCATCATAGTCAATCACCGTCAATAAATTCCAAGTCTTCGAAGGCTCACGAGAACTCTGGAAATTCATTCGGGTCATCAACTTCGGCTATGTCAGATCAGTCAGAATTGACATCTCCACCGTCATCGTCGCATTCAAGTAAAGCGACGACGCCGATTGATATGGATTCATTACAAGAGCCGCCGAGGACCCACATCGACAATAAAACCACCATTAAGACAAAGAGACGCCCGTTCGATGTTCGACCACGAGTATCTATCCCGACAGACATCTCTCCGCATGAGTATGCCAACCAATGCATAGCCGCAGCCGAGTCTTCTCGACTAAATCCTTATGCTCTACATCAGGATGAGTACTTGATGTTGAGAAACCATCTCAGTCATGCCCAGGTAACTACCTATCTGAACATTCGAAACGGGATCCTACGATTATGGTTGAATAACCCTCGAATCGGGGTTTCTCGTGAAGAAGCTATCGGATGTGCCAAAGATCTAAGGTGGTTTGACGCTGCAAGCGTATGCTACGACTGGCTCGTCCGATCAGGATATATCAACTTCGGCTGCGCAGAAGCTTCCTCAGCTCAGAAGCGGCCGGTAAATACCAAAACGAGCAAGAAGAGAAAGACGGTAGTTGTCATTGGTGCCGGAATGGCTGGCCTAGGTTGTGCGAGGCAATTAGAGAGCTTATTTGGCCAATATGATAAACGGTTTCAGCATTTGGGAGAGGAAGCTCCGAGGGTAATTGTCCTCGAGGGTCGAAATCGCCTAGGCGGTCGTGTGTACTCACGTGCACTAGATGGTAGCAAGAGTCAACATCTGATAGGATTTCAGGGCCGGCGGCATAGTGTAGAGTGTGGAGGCATGATTATCACTGGATTTGAGCGAGGCAATCCGCTAAATATTCTTGTGAGAGGGCAGATGGCCTTGCCTTATTATGCTTTACGACCTGACACTACCCTCTATGATGCCAATGGCAAGGCCGTCGACGATATACGGGATCGTCTTGTCGAAAAGCTCTACAACGATTGTCTTGAACGAGTAAGCGACTATAAGTTTAAGAACCCGCCGTCCAAACTCATTGAAGGCAACAAGGACCTAATGGATGAAGGCCGAGATAGTTCAGCCGAAGGCCAAAAGACTATCGCTCAGGTCGAAGAGGCAACAGCCGCTCTCCCGCAAGCACCACCTGTCTCGGAGCAGAGTTTAGGGCCCCAAATTAGTCTCGTCCCCGTCTCTACGGACCGAGCAACCGGTAGGACTCACGTTGAGCCGGGTACCCCAGCTACCCTCAAGGCAGCCTTCAAAGCACGTTTGATGGGTTGGGCGCTCAAGGAACATGTGACCGAGGACTACGATCTAGACCTTGAGGCAGCAGCCAAAGCTCCTGATGCCACTCTTGGTTCTGTCATGGACGAGGCAATTGCGCAGTACAAGAATATCGTTGATCTTACACCCCAAGATTTTCGACTTATGAATTGGCACATAGCCAATCTCGAGTATAGCAACGCGGCCAATTACAATCAGCTGAGTATCGGAGGCTGGGATATCGATGCTGGTAATGAGTGGGAAGGCAAACACACAATGGTAATCGGTGGCTACCAAGATGTCGCATGGGGTCTGGCAAATATGCCTTCTCGACTAGACGTTCGGAAGAACACCAGCGTCAAACAAATATTCTACGATCCCGATGGACTAAGAGCTGCACGCGTCGAATGCGAAGATGGCTCGACCTTTGAGGCAGACTATGTGGTGTCTACAATTCCTCTCGGAGTTCTCAAGCATGGCAATGTTGAATTTAATCCTCCTCTGCCGCCTTCCAAAGCAGGCGCTATTACTCGCTTGGGTTACGGCATCCTTAACAAGATTATTCTAGTCTACGCAGAGGCTTTTTGGGATACGAGCAGAGACATATTCGGTTGCCTACGAACTCCAAATTCTCGCCACAGCCTTAAGCAGTCTGAGTACACTTCACAGCGTGGGCGTTGCTTCCAGTGGTTTAACACATCAAATACAAGCGGCATCCCAGTACTTATTGGGCTGATGGCTGGGGACGCTGGCTTTGATACTGAACATACTAATAATGATGAGCTCGTGGCTGAAGCCACCGAGGTCCTACGGAGCGTATATGGTGCTAAAGTTCCCCAACCAGTCCATTCGATCGTCACACGCTGGGGTTCTGACAAATTTGCGCGAGGGTCTTATTCCTCTGCCGGCCCTTCGATGCGTCCGGACGACTATCAAACGATGGCTAAACCAGTGGGCAACCTATTCTTCGCAGGCGAGCACACAACCGAGACTCACCCCGCTACAGTACATGGCGCATACCTATCTGGACTACGTGTCGCATCGGAAGTAATCGATGCTATGATCGGCCAAATTGAGGTCCCCACTCCGCTGATACTACGGAAAGAGTCCGCCTTCTCTCCTCAGGGGTTGAAGCGTAAGGAGCCTGGCGATGGTGCGTCGGTTGTCTCCCCCAAATCCAACAAACAGGCTCGTATTGATGAGTACGAAGCTGCCGCTTGGCGACATGTCATAGCGCAAATCGGGGAACGGCCTTGGCGACCTCAGAAAGTTGCGGGAAATGCCTATCTCCTATATAGTAAGGCATTCTTCGAGACGGCACGCAAGCGGTGTGCAGAGGGCCGGCGAGCTGGTAAGGGCAAGCCGGGCCCAAACGAAGTACGAGTCATGACAAGTAAAATGTGGAAGGAGGCGACTCCTGAGGATCGAAAGCCGTTTGAAGATCAAGCGTCCGATCAAAAGCAGAAGTATAACGAAGCATTAAAGGCCTGGGAAGCGAAGGTCAAGGAGTGGGATCAGCGTTACCCCGTAGTAAGGGGCGAATATGAAAAAGACCATAAGCTCGTGCTCCAGGACGAGGGAAGCCCTGCTAGTGAGAGCGGAAGGGAACGGAGACGCGCTAAGGTCAGCAACTATGCTGAGAGCGAGGGAAGTGATATCGACATGGAGTAAAACTCTGGAGCTAGGGCAATACGCCCGCTCCCTTTTCGATTACATACATACGTTAAAGTACCTATACATAACCAAAACTCTGGGATGATACCTCGATTTAGAGGGGTAGGAGTTGTACAAAAAGATTTACTACGAGGCGCCGGCCCACCGGCTGGCGCGTATAGGGGGTTAGGCACATTTACGTTGTCGTTGGCGTACAGGCTTTGCATCGGAAGTAGTCATAGGAGGCGTTGGGGACGGCGTGTGATGATGGTTCCTGAAGTACATAGCTGCTGAGGTCCAAGGGCTCTCTGCTTGAAGCCTAACACGGGGCCTCTGAAATACGTTTATTGCGATGCGTTTTATCATATATGTTTCTTTTTGCTTGGATGTGATTGTGATTTGTGTCTTTGACGTAAGTACCTAGGTAGTGACGTTGGTGACTTGAGCTAGTTAGATTATTATACCCAAGCGTTTTCCCCTAGGGCTTTTTTTCTACTCTCATATTTCTCAACGGAAGTGAATATGGCTATGAATTCGTGATTCGCTAGATCACTTGACTACTTATTGACCTTAAGGACTAGGAATCTGAGAAGTTGGTAACCTGGCTCGTGATGCTGCCCTAGGTAGGCTAGGAGGTCGTCGGATATACCGACGGGCAAGCGACAGACAGCGCGAACCCCTTCTACGTAGTAGAAGCAAATGGTCTGAGAATGCGCCCATGCCCTTTGCTGCGTGTAGCCGTATGCTATCATCTTGAGAAATCCTTGCAGTCTGTCTGACCTAGTAGGCGACAAACAGGGTGGATGGATGTTGGGGTTTAGGAAACTTATGTACCTACATACGGTATTAGGTTATGTAGGTAACTATCTAATATACTGCCTACTAGGTAGGTAGGTAGTTAGCAAAAGCCCTGGTATTCTTGTAGACTACAGGGTAAACATGTTGGAATAACGTCATAGACCTTGCTACATGTTCCTAAGTAATTTCATAGGGCTAGTTACTTACCTAGGTAGGTAGGCAGGTAGCATCTTTGCTATGAACTAGGTACTTATCTATACATACCCGTAATGTAGCGGGAGGGTGCTTCTGAATCTGTCATGGTTTGTCTGAGTATCTATCTAAATTGATGCTGGCAAAAGGGCCTAGGTTAGGGGCTTCTATGCGACGTGTCAGTCAAGACACATCTCAGCTGGTGGATATACTCTAAGGATATAGTGATGTTTGTTTGTTGAAGGCATAGGGACAAACCTGTCTATCTATCTCGTATTATATCAACTAGTTAAGCGGATATACAAACGCCAAAGCATGAGTAGTCGAAAATGATACGGGTAGCGAAATAGTCTGTCCCCCTCAGCTTATGAATGGATGTGGTCGATATAGTTTAAACGCACGCAGAAAGTCCGCAAGCACTGCTTTAGGGGTAGGTTGATGTTTTAAGTCGGATGCAGAACTGCGTCACATAAAACAAAGAGGACAAAGAGGGCAAGTAGGGCTGAGGAACTAGTTCATTGAATTGATACATCCAAGGCGACAGCGCCGAGGTTTTGCTTAGGGTACTTTGATACAAAGGGAAGATGCGATTGGATTATTCACCACCCCATCTATTTTTCTATCACCCGCTCTACATGTCCTCCGAGGCGGTGGCACCAGTGATGATTTCGACCAGTTCGCCTGTAATGACGGCTTGACGAGTTCGGTTGAAAAGAATCTGGTACTTGCTGATCATCTCACCGGCGTTCTTGGAGGCGTTCTATGAAGAAGGTTAGAGGCGGGGGGCTTGACAGTTTGATAATGTTATGGTTGACGGGTTAAACTTACGTCCATAGCCTGTTGTCGGGCAGAGATCTCGCAGGCGTGTCCCTCGGCAAGAGCCCAGTAGAGAGAGTTAGCTAAGGCGTATTCCCGGAGGTTAGACAGAAGCTCCTCGTCGACCTCGAAGGCGGAGAAGTTGGGGGAGTTGGCAATGGCCTCCTCCGAGAAAGCTTCGATGACTGTGGGCTCGTAGCTAGTAGCGTTGATGAACTTGTTGTGCACGATCTTGATGTCGCTGTAGTCGGTAGGGAGCTGCGTAACCTGGTCGGCGATGGCCTGGGCGTCGGCGAAGGACGGGATATCCTTTCCAACACCGGCGAAGCTGAGGACGATGCTCTTTGCGTTCGTACGGCTGAGTTGGGCCCTGGACTTCTCTCCAATGAGGACCAGGTCGGCGGGCTGGTCCTTGGTAGCCAGTTCTCGGCGCATATAACGCGAGAGGCCGGAGTGAACACCACCGCAAAGACCCTTGTCGGAGCTGCATACGATGTACAAGGTCTTCTTGCCCTCACCCTCGAGGGGCTTAGTCTCGGCGGATTCGAAGACTTGGTTGGAGGTCTGGCCGTACTTTCTCGAGTCGTTCATGGCACGTTGGGCACGGGTCAACTTGGTGGAGGCCACGATCTTCATGGTGTTGGTGATCTTCTCGATATTCTTGATAGACTTTAGACGACCTTCGATTTCTCGCAGAGTAGCGTAGCCAGCTGCTCCATTGTTGGCGACACTATTGCCAATTCAACTATTAGTAGCGGTCCCTCTTTTCTAAAAATTGGTAATTGGTATTCTTAGACGTGATCGGGGTGTATTTTGAGGGTGCACCGCGAATTGCCTCATAATCCATCCCATCCCACTTCGAAGAGGATCCGACGTACCGAGCAGGAATAGCCGCAGCTCCAGCTCTCAGAGCCGGTCGTGCTACCCTTGAAAGCATCTTTGAAGAACTGGAGGGTGAGTCGTATCCTGAGCCCTTGGATAAAGGATTGATTGCGATGCGATGGGGTGGGGAGGCGCAATCAATTGGTGACTCTGGGGATCAATCAATTATTTTGATGGAGGTTCGATTTGATCACTTTTCCACCAAAAGCTTCTTTCCTTCAGTTCCCGACCGAGCCACACTTTACTTTCCACACTTGCGGCTTTCTCTCCCTCCTAACCCACCCACGCCCGGAAATTTCTCGGCCCAGACGAACCGCTTTCTACTAAGCCAAGCAAAGCAAATTAAGTTACACGTACATCCATCCGTACTCTGTACCTTTTTCGTTTCTCTCAACTTTCACTTAAGCAGGCAGGTAGGCTAGCTGGTGATCCTTGCGCACAGTATTGTACAAGTTGTACCTATGTACATACTAATTCGGATGGAAGCGACTCCCGTCATCTCATACAGATACAGTCGTATATTATCTAATCATTCTTATACCCACTCTAAGCCATTTTGGGTTCTTCTTTACCTGGTCTTGACCTGGTTCACTAACATTTTTTTTTTCCTTTACTTTCTACCAGCCCAGCAGCCAGCAGCCAGCAGCCAGCAGTCCAGCACGTAGCAACAGACCAGCCCGGCCGCAGCAGCAGGGCATTCTTGGATTCTTCCTACCCAGTCCCTACTCATCTCTTCTCCACTCATAAGGACAACACCTGGCCAATAGGATCCGTAGCGGACTCTACCTGTGGCTAACGGGCTAGACTTTCCAATGAAGCCTTCTTTTCCAAGTCCTCACACTCGTCGTCTCTGACTTTTCTCCCCTTCCCAATCTCACTTTTTCTCCCCCTTCTTCACTCTCGTTACTTGTCTGTCCTCTTTATCTTATAGAACAGGGTGGTGCACTACGGTGTGGTCCACCCTCCTACTATTCACCATACCCAAAATTCACTTTAAACCCGTCTTTCGCGCTCTCTTTATTCGCACCTTTACCTCTCGAATCCTAAATTCTTACCCGAATCCCCTGCTAAGTCAACACTTCGCACTCGCGACTTCCCGACGTTCTTCCCGACGTTACGCGCCCAACATGTCCGACTCTGACGACGACATGCCTCTGGCTCGCACCAACGGTCATCGTAAGTTGACTCTCTTTACTTGTGACTTATCTAGATAGTCTATCATACTGGTGTCACTTGCCTTGCGCCATCCCATCCTACCAAATTCATACTCCTTCATTCACTCGTCAAGCTTAGACCTATATATCTACCTCTTTAGTTTTCCTCGGCCTCTCTTTTACTAACGCGCCTTCCAATGTTTTAGTCTCGACCTCGAGTAGATCCAAGACCGAAGGTAAAGCCATGAACCACAGCGCTACCAAACCGAAGCCTGCTCCTGTGTCCATTCGCAACGGGCCAGTCAACGATGCTTCACCGCAGACAAACGGGAATGGAAAGCGCAAGTCGAGGGCTTCTACCAACAACGTGAGCTACAAGGACGCGTCGGAGTCCGAAGATGGGCGATTGGTATGTTCGGATTTGTTTACACCGGAACCGTGCCGCAATGTAAAAACATCTATACTAACCCATAAATCAGGCGAAGCGTCAAAGAAAAGTTGTTTCCGACGACTCCGATGATGAGATTCTCAGCAAGAGAAAGACTAAGCTACCACCTGCTGCTGATGAGACTTCTATGATAGAAGATTCGGACGACGACAAGCCGTTGAATGCCAAACTTGCTTCTAAGAGGAAGGCTATCGAGAAGAATGCCGAGAAGGAAGCAAAGGCCATCAATGCGAGCGCTTCCAAATCGAAGAAACCTACTCCAAAGAAGGCTGCCAAGGATGAGTCTGATGACGACGTACCCTTGGCAGGTGCCAAGGGGAGAAAGCGACCATCCAACGGCGTCAATGGAAAAGGGAAGGCCAACGGCGTCAAGAAGGAAGAGTCTGACTCCGACTTGCCTATTCGCAAGAAGGCAAAGACCGCTCCTAGCAAGGCTAGCGTGAAGGCTGAGAAGTCTACCCCAGCTAAGAAAGCCCCCGCCAAGAAAGCCAAGAAGGAGGTGAGCGAAGAGCCAGGCGAAGGTGAAGGTGAAGATGAGGAAGAAGAGTACCGTTGGTGGGACGCCCCCAAGAAAGAGGACGATAGTGTCAAGTGGACTACTCTTGAGCACAATGGTGTTCTCTTCCCTCCGGCCTACGAACCCCTTCCGAAAGACGTGAAGCTCATCTACGACGGTACTCCGGTAAATCTCCATGTCGAAGCTGAGGAAGTTGCTGGTTTTTTCGGATCGATGCTCAACTCAACTCACAACGTTGAGAATCCTACTTTCCAAAAGAATTTCTTTAGCGATTTCAAGGAGATACTTGACAAGACAGGTGGAGCGACGGATCGAAAAGGCAACAAGGTCAACATCAAAGAGTTTTCCAAGCTAGACTTCAAACCCATCTTCGAATATTATCATGCCAAGAACGAAGCGAAGAAGGCCCGCCCGGCTGCCGAAAAGAAGGCGGAGAAGGCGGAGAGGGATAAGGCTGAAGCCCCGTATATGTACTGCAAATGGGATGGTCGCAAAGAAAAGGTCGGCAACTTCCGAGTCGAACCTCCCGGGCTATTCCGTGGTCGTGGCGAGCACCCTAAGACTGGTAAAGTCAAGAAACGAGTCATGCCTGAACAGATTACCATCAACATTGGCAAGGACGCCAAGGTCCCGGTCCCTCCTGAGGGCCACAAATGGAAAGCTGTTCAGCACGACAACAAAGCCACATGGTTGGCAATGTGGCAAGAGAACATCAATGGTTCATACAAGTACGTTATGCTTGGTGCGACCAGTGCTGTCAAGGGCCAGAGCGACTTCAAGAAATTCGAGAAAGCTCGAGAGTTGAAGAAACACATCGCAAGGATCCGCAAGGACTATACGAAGGATCTGAAGGCAGAAGCCATGGCTGACCGTCAACGAGCCACGGCTGTCTACCTAATTGACAAGTTTGCTCTGAGAGCTGGTAACGAAAAGGATACCGAGAACGAGGCCGAGACCGTGGGTTGCTGTTCGCTCAAATACGAACATGTCACCCTTCAAGAGCCCAATACCGTTATCTTCGATTTCTTAGGTAAAGACAGTATCAGATTCTACGATGAGGTTACTGTTGATCGACAGGTGTTTAAGAATCTTCGAGTATTCAAGAAGCCGCCGAAGAAGGAGGGCGATGATATCTTTGATCGCCTAACAACTACGCAGCTGAACAAACACCTTTCCTCTTATATGGCAGGTCTGACCGCGAAGGTCTTCCGTACATATAATGCTTCTTACACCATGTCTAACCTACTCAGGGACTTAAAGGTCTCAGATGCTACCATGGCGGAGAAGATCAAACTATACAACGATTGCAACCGGGAGGTCGCTATTCTTTGTAACCATAAGCGGACCGTCGGTGCAAGCCATGAAGCACAGATGGAAAAGCTTAGTGATCGCATCAAGGGCCTTAAGTATCAGAAGTGGCGAAACAAGCAGATGCTCCTAGATGTGGACCCCAAGCAAAAGAAGAAGAAAGGGGCCGATTTCTTCGAAATGGACCCAGATCTGAACGAAGCTTGGATCCTAGAGCATCAAAACTTTCTGGTCGAAGAGCAGCGAACCAAGATTCAAAAGAAGTTTGAGAAAGACAACCAGAAGCGCCAGGAGGATGGCGAGAAGCCGTTCCCTGATAAGGAGCTCAAGGAGCGTCTCCAGGCTGCAGATGAACTAGCGAAGAAATTCAAGAAAGAAAACAAGACTAAGAAGGTCGAAGCCGAAGGAAGAGGCCCGACCGTCGAGAAGATTGAAGGCAACATCCAGAAGATAGAAGAACGCATTAGAACCCTGGAGCTTCAAGCTGCCGACCGCGACGGAAACAAAGAGGTTGCTCTCGGCACTTCCAAGATCGTAAGTTATATTGGAAACGTGCTTTCATTAAAGCGGATGCTAACTTGGTGTCTAGAACTACATCGATCCCCGTCTCACCGTTGTCTTTGCCAAGAAGTTTGACGTTCCTATTGAGAAGTTCTTCTCTAAGACTCTGCGTGAGAAGTTCAACTGGGCTATCAAGTCGATAGAGGACGACGATCACTGGGAATTTTAAAGCCATGAGCTACCTATTCTATTATTATTACTAGCGCATCATCAGTATATTTATTGTATAGTACACATCCCGCTAATGGCGTTCTATGGTTAGAGAGACCTAGAAAAGAGATGAGAGGCGGGGGATGGAGGTCTCAGAAGTGGACCGGGGAAAGGAAGAAGGCGTAAGGGCTTGAGAGGAGGCATAAAAACACTTCTACAGCATGACCAGCTACGATCGACGAGCATGATCGGACGAGCCAGGTACTTTAGCATGGCGCGGTGCATTCCGGGGGGTGCGAGTGTCGGGGTCGGTTCATGGATAATTCGATTTGTTTCGCTTCTAGAGAGTCATTCTAGACGGACAAGAATTCGATGCATTATTAATTTTCTCATCTTGGACTGATTTTGCGAAGTAGTGGTTATACAAATCTACCTGCCTAGTTGTTACATAGGTGCTTAGAGGCTATTCGGAAGGGATGCGTTGTGAAATAATGGTAGGCCAATATGACTGGGTAGTAGCATCTACGCAGGTAATAGCCTATCTACCTAGGTAGCCTTCTTCACGACTAGGTAGAACATAGAACATGACAAGAATCAATATATGCGCTTACTCGTTACACATCAGCTAGGCATCGGCCAAGCGTCTGACCATACAGATTAATTCGATATATTGGATATTTCACACTGCAGCAGCCCACACGTCATACAAGCCACCTGTGTCTGATTCGCCGGTAGATGGTGCATGAGCTAGAGCCAGCTATGTATGTAGAGGTCTTCCGTTCCCGTCCATCCATCTATGTCCTATGTATGCGAGTTGTATGTATGTATATTTAATTACACGACCAAGGGGGGTAAAGTAAGTATCACGGCTCCAACTCCAACTCCAACTCCAACGGCAGCTAGTAAGTAAGTATAGGTAAGTAGGTAGTAATCGTCCTAAGCACATATGCGAATTTTCTTTCCTTCCTTCCTTCTTTCTTTCTTTCAACTTAATAACCGTTGGCGGTAGTAGTAGAAAAGCTCTCGCGCACAGCGGCGCCGAAACGCTCGATGGCAGCGTCCATAGCGGCCTCGGAGGCGGCGGCGAACGTGGTGCGGAAGAAGAGGCCGCTGGGAGGCTGGTCGCGCTCGGCGCGGAACCAGGACCCGCGGATGGCGAGGACGCCCTTGTCGATGCACGAGTTGAAGATGTCTTCTTCGATCTCGAGGACGGATTTCGTCGAGGCTTGCGGGTGTTGCGTGTGGTCGACTTTGAGCCAGAGCTGTGGGGGGGTGTGTGCTGGTTAGAAAGGGTGGTGGTGGTGGTAGTGGTGGTGGAATGATGTTCGAGCGGTGTAAAGGGGGAAGAAGGATAAAAGAGGAAAGGGGGAAAGGGAAGAGGGGATGTAACTTACGAACATTCCCGCGGCCGGCGGGACCCAGCTCACGATGTCGCGAGGTAGATGCTTCTCGCACGCGGCGAGGATCGTGTCTCTTCGCCGCGTGTACTCGAGCCGCAGGTGCATCAGCCACCTCAGATACCCCTCGTGCCCCCACGTCTCGTCCACGAGCTTGTACATGAGGATCTGGGCGAGCCCGCTGGGGCCCTGGCTGCAGCACTCGGCGTGCCGGATGTACCGCTCGACGATCTGCTCGCTGGCCGTAATCCAGCCGACCCGCGACCCCGGCACGACAACCTTGCTGAACGAGTCCAGGCGCATCACTCGCCCGTCCACGTCCATGCTGAGCAGGCTAGGCACCAGGCTGTCGAGGAACTCCTCCACGGTAGCCGGGGGCGGGACCGCGGGCGCGTCGGGCCCGGCGGTGTACGGCTGCATCTGCAGGAAGTAGTACGGCTCGTCCTCGAGGATGTACACGTCGTGCTTCTGGCACACGGCGTAGATATCCCGGCGCCGCTGCTCGCTCTGCGTCGCGCCGGTGGGGTTCTGCCCCGAGGGCACCGTGTATAACAAGGCGGGCTTCCTAGCGCCTCGGGACGCCTCGTCCCAGGACGACAGCATCTCGTCCATGCTCTCGGGCAGCAGGCCCTGCGCGTCCAGACGCACGCCGAATACCTTGATGCCCAAGGGGGCCGTGGTCTCGAGGGCGGTGGAGAAGCTGTATTCTTCGGTGAGCAGGGAGTCGCGCCTCGCGCGGTCGCAGAACATGCGCAGCGCCTGCTCGAGGGCGCCCGTGCTGCCGATGGTCAGGGCGCAGCGCCAGTCCGCGTACGGCAGGCCGCGGTGGACGAGCTCCGTGTGCTCGGTGACCCAGCGCAGCAGCTGGGCGGAGCCGATGGACTGGCCGTAGTTCATGGCGATGGACAAGTCGTGCACGCCGCCGTTTTCGTCCTTCGCAACGTCGTACTTGCCTATCCTGACTTCCTGGCCCGACGACGCCGTCTCCGCTTCGGTGAAGCGAGGCGGCGTGGGCACGCGCATGCTCAGGGAGTCGATGGGGAAGTTCTCCGCCGACGGCAGGCCGCCGCCGAGGGAGATGAGCCCGGGCTTCTTGAGGTGCTTGGCTGCTAGCTTGAGCACGCAGGCTTCCCGGGCGATGGACTCTTGGCTGAGACGGTCTGGTGGGGGGTTAGTACTAAGAGTCTAAGACATTGTTATTGTTGTTACTGCTGCTAATACTCACGATCCCATCGTTTTGCTTTGGGCTTATCGCGTGCTTGCTATATTATAGCATACATAAACACATGTTAGTGAGGTCGTTGTTCTACTAAAGCTAGAGAGCGAACTTCTCACAGGAGACTTGAACATGTCACTATCGGAATAAGACGCCGTAGGAGCAAATAGCTTGCCTGCCCTTGCCCTCCGCTCCTTGATGCCATCGATCGTCAGCAGCCGCTCGTGGGCCTGCTGTCCAGCAGCAACAACAGGGTCCTTCTCCACCGGCATCTCGCTGCTTGCAATACGTGAAGACTGACGGTGCCGGGAACTAGTAGTCGAGAACAACAACAAGTGCTTTCCAGAAGAAGCCGGTACAAAGCGTCGAGCCGAACGAACAAGTACCAACGACGAGAGGGTGGTGCGATACGGATTGCGACTAAGCGGAAGCCTCGCCATCACGTCCCGGGTCAAGCGTTATAAGAAGTACAAGATATATTACAATTTACGGGCTTCCAAATTAATGATTATGATTACATAAGAGACCCGAAAGACGTAGACTTGTGGTCCAAGAGTTGTTGTCATGTCGCGGCTTTCCCTTTGTTCACCGAATCACACGGGCCTCGGTAGCGATAACGGGGGACGATAGTGGGACCCCGGCCGATTGTAGCCGGCCTCAACCGGCCGAAGGTAGCCAATACCATTCCCCGGTTTATACCATCCATTGACGCTTTAGGTCATAGGTACCAGGTCATACGTAACTACTATAGTATTTTTATCTCGTAACTATCTCCAAATGCCAATGCCAATACACCACGTACTACGCTAATTCATCTCGGGACTGCAAAATATATAATCATCCATCATCCATTACGTTATCTATGAAGCTCGTAATCCTTTTGGCGCCCTAGCTATGATGCCTTGTCATATCTTATCTACAATAATCCTCCGTATCAAGTCTAGACTCTTGCTTGTTGTTTGCTCCATCATACGCCCTTTGCTTGCAGATGCCAACGCCAGTGTTTCCCTATCCCGTGACCCGAGTCCATGTCTATTTTGTCTCCATAGGGGGTTATATCTATAATATTACAAATTACTCGTAGTAAACTGTAGACGAGCAAGAAAAACATCCTCTTAAATGTCGAAAATCCGGAATAAATGGTACGTTGAGAAGAACCCCTCTTAGATAAGTTAACAGAGATTGGTTTAGTCTTTACGACGACGGTCCATATCCCGGCGGTAAGGTATCGAAAGGCCCGGTGATGAGGCGGTGAATCTTCGATTGCTTCGGCCGACACTACGATTACGCTCTTTAAAGAGCAAATCCCAGAGAGGTAGTTGTCTTTGCATATGCACGGCCCTTCCACCCTGGTCGCCGCGATAGTCTTCGAGTGGAATCCCGTTTTGTACGTACTTCCTGCGATGACCGTCGGAATTAGGAGCCCTAGGTGCGTCGGACCGGGGTTAATGTGCTCGTGTCGACTTCCAGTTGATTTGCTGATAGACGGAACCGTAGACCTGCGCGGACACGTCCCCTAGTCCGATGACTAGAGCGTGCCTACTCATTTGCAGCCTCCGATCGAGGTCAATTTGTAACACGCTCAGTCGTAAAACGTAAAATCATCTACTCATAAGAAGTCATTTTCGTTTCTTACTCCGCTCTCTACCTCAGCATATTTATCATACTGCGGTGCTTCAAGGCCAAAATCTTCGGCTGCTCGCAAAGATAGCGCAGAGGGTGAAGACGAAGATGAAGTGGTAAGCAGGGCCTAAGGAGTATATATGTTAGTCTCATATCTAAGCAAAAGGGAGAACTTATGAACATACGTAAGATAGTCGAACTTGATGGTACTATCTTCCCCTCCGGAGTCATAACCCAGCCCTCGGGTAAGTTATTAGATGAGGTCGAACCCTGGTCTGAACCGCCTATGCCCCCGGCGGGAACGTTAGCCGACCCAGTCGCGGTGGAGCCGCTCGCAACCGCTGTGGTAGTAAGAGTGCCAGCACCACCCAAGTTGCCATTGACCTGGCCGCCATCCGCCTGAATGGACTGCCACGAGCCGGAAGTGTCGCTGTAAGTATAAGAAGAACCTGTGCTGTAATCTGTCACCTTGATACTCTTTACGCTCATGCTAAACGGCCCCTGGGAGTAGTCGGTAGGGCCACGCGCCCAGTCGATCGTGCCTTGGGCGTTGCTAGAGTCGCCTCCAGACCATGCGCCGAATTTAACCTGCATTGGCGTTTGAGGGTACTGGCCCTCTTCGGCTTCTGAAGCTTGGAGTGTCCGCACCGCGGTTCCATCCACGGTCCAGACGATTCGATCGCTTGTCCAATCTATCACGTAGGTAACAAAACCATCTTGGTTGTTTCCCATTTCATGAAACTGCCCGCGGTTGTAGGAAGTAGTTATCCCCTTTCCAAAATAGTTGGATTGTACTTCGGTCGAGTCAGCGCCCAGCCATTCCCAGTCGATTTCGTCGAGACAGTCGGATTGTAATACGAGGGAAGACACGATGCCGGCGCCGGGAGCAGCCTTCAAGCTAAGCTCGACTCGACCGAACATGATGTAGAAGACAGAAGAAAGCTGCGGCGCATCGCCGGTCTGCCTAACCGTAAACGTTACGCCGTCGGAGCCGTATGAGGGTGTGCCGCCTGAAGCGGTGAACGAGTTCACCTCTCCTTGCGTAAAGTCGACGTCTATGGCCATGCCGAGGGCGGTATCCGCGGGGCAGGCTAAGGGGTGTAAGCCATTGGGGTGCCAACCTGGGAGACTAGGAGGATTAACTTACTTGAGGTCAGAGGGTTGCATGATGTATATGTCTGGGCTATACTCGGGCATGAGAACAGCGCAGAGGCCAGTATGGCGCATCTCCAGATAGAAGAAGTCATGATAGCTGGGGCATGCATCTACAAGGATACGGGGATGGTGTATTCGGGAGTAGAAACAGAATGTCAGAACTCCGAGTCAACACTCTCAACACTCTCGAGTTATTGGTTACACTGGTATAGAAAGCAGATCATGGGTGGTGCTGTACAGTGATCCTCGGAATGATCCCTCAATGGCAACAGCGTACGTCCAGTACAGTAGGTATTGTACGACGTTATGCGCAAAAGGAAGACTATCTTTTGCCGAAAGGGTAAAAAGAAGGGTTTCTACAGATTGCAGAAAATATGCAAGTAACTCAATTCGTATGGGCGTATGGGTAAGAATAGGAATGGGAAGCAAGGGAAGTTTGGAGAGCGATGAAGAAGAAGAAAGGTCCAACCACCCAATATATTCATGGTCCACGAAAGATCATGGCAGATGGCGGCATGGCGGCATGGGTAGCACTATGCCGATACATCATCGTCATCCCCGACTTAAAAGAGATACATACGACAGACAGATGTGAACAACACCTGCCAGGAAATGGAAGACAGTGGAAACAGCAGGGTCCAGACCCTGAATACGAATATGAATTGTACATTATGTAGGTATGTATGTATGTGCATGTGAGTTGGCCAAGGACCAAGGTGAGATGATTCTTTCATGGCAGCATGGGCATACCTACACTACGATATGGAATATGGTAGGTTGATTACTTGACCGCTGGCGTTGCGACGTTAAGATGCGACCAACGGTGTCCCACGCTAAAGTTGAATTGAGTTTAGTTGACCCGAATAGCGCCAAGCCAAGTGGCTCGTCTGCTCGTAAAAGCTGGTTTAAGCTGGTTTGGCCTTAGCAGGTGGACCCGGCGTTACCCGGAACAGCTGTGCCGGGATAAATCCATGAGGCTGGAGATCATAGATGACTTTTTTAAAGGTGGCTGGAAACCAAGGCGCTTAGGACGATTTATGTAATGGAATCAGTATCTTTCCGTCGGGAAGGAACATTACGGATTACATAGTCACTTTATTCTCCATCAATCAACTGACGTCAAACCTACCAATAGTCAATTTTTCTTTTCTACAATTACTTCCATGTTCCAACCAATCATCCGTAGTCACAGTCCAAGTGGAAAAGCAATTCAATACTGTTAAGTGGACTATGATAGGTATGCAGGCGTTAAGCAATCCCGCAGCTATTTAACAATTCTCGCCCGTCCAGGAACGAAAATAATATTGATACTCTGCATTCGCCTCTCGGATAAGCACGAGGAAATAAAACTGAATGTCGCTCTGTAATATGAGAATGTCAACTAACGTATAGATGTCTTCCCTTGATACTGGCTTCAAAACACTGTTCTTGGTATCAGCAAAATCACCGCAGAACTCCGAGCTCCACAGTGTTGGTCAGTATTCTCTAATAGGTAGTACCTATGACTACTAGAATCTGTAATCGACTATCCGAATGAGAACACAAGGAAATGAAACGAAACGGGACGAACTCTCAGGCTGTTCTAGTCTGCTTTTGAGGCGGACTACATGTCACCAAAACGAAACAACCTTGTTAAGATCTGGGCTTTCTTCACCTTGCCCTTCCCCCTTTTCACACTCATTGAGGCTCCCAGATTCATCCCGCCAGAAATCACGTATCATAGTATCGCACGATGACGGTAGTCGTCCGGGTCCAAGATTTGAGAGAGATATGTCTGATGAGTGTTGGCTCGACGCATTATACTGTCGTATCTCACCGCCATTCATGTGAGAAAATAGCTCGTCACGGTGGCCAAGCATGAAGAATGAGCGTCCATCCATATCACTATCAGCGCCAGGAGGTACCAGTTTGGGGTCCTGTGCTTTTTTCCTGTGGCGATTATTTTGGTTGAAGCGCCTAGGTTACGTGGTTTAGTATATGGTCCATCCCAGTGCGTTGAAAAATTGCTCGATAGGATCTACTGACCTTGAACAATCCTCAACAAATAAGCTCATTAAAGATATCAGAAGGGGAACACGGCCGAGCAGGAAAGATGCCGAGACGTCGGAATGTGGTATCATGATGAAGATAACCGCAACGATCATAACCAGGGCCAGGAAAAAGTAATTGACGACGGCCTCCCAAATAAGAGCATTATGGACGAATGTAGAGATCCCGAAGAGCCATAAAATGCTTACAGTGTCAGCACGACTCGATCAACGATGAGCTAGGTACCTCACAGGTATCGGTAAAAGGCCTCTTCGTGCTGGAAAGCTGGTAGGAGCATGGCAGCACCAACCATGATGCCTCCAGACAGCATCCTGACACGGTCGAACCTGGCGTTGGCCATACGTGCCTCAGAATAAACAGACATTACCAACCGACCGGGGCGGCTAGTCATATTAAAAATCAAGGAGATGGATGGTGCGAATCAAAAGCCGCCCGTATAGCATATATTATATAAATTTTGATAAACAGCTGAATGAGTGGACGCAATAAGGGATCTCTACAAGTGCGGAGGAAGGGGATTATTACCTTAGGTACTGAGTGTGGCTGGAGGAAACGACGGCTGTCTATTTGTCTAGCCAGAGGCCTCTCTATTTAACGAGCAGGCGGGTTTGGGATGACACTCGTTCGCATACTAATACAATCAACTGAAAGAGGTAACCCGTCCTATCCGAGTCGAATAGAGGCTCTCACGTCGCAGCCCAATGTCTATACACCTATTTCCGCCGCCGTGCGACGCGGGGGGTTGCCTGAGTCATTCTGGAATGGCGTATAAGCAGGAGTTTTCTCGTTAGCAGTTTGCCTAACTACAGTTAAACCAACAGATATACACCGAAGGAATACTCACCGAAAATCCAATATATCATCGCAGACATCTTATTGGAAGACGCCGTCATATAGCCTCACAGTCAGCCTAGTATCAAAGGCTGCAGCTCACGGATATGTAACTTGCTGCGCCCCTTGGTGCCTAATTAGTCCTATGCAGAGTAACATAACGCCCTGTGAAATGCGCCATGATGTGAGACCAAGATCGTCAGAGTGTCAGCTAACCCAGCCTACATCAACTAGACTCCAATTTCTGTAACCATGCGAGCCGGCGAAGCTCGACAAGGTCATTGGCCAGCGCGTAAGCACGAAAGTCGACCTCAGGTATCTCGGGACAAAGTATAAGGGTCGCCGGGTAGAATAGTATTTTCATCATCGACAACTTCAACCAGCGCGCCCACATCGTATCCTCCAATGTGTCTGAATTGAATATACCGATCTTTCTTTCGCACATTCTTCAGATGTACGCAACATGTCGTTCTTTCGGGCTCCCTGGAAACCAGGTCTATCACCAACAATACATATTACCGTCACGGCGAAAACCTTCGCTGTCAGAACTCGCTGAGCTTGTTCCCGCCCTGACTTGTAGTTTCTTTACGACGTGTTATATCGTTCGCGCAGAATCGGCGCGAGAGGATTTCCTTGTAAATATCGACGTGCGTTATTAGCCTATCCCCCCTTTTTTGATACCCTCCCGCTGAAAGCAACCATTCCGACTCTAGTCCCACAGTCAAAGTCTCCTCCGCGCAGTTAGGCTCGATCTGCTGCTTAAAAACGTGCCACCGGGACTGGCGCTCGGCTCCTGCCTGGTGTTGGGGTGTTGTCTGTCGTCGTATACCCACCGCCGGCGAGATCGGGATCCGTACCAACCCGTCGTGTTCGCGGTCTGGATCGTCTGGGCCGTGTGTATCGGCTGGGGAACGGGCATCAGCGCCAACGTGGTCACGCTAGGCATCGTGCCGTGGGCCTCGTGCGCCGCGATGCTTAGCAGCTTCATCGGACACGTAGGAGCGCGATGGGTCTCAAACAGAGAGAGGTGTCAAGGCGTCTATACTATGAGCGTAATGAACGAGAAGGCAATATTCTTCGATACGTGATTTCCGGCTGTTGTTTCTATCTACCACGAGGTTAAGAGCCGCTATTCGGTGGCTGGCTCTTGATCGCTTCTACGCGGAGACATTAAAAGACGCTTTGACAGCAGTTACCGTACTGTTAGTGCGGCTGGCGCATATCTTTTTCGATATCTGTGTGTTATCCCCTTTTTTCTCCTTTTTCTTTTTTCGGCACTCGAGGTTCCGACTTTCTTCACACATTTAGCGGCAGGTTCGCCTATAGCTGCTAATGACTAGAGATACCTACGAGAAATTAATAGAAGGAGGTAATTTGATTTCACGGGGGATGGGGATGGGGATGGGGGAGGGTTTTAAGGGAAGGAAGACATGTGAATTCAGCCATATTATAGAATATACCATCCGACGGCGTTGTGCCATTAACACTCGCTTTATAATAATATACCAGTTAAATAGGACCAATGCAGGCGAAGTCAAGTTCTTCAGCAAAGCGGAAGTGGACTGCTACTAACTAATTTATTATGCTATCTTGTTTTCACAAATTAAATTAAATCTAACAATACAATGGTATAGAGAGTCGGAGGCAGATTGTCAACATACATACACTTGGGCTATAATACTATTGAAATGGCTCTTTAGAATAGTGATAGTGTACTTACTGCTTAGCCAGTGCCTGTGCTCGTATCTATATAACAGTATAAATACCAGCGAGGTAAAATAAACGTGTGATATTGCGCCTAAGATAAAATCGCATGCCGAGACAGAATAACGAGCATCCATGTATTTACTACACACTTATATAGCAGCCTCTCCCCTAGGGCCTACATCGTACGGAGACCCAAAGGGTAAAGACAACGTCGGGTAGAAATAAAGACGCAACAACACATGGCCTCGTAAACGTTTCCTCCGCCTTAACTTGGAAACGCCCACACTTCAACTCGATGCTTTTATATACCTAACCTACCCAGGGTAAAGGTGTCATTCGATAGAAAACGCTGTAGACCCCCCGCATTAGGTATGTAAGCACCTCAATCCTTCCGGCGCACGACTAGGTCAGCTCGGCCGAAATAAACCGGGCGAAGCTGGAATACTTTATAAAGGAATGACCGCCCGGACGCAACCAACTAAAACTGTTTTAAACCATCGTCGATTTGAGTTATACGTGCCTATATACACACAGGAATTTATTTACCTGTCGTAGATTCGTTTCTCATAGGTATTCCGCGCGATAGCGGAATTGACCTGATGCCAAAAGGTACAGTATGATATATACGAGAAGTCACGGAGACTTGAGAGTTCCATTAAACAGCTTCCCCCACGAAGCCTCTACTTCATTCTTTCAATGTTTTAATATTTCATTTTTCCTTTTCCTCTGCTACCATCTCACACCTTCTTCGCCTCCCACAGCGCAACCCTAACGCCATCGCCCGGTTTAATCACAACCTCGGACTTAAGCTTCGGCTTGCCCCCATCAACCTCGTGCATAAAACTCTCCACGCGCTCAAACCGCTGGAACACGCGCGTGAGCACGTACGCCATCTCCGTCAGCGCGAACTGCTGGCCGATGCAGATGCGCGGGCCCCCGTTGAACGGGATGTAGCACCACGGCTTGGGCTGCCATGAGAACCATCTTTCTGGACAAAACACATCCGGGTTCGATCCGGCCGGGTACAGGTCGGGTCGGCGCTGCATCACTAGCGTCGAGTATCCGATCGCCGTGCCCTTTAGCACCGCCAGCGGCAGGGAGCCGTCTGGACCGCCGCCGCGCGGGAGCGTCGTGTCTTTGAGCGCGGTGCGTACGTTGTACGGCACCGCGGGGTATAGGCGGAGCGTCTCGTTGATCACGTTCTGCAGGTACTTCATGCTCTTCAGGTCGGCGTACGTAGGCGTGCGGTCTAGGCCAACTTGCTCGATGATCTCCTGCCGGATTTTGCGTACGACTTCGGGGTGGCGGCCGAGCTCGTAGAAGGTGAATGATAGTGTGGAGGCGGTAGTGTCGCGGCCGGCGAGAAGTACAGCGACGAGTTGATCACGGAGGACTTTCCTGTCGCGGGTAAAAGAGGCAAGTTCGTGCAGGAAGGTGTAATCCTGATCGGACTTGGTCTTGGACGCTAGTTCTTCGGGGCTGAGGCGCAGTGCGCGGTCGATGTAGATATTGCAGAGCTCGTTGACTACTTTAAGGCCTTGACGGAAGGTCTTCTTAGGCACGAACGGATCGAGCGTGCCAGCACGCGCGCGGATATTCTGGACTCTCTGTACCTCGTTGAAGGCGTCGGCGAAAGGCTCGCGTGGTTTGCTATTACGTGTAAGTCATTTCCGTCCCCTGATGGAGTGTAGATGGGGGACGCAGGGCATTCTTACGTGAGGGACTGTACGTCCAGTCCTAGCAGAAAGTCGGTAGCAACATCGAGGGTATATCTGTATAGGAGATCGCAAATATCGAATGGTTTACCGTTACCGGCCTCGATATCGACTTTTTGCTCCTCGCCATCCAGAACACCGCCATTCGCTATGGCTTTGAACAAGGTTTCAAGATGAGACTCGAAGCAGTTTAAGTCACTGATACGTTCCCTTGAGAACTGAGGGCGGAGGAGGTGTCTGCTGGCATGCCACTGGTGGCCGTCGGTAGCAAAGATGCTGTCGCCGAGGAACTCGCTCCACTCCTTGTGGAACTGCTCACCCTTACCGAAATCCGCGAACTGGGTAGCGAGGACCGCCTTAATGTTCTCGGGATCGGCAGTCGTAACTACACGGTTTCCGAGAAGGACGGACTGGGCGGTATAGTAGGGTTTATCGGCCACAAACTGGAGGAATACCTCATAGCTTGTGTGGGTGATGGAACCGATGATCTGTCTCTTGACAATATCTATACCTGTTCTACTTATTAGGGCACTAACTCCCGGATTACCTTTATTTTTCATTGACACTTACCGAAGGGTGCATTACTTTTGATCCGTGGACCCTGGACGCCGAGCCGTCGTAGTCGAACCGTTTCGTCGATTTTAATATATATAGTCCACAAGACATAGACGGCGCCGAGGACTATGAAGGCGGATTTGAAGGACACATGGTCCAGCGCCGTTTCGATCAACCCCATAATGACAAGTAAAACGAAATGAACGAAGGCTTGGGCTAGCTGTTGAATCTAGCCTAGCCTTTGACTTCTTATGTTGATCTTTATATTTAAGCGAACATAAGAAGAGTACGAGATCAGTCATCTACGGTTACTTTACATTGTGTCACGTTGGGTTCGTCGAGAGTGAGTATTTTGTTTTGTTAGACGGAAAACTTCGAAGCGATACGGTCCCGCGGGGTCCGTGGGCGAGGAAACCCCAGGGGTAGAAATCAACTCATTACGATGACAAGCTTCTGGGCGACAAACAGCGGTCGACATGAGTAATGTGGTACAGATACATTCGGTATCGCGTTCGCCAGTTCGTAGCGTTCATGGGGTATATCCACTTGGAGACTTGGACGTTGAAGATCGACGTGGTAGGTGTGCGAATATAGTAATACCGAGGCGTCTCAGAAACCGGGTGCGGGGTGATCCAAGGTACCGTAAATACCTATCGTCGTATAACGCGCAAGAAGATATCTTCTGTATTTCGTCAGTCTACATAGCCAGATAGCTCGCTAGAGGAAAGTTGCCGAGCCGGTCATCGCAGCTTGGCGAAGCGATGACCCCATAATTACTGAGACTCTGAGTTGAATACGACATGGGACCTGGGTGTAGCTAGTGTTCGGATGAATTCATTGCACCGATTCAAAAACATGTTTGGCCGCTTGAGTGGTTATCAATGTATTGTCTCATCTTCTTCTTAAACCCGAGGAAGATTTGTTGTGGATTTGTGAAGTATGTCCGTTGAAGTAAAGCACGAATTATGTACTGAGGTGGATAATGAGCTGCTGACATAAGGATATTAAACTTTAGAGTCCAAGGTATCTGTATATGTAATATGGATCTGAATATGCGGAAGGTACAGGAAAGGATAGGCACAAGGTTCTTACCTCATGATATAGTACCTACCTGTCTGGCGCTACAGCCGAGGCTAAAGTATAAATCCTACGAATATGGGGGTTGCGCCTCCTGGACGTTACTTCTCAATGACAACCTTACGTACCTATATAGGACCTAGGTAGACTTGCGCCAAATTCATAATTTATAATTAATACCTTTATCTTAGCAAGACAGACTTAAACACAATCAGTACCAAACACCAATTCGAGGATCAAATTGTCATATTATTAGTCCGGATGTACACCAATCCATATATGTCCTCCCTATTTAGCCCCTTTTTAGCTTGGGTAGGTTAGATTAGATACGCAAAAGTATTCTAAGTATATACAAGAAAATCGCCGTTGACGCGACGAGAGCGACCCCTATATTTCCTGAGGCGCGATGGTATATATAGTCTCTCATTGGAAGAGACACGTATTGGCATCCATACCCTGCGTGCAGAACACCATATGGACCGGATCGGCCCTAACCCCACGCGCCAATATGCGCTCGCGGAACTCAGCTAGACGCGGCGCCGCGTCGAGCTGCGTTCGGTTATTGCCCGCGGCGTCAAGGCGGCCCGACCAGAGCACTTCGCCTGCGGCACTAGCGCGCGGCCATAGGATGCTGTCGATATTAACCTCGTCGATAGATTCTGCCCAGCTGGCGACTTCGCCGCCGATAACTAGTTTGGCCTCCTCGTCGGTTAGGCCCGCGCGCGGGTCGTACGAGTAGGCCAGGCGCCAACCCTTGGCCGGCCCGCACCAGTCGTTGAATGGCCAGTTCTCCTCGAACGACTCGCCCTCGGCAAAGTTGAGCCATGCGCCGCGGCCGCAGTCGAGATACTGGGATAGTTGTTAGCAAAGGTCTAGAAACGGATTGGGAGTGCTAAATCTACTTACCCAGTAGTTGTAGTTGCTAGAAATGACCTTGTGGCCCTTAGCCGTGAGGCTCTTAATAGCTTCGTCTCCGAGCCAAGACTGCACCACAACGTCGTCCCCGATAGTAACGTTGTAGCTCGCGGGGATCTCTTCCCAAACCATAGGTACCAAGCCGGCCTTGCGTACTCGCGCGTGGTGCTTGTCGATGAACTTTTGCAGGAGCGGCACGATCACCGACGAGTCGTTCGTACCGACCGTAGGGTCGAGGCTGTACTCGTTGAAGTTGACCTCGTCGCCACCCGTATGGAAGTAAGCCGAGTACGGCGCGAGTCTCGGTAGGAGATCATCCATTAGAGTGTCGAGGAAGGGGTCCACCTTGGACTCGTTCAATTTAAGTTGACCACAAGGAGGCTCAGCACAATAAGCCGACCACGGAGACGCGCCCCAGCCCGTAATCAATTCCGGATATGACAGTGCCGCTATACCGAAGTGTCCGGGAGTGTCGACTTCGATAATAGCTTGTACACCGCGCTGGATCGCGTATGTCTGGATAGCTGTCACGTCGATAGGCGAGTATGTCTTTCCGCGAGCATATGCGCCTTTCTGGTGGAGTTCCGGGAGTGAGGGGATCTCAAGCGGCCAGGACTGCGAGTCCGTGGCGTGGATATGGATTCGGTTCAACTTGTTCCACGATAAGGCATCGATAGTTCGGTAGATGGTCTCGAGGGGAAGGTAGCTTCTGGAAACATCTAGAAGGACACCTCGGTGGTCATATTGAGGCGCGTCGCTAATCTTGACCGGGGCTAGCTTGGTGTAAATAGGGCCATTGGAATGCTTGAAAAATAGCTGCGAGAAAGTCTCTAGAGCTCGAAGAACACCCGTAGAGGAGACGGCTGTGATTCTAGCCTTGCCGTTGGCGTTGAGAGTCAGGTTGTACGACTCGTCAACCTCACCTGCGAGAGGCTTAAACGTCTTTGCCGTGTCTTTTCCAGTCTGAACAATCTCGAGCCAAGTTATGTAAGTCTTGTGCTGCCAGATACTTGGTTCCGTCTGCTCGAGCGCCATTCGCGGGTATAGCTTCCACGGGACAAAACTGTTATCCAGGATATTCTTCACCGTACGTGAGACTCCTCCCTTGACGATCTCCTTGCTGGAGAACTTGGGGCCGCCGAACGGGACATAATTCCTGATCCAAGGAATCTACCAAATTGGTCAGTTTATGTCAACATTTGCGGCGTGGCTTAGATGTCTAAAAGAAAAACTAGCATACTTTATCTCCATTGTAAGTAACTAACAGAACGTCTCCTATCCAAAGCGTGGAGTTGCCCGTGCTGATGGACTCCGGAATCGGCCAGATAGCCTGGACCGACGTGACGGTAAGCAATAATAACGAGAGGACGGCTTTCGAGCACATGGCGCCGGTGGTAGAAGGTTGTAGAACACGAAAACCAAGAAAAGACAGAGGGTTGATGGAATTAATGAATGTTTAGGAGTGGATATCGATCTTTAATTCAGATCTTTATCCAATGCTTCTCCCCCCAGCTAGGCGCGTCCAACGGTTACGACGATAAGCTGATTTCGAAGCCGGGGTCCGTTTGTTGTTCCAACAAACAACTCCAACTACGAGGTGTCCCTACGACAGCTGTACGAAGTAACCTCTCAGCGTCGCGAGCCGGGTTTTTGGAGCCGGCTTCCTATCCAGACTAGGGCGCAGCTACTCCTGCAATTATAGGCAATCCGGCCGAGAGGCGATGGATGGAGGTCCAGGTCGAATAGGTCGGGAAAGCTGGACACTCCCCCCCAAGGTCCCGGGATTCGTTCTTCGCTATCTCTCCCGCTAGCACGCGTCGCAACGTTACTTTGTTAGACGGTGCCGTCGTGTCGGTTTTGCGGCGGCGAATGCGTGATAAGGCTATCGGATAGGTAGGTATGCACTGACAGCCGCTTGGGCGGGTACCTGGTTTGAGATACGAGTTGAACGAACGTTGTTGGGCCTGGAGAGAAGCTACCTAGGTAGGTAGGTGGCGGGGAAGAAGGTTTTATTATTTTCTTTTTTTATTTCTATGAGGTAGACATTACATTTTATTTTATACTTTTATGTACTGCTCATCTACATACACGGGAATGGGCAAGTAGATCTCCAATGCGGTACGTGCCTAACGAGATTGGCATGATTGATTGGCTCGTTAATCAATCAATGCAGGTCCTCTTCTCTCATCTAAAGGATCGAGAATAATTGATTGATTGCTTATTCGGCTAATCTTTGCTTCCTACGGGTCGCGATGGCACATAAAAAAAGGTGCCAGGGGCAATGCTCTTTTTTTCAGGACAGCTCATAAAAATTAAAAAAAGATCCTATGTACGCAGAGCAACCCTGGCAGTTGAGTGAAGGTGCTGCCATGTTATTCTAAGCGTACCAGGTAGGTTAGTTACCCATTCTTCTTCTTCTCGTGTTGGATTGTGTCTAAGAGAATGCGGAAGGGATCTTCACCCCAAGATTTACCCTATGTGGACTAAACCGATTGGGTCCAAGGGCCGAAAGGGTAGCATCAGGCACATACATACATAGGTACAATACCTACCAACGCCCACCAAAGTTGAACCTGTCAGCCTGTCACTGTTACGCCATGCCCAGTACCGGTATGAGGTAGCATCATCATCTGGGGAAAATATCGATATATATACCTATCTATATATATCTTAGTGTAACGGCCCAAGACTCGACCAGGCGAATTAGCCCATAGACGGGGCGCCGGGTATTCCACGAACGGCATCGTCGACGTCCGTTCGCCGGTAGTTAGGCACTTTAGCGTTGACGTCGCAGCCATAGTCTAAGTAAGTGCCGAAGAGAGTTTAGGAAAATAGGGAAAAGCGCCCTGTCAGACGGGAAGACCATCAACAAACGTACCGTACCTTGCTAAATAGTGTACACTACCTGTCTAGCCTAGCCCCCTTCGTGGTTAGTTTTACGCGTGCAGCCGCGTGGGCCGTGGCGATACCTGACAGCTTTCTAGCCCGTGGGATCGTGCCGGGAAACCCACTAACCTACAGAGTTAGCTCTAAGGCCGAGCACACATATCGATACTTTGAACTTCTAATAACGACCGTAACAAGGCGATCATATATAATTGCTGACTTGCAGTACATACATATATTAGCTGAGCCCTACGAAAAGGAGACGACGGTAATATTGACGAATCACGAGCGACATCCGAGACCAGGATTCAATAATGGAGCCAAACAATCCCAGTTCAAGAAATTCAGACGATGACATGTTTATCATGCTGTCATGTCAGGAACGGCATACTTTTGAGGCACAGGCAGCTCATATTCGCATATATATTCCTTCCATCCTGCTTCCGTCGTCGTGTGGAGCCGAACCAAACAATGCAACTTTAAGCTCCCAATGCCGCAATCCTTCAGCTTAAATCCCCACCTAGCAATAGGGCTCTCACCTCATCCCATGAGAGGAAATATGTAAGATCGGTATAACGCAAATTGGAATGCAATACATTGATCTGCCGTACTTTTGTTCTCCGAGGCCGACGGACGTTGGTGTTCTTACAATTTCTGACCTAGATTCACATGAATGGCTTTGGTTTGCATATACCCGGCGAGACCAGCTTCTCCTAGCTCTCGGCCGATACCGCTCTGCTTCACGCCTCCGAACGGGACTCTGAAATCCGAATCGTTGGAAGAGTTAATCCAGACCATACCCGCCTCGATGCGCGCAGCGACGCGATGAGCAAGCTCGAGGTTTTGGGTAAAAATAGCCGAGCCCAGCCCATAGGTGGTGTCGTTCGCCATCGTGATTGCTTCATCTTCAGTCTTGAACGGCACGATGACAACGAAAGGCCCGAACACCTCCTCTCGGTAAATCTTCATGCTATTCTTTACGTTGGTGAAGACGGTAGGCGCGACGAAGTAACCCTTTCCATTGAGCGGACAGGGGATACCTCCGTCCGTCAGCGTGGCCCCTTCAGACTTACCTGCTTCCACAAAGCTTAGGATCCTCTCGTACTGCGCTTTGGTAACTTGAGGGCCTTGGAATGTGCCCTCCTCGAAGGGGTCGCCGACCTTGCTCGTATTCTTGACCTCCTCCCGGAACTTGTCTACGAATTTATCGTAGATGGTCTCCTGGACGAGGATACGCGAGGTCGCTGTGCAGATCTGGCCCATGTTGCTCATGATTCCGGCATGAGCCCATTTTGCTGCTTGCTCGATATCAGCGTCTTGGAAGACTAGCAGAGGAGATTTGCCACCAGTTTCGAGAGTGATGTTCTTCATGTTGACGCTGGCTGTCTTCATAATCTGCTTTCCCGTCGCAGTCGAGCCGGTGAATGCAACCTTGTCGATGTCCAGGTGGCTTGCGAGTGCATGACCAGCCTCTTTACCATAGCCGTTGGTAATATTGACAACTCCGGGAGGGAAGCCAGCTTTGGATATGAGACTCGCTAGGTATAGGATGGATAGAGGAGTTTGTTCGGCAGGCTTCAGTACAACTGTGTTTCCACAGGCAAGCGCAGGTCCTAACTTCCATGCCGCCATCGCCATTGGGTAGTTCCACTATATTTTCCAGATATTAGCACTTAATCGCACATGTTAGATCACATGTCAGATCCTACTAGGGGGTGAGTGAAGGATGTCATGAGGCGACACACTTACGGGAATAATCTGAGCGCAGACTCCGATAGGCTGCTTCAGTGTATATGCAAACTTCTGGCTTGTGGTGGGAATAGTTTCGCCGTGGATCTTGTCAGCATAGCCAGCGTAGTATCGAATGGTATTGATGACCTCTGCTACGTCCCCGTGGGAGTCGCCGAGTGGTTTGCCATTATCCCAAGTCTCGATAGTAGCTAGGATATCCTCTTCTTGTTCGACTATATCCGCCAATTTATACATCAGCCTACCGCGATCAGTCGGAGAGATATCTCGCCACGACTCGTGGTTTAATGCAGCTCTCGCAGCAGCTACGGCTTTGTCGATGTCTTCGACGCTAGCTGCTTCAACTGAGCATATTTCTTGCTCGTTTCTAAAGTTGAATCGATTAATCTCAAGTTAATGGGCTGCATTCTAAGAAGGGGTTCTACTGACGTCGGGTTGATGCTGGTAATCTTAGCCCCCGAGCTCGATTTGACGAACTCGTTATTAATAAAGAGACCGGTAGGGAGAGTGAACTTCTTGCCGTTTGGGGCAGTAAGATCAACCTTTAAGTCTGCCATGGTGGATAATAGCTTAGATAAGTTGTTGCTTTTATTTAGACGGCGAGATGTCCAACTAGAGCGAATAGTAGCTCTGGCAATAGATTGAAGCATGACCGGAGGGGTGGCGGTTTCCAGCTACACACGTTTTATACCTACCTACATATATCGCTATCTATCTCCCTATCAGACGGGCGGACAAATGGCACCTTGGTATTTTTTGTGGCAAGAGCTTCCCCGCATCAACAGTTATCAGCAACTACGGGTTTCACAGCAATCATGCTACAAATATAGATACGTCAGGTCTCTAAGCCTATAGATATGATGCCGCAGGTAGGCGCCTTCGTCGGCGGGGGTTGTAGTAAGTGTGCTGCTAGTAAGTCTAGGTACTTGTCCCGGTTGCGCTTATCTCCTAGTGTAGACTGCGATATGGGAAAACTCTATTACGTTGAAAAACATGTATGACGCATAGCCCCGCTAAATGTAAAAGATTACCTAACCTTAGGTACCAATGATATTCTAATTCAAATATAAAATAGAAGTCAACTTGTAATCTATTGTCCGTTATGATTCTGATTCTGATTTCTAATTTGTAGGTATAGAGAGTGAGGCTAGTTACTAGTGAACAAGACACCATATATTACCATACTCATAATAGCGAGACTATGGGAGGGTAAGGAAACTTGGTACGTTAGGATGTGACTTCTAGTAACCACATGTGCACTATTAGAAAGCTATCATGATACCTCCTTGCATACGCCTTAAGTATATCCCTAGCAAACACGTATAGAGATGGATATATAGAGATGGATATGATTAGAGAATAATTTGACACCAACCACTTTTCTAGAGGCGGGCGTAACAACTCATCGTAATCCAAAACATCGGTACGCTCATTCGTAATTTCTTTCTCGCCCCTTATTTAATATGGAGGGGCCTTCTATCAACCGGCCTCTGAAACTATCTCTATGGTCTTGTGACTGGGATGACTGCAAACGACCAGCTGTTCAAAGAGCTGGAAACTGTTCCCTCTGCAATAAGCATCTATGTCGAACTCATCTGCGGGATAAATGGCACGAATGTCCCAAGCCAGAGGCACGTATATTATTGCTGCGGGATATGTACCTAGTCAGTCAGTCGCACCATCGCTAACATTTCTAGGAAAATTGGAGCATGTACGCTTCTCAATATGTAGCTGCGGAAACTCACCAAATGGATGAGCTATGCCGTAGGATAGACGGTGCTAAACTGTGCGCACGCGCGTCGCTGTGTAGAGGAGGGATTCCTTGTACCGTCAACTTGTCAGCAAACAACTTGTCGTCTATGATGGGTGGCCAAAACTGTCACGCCGAGATTACCTTTGGCGACAACGTGAAGTGGCTCGCTCGATTCCGTCTGTCAAACATCTCATCGCCTCCGCTGGAATGCCGCGATTACATCCTTCGGAGTGAAGCAGCCACAATGGACTTTTTACAGAAACGCACACACATCCCCTCCCCGAAAATTTTCGATTGGGCATGCGAATCAGATCCAAGTAACCCATTGGGACGGGTGAGTTACATTTTGATGGAAAAGATGGAAGGAAACCCCTTGGATTGGCAAGGGGCAAACCCGTCGCAGAAAGAAAAAGTCATGCAGCAATTAGTTGATATATTTCTTGAGATCGAGAAGCACCCATTCGATACGATGGGGTCAATAGTCCTGAATAACGATCTAACAAGGTATGAGATACAGGGCATCGCTCACCACGAAGTGTATTGTGTAGGAACTACAGGCCCCCTAGGCCCTTTCCACTCTTCGCTAGAGGGAGCCGATGCCCTTATTGGATTGTACCTCGCTATGATAGCAAGCGGCGAGATCGAGGCTACTTACCCGATAGATGTTTTCCTCATGCATCGCTTTCGCTTGGATCTTCTAAACGATATCGGAAAACATGCTCCATCAGGGGGGCCCTTTTTCCTGAAGCACCCCGACGATAAGGGCGACCACATCCTTGTAAACGAAGATTTCGACATCGTTGGGATGATAGACTGGGAGTGGTGCCAGATAGTTTCGAAGGATAATGCATTTTCCTCGCCATGTATGATGTGGCCTGTTGCGAAGTTTTACGCTGGTTCCAACGAGCTTGCTGAGGAAGAATTGCGGCTGGCTATGATCTTCCGTGAAAGAGGCCGTGAAGATATAGCCAAATACATTCTCGAGGGAAGGAAAGTGCAGCGATTCTTCTTTGCTCTCGGCGCTGGTAGTGGGTCTCATAATGATCGAACAACAATGATTGATCTTTTCATGGGTCTTAAACGAGCCTTCAACTCCGGAGAGGAAGAATGGGAGGAGTGGAGGGCCAAAGCATTGGTTAGATGGGAGGAAGACGAATTATTACAAATTTTATTGCAGAGAAATACGTAGAGTGCGTGGCCTATGTCCTGTAACTATAGCCCTGAGCCCTTAGCCTCCTATCTAGAGAGACACCAATAAGCATATAATTCTAGGTCAGTTAGATTTTCCCCCCAATCTGAAATCGGTATTATGGCACGGGCAGATTTCCTAGCCGAAACAGCAAAGTCACTCATCAAAAGCAGGAGGGTGCATATCGCTAACATGATGGAAGCAATAAAAGTGATAGAGCGGTAACCAACTCAGCAATCAGATGAGTAATGCTTCGACGTTGAAATCTTATCATTGCTTATAGAGTGATTATAATGATAAGTCTGGGCAACTTTTACATATATTTGGCGAACTTGACTTAGTATAAATTTCGGATATTCACCCGAGAAAACAAGGCAGACGCAGGTAGTATACCTACCTCCTAGGTAAGTACAGGATATTCCGTCAACTAAGACAACTTAGGTATGCATACGACATGCTCTGTACGGAGAGAAAAGGGGCGAATGATTGTAAGGTACGTAATAACTCACATCTCTTAGTTAAGTGCCAGTAACATGGGCCATAATAGGGGGAGTTTTTTTTTTCCGAACTCGTGGAAATCGGCGGTGCTTTTTCATCGTCTTAGCAGTCAGCTTTTTTAGCCAGCGGAGCGGAAACGGTATCATCCCATACTACCTCACGTTAATCCTCGACTCTACATAGTATCGGCTACAAGACTCAGGACATCCAAGCCTTAGTCAATGCGATGGCGACACTTTGGAGCTTAATTCTAGGCGTCGGATTTGCCTTGGTGATAAATCGCTTTTTGACGTCGTACGCTCTTCCTCGTCTCTACTGCGGGATGTTTTGGATATGTTATGCGATCTGGACGGGTCTAGAGGCGACATACGAGGAGTCTGTAGACGCAGACGGCAATGGAGGGAATCAAAATGCTGCACGATGTGTTTTAGCCCTGGTACTAATTTTTAACTTCTTTTATAGTATTGGCTGAGGAACACTTCAAATAACGTGTCCTCTTGAAATAATGCCTTTCAACCTCCGAGCACGCGGCTTAGTCCTATATAATATCTTCTGTGTATTAGCACTAATCTTCAACCAATACGCGAACCTGGTCGGCGCCCAAGTTTTGGGTTGGAAGTTCTACATTATCTACAATGTCTGGATCTTTATTGAGTTGATTGGTGTCTTCTTCCTCTTTGTAGAAACAACGGGAAAGACGAATTTGGAAGATGTTGCAGCTATCTTGGATGGGGAAAACGTAGAACCTCCGTTGGAATTAACTAACAAGGGCAAAACTGAGAACGCAACCATAGCTGTAGCTAATACTCGCCAGAAATAGTGATACTAATGGCATCTTTTTGATTATTATCTGGGTTTATCTGGGATGTCTTCACCCTGGGGAACGACTAAGCTAGAGTAAGTGTTAAGGGCTTAGTCTCCGTCGCCGCGGCCGGCCGAGGGCCGTGCAGAGGTTAACATGGAACCCGGCCGTGGCTAGCTGGAGGATATGATGACACCTTGCGTGCGAAAGGACCTACCCTATGATAAGAAACATATCCTGAGGTACCTATACCATGAATCATCTCGAAGTAGTCGTCAATGGGCAATATCCTGGAGTAATTACCAATAGCATCATGTTCCGTCGGGGTGAGCTCTAATAGGTTTCGTATCGCTACGTATTGATAATGAACGGCCTCCGGAATAGCATATCCCTTAGACTACTAAACCAAGGGCGGCGTACAAGGTGGCGGCATATGCATGCGCCGGTGGTAGAATGTACCCCTTATACGGAGTTGCGTCGCTATCGGGTATTAGTGTTATTTAATGTTGGCGGAGTCGGGATGTCCTTTATCTATCTGGCCCTTACAGGGTAGGAACTTGGACATCGGCTTAAGGTCGATAACAATTTGGTACCGTATTGTGTGCATTTAAGATCCCGTTTATAAGAACATCACATGGGAAGGTCTCCTCCGGTCTAGCTGTCAGCTGGGTCATGCATAGTAAGTCCCGAGTCTTTCAAGCCTTTAAATCTCAAAGCTTTACATCGAAAATAGTGGTTTAGTAAGTTCTCGGCATAGTAGGTTAACTGGCCTTGGCTTATCTTTGCCGTTGATTGAACGTAACCATGGTACTGTACTGTGAGTGTGGGACATCAAAGGGTTAAAGCCAATCCCAATTACTCTTACATAGTCCACTCGAGCCACTCTAACCCCACGTAATTCAAAGAGACCTCCCTTGTTATGATTAGAACCGGTTAGTTATCGAATATTGTCCTTAAAAGAGACCCGTGCAGCAATACAAACCCTCGATATCTTCTTCGAGGGCGACTCCACGCGTAGATAGAAGATACCTAATTATGATTTTGCCTAAACTCAAATGTGCAAGCAAAGGAGGTAATACATGATTCTCTGAGAACAGAGCAGTCTAGCCCGCCGGTACCACAAACGACAATATCGCTATCGGGGTGCTCGGCCTTTACCTTCTTTGTCCGGTGGATTGGTGGTTTCGACTTCATCCGTCTTCCAACCTGGCCTCTCCACGCTCACTCAATCTCAGAATATGGAAATGGCTTCCTGGAGCGTACCCTTGAGAGAACAATATGCACCGATAATCTCCTCGCCCTTGAATCCGTCAAGGCCTGAGACATCGAAGCGACGCAGGCGGATATACTACACCCAAGTCGCTAGACGCGAGCAGAGTCCGACACAGATATTACTGCGCCGAAAGGCGAAAGTAGCGTGGAGGTTAATGTCTCCGAGGGACTATAGCATCACGAATCGCCCCCAAACGATACCCAATGGCACGAATTTCACGGCGACCAAGCCACAGGACAACTATTATCCCATCGGAACTGTTGCAGAGTACTATTTACGAACCGATTTGGAATGCCACGACTTTGGCCTGAATGTGGGCATGCGGAGGATGGATATGGAGAAGCAAGCATTTGCTACCGGCGACTACCAAGGCGGCTCGCTACCAGAAGCGTATCAGCTTTTGCACATGTTAACGACGTGGCGGTCAATAGCGACGATGGGGGTCTTGTGCATTGCTGGAGTTCTCTTGGCAATCCGCGTGGTCGGTATAACCCAGGCTTGGCGAACGTGACAGTCATATCTATTGCTCATAAGTACTCGTTTTGAGGACTCCTGTTTGTTTGCTGCTCGGATACTATCGTAATGAGGAACGAGGCCGGTTTATTTATCTCCCCCAACCAAATCCGGGTATCATTACCTATGAGTTCTTGATCTTATTATCATGAAATACCCTCTCGTCACCAGCTTCCACAAGATCTATTTGCTTTAATTCCGGTACCACGTCATTTTGGCTTTTCCGTATCGGGCGGTTTAGACTTCTCTTCCTGTTTTCTTTGCATCGCTGTCTCGACTTGCCAAATCGCCCGCTCAAGTTCAACTTCGAGCTCCGGTATTTCCAGCGCCTTTACGAGCTGACGCCCATTCTCTTGCGAAAGTAGCATTCGCTCCTCCACGGACTCTTTGGAATTACCGGCGGTTGATTTGCTCGCTTTATCTGTGTCTGCTATTTGTTCTTTCGAAGTAAGAGGGCCAGGGTGTAGTGGAGTGTAGATCGAACCGAGTACTGGCGATGGAGTTAAAGATAACAGATTCTTGTCGCAGAGGAACTGGATGTGTTTGCCGCCTGCGAGGGCTCGCCAATGCGACCAAGCTCGATACAATAGGTAAAAGAAAGGCAGGTTAGGGATCCTAATGGTATGTTGGTTAGAAGACTGCAAAGGTACGATGTGCCATTGAGACAGGATAATACACTTACACTGGCACAAGAGCAAACGGCGCACTTATGGGCATTCCAACGCAGCACCACATTAACCTAGTCCTATGTAACGCTTCCCGTTCTGTCCCAAGGGTTTGAAGGACGTTTACCGCTTTTGTTGTAGGTATTAGTGTTTCTGGGTAAATAAGATAGTTCTTGTCTTTTCCTAGCACTTCTTCTGCCCTACGTCTGGTAGATAGAGGAGGTACCGATTTAAGGCCCCATTCCTCGAAGGGGATTCTTTTCAAAAGGGAGTTGCCATAGAGCACAACTTTCTTCTGCCAACCGCTCTCTTTTTGCTCCCAGCCAGACCAAAGCTGTGCAGCACGAACCGCAGCCTTATCTACTAAGGTTTGCTTATTCGTCGGTAAGACTTGAACCTTCTGGCAATAGAGCAGAGTTCGCCGGGTTGAGATAGGGAGAAGAAAAAATCTCATTATAGCGGGCGAGGGGAGAAGGTTGTATTGCGACGGGCTTGCGACAGAAACGGATGAGGATGGTGGCGAAATAAACTATAATAAAGGGGTCGCAATGAAGCCTCGTTTACTTCATCTCTCTGTAGCCTTTGTGAAAATCATCGTGGTCACGTCAATGAGGTTTGCAAGCAGGCTGGCATTGACGCTGAAGGTATAGATTTTAATAGACCCTGGTCGAATTCGGAGCAAGTTTCTAGTGTTTTTAGGGTAGCTACTACATAGCATGTAGCAAATGAAGATTCTCTGGTGACGCATGTGGGCAGGGATAGGCTTTGTGGCTTGCATGATGTACGTAGGAGGTAGCCGATTAGGTACTTATAGTACAATACCTACACACATATAGGTACACTATAGACATTTTATAAAGCTAGATATAATAAGATATAATAAGATGTATGTAATTTATAATAGTGCGATGGTGTATCTTATAAGAGTTGCGTGAGATTCAATATTGAATATACAGTGATGTAAAATTTAGATGAAAAGGGAGAAAAGAATAATAGAATACTCCCTGTTGTATGTAAACTTCATGATCTAGGTAAAATATATGTACCTGTGGCTAGGACAATATAGCCCCACGGTATCTAATATTGTAAATCGTATGTACTCCACAGTGAGACGAAACCGATCCATCCTTGCGATTACATACATACCTAACACTTAGAGTTCAAAAGCTATGGCCCCATGGTCCATACCTACCTCATATGATACCTATTCTCTTGTACATCCCTGGAAAGTCTCCCCGGACAACGCGGTCCCTTGCTGTTGTACCCGGAGCTGACTTAATTTATTAAAAAGCTATCGCAACTTTTTGTCATTTGGCCTCTCCGCTGCTCCTTATCTCATCCGCACGCAAAAGACCGCGTTTGCCGTGTAACTATCTCATTTTTCCTTTTTTTTTCCCCTTCTTCCCGTGTTCGATGTATGTAACGACGAATTGACAATTGTCTGTTGTTTATGGAATGGTTTTTGGAACTATCTGTTTTAAGTTATACATCTTGCATACCAACCTCCTTACTTAGGTACTTTATCTACCTTCTAACCTACTCGCGTTAAACCGAAGCTTCCTTTGCTTTGTCCTCGCTCGTCTTATGGTGTTAGGTATGCGCTTTGCGCTTTGCTCCACTCCCGTCATTGGCGCCCATACATACCTTGTGTTGAAAGTTTGGTAAAAGCTAGCGCCTACAGAAACTCATACATATACCTATACATACACACGCCCGGCGCTATATCTATATCTTTGGAGCGATTCTTTTTCTACTCAACACGCTAATTAGGCACCCCACCTCTTTCGCGCCTTGACGACATAAGCTGCCTATGTATATGAGAGGATGACTAGCCATTTCGTCTGCCCATCCGACTATCGCCGCCCTACTTCGCCTTTATCATTAGATTCTTACATCCCTATGCCTCTACCACACCGAGCATTGCGATGACCCGAAATCCTTTGCGGACCACCGTGCCCGCTTGGGTGGAATTGTATGACGAGCACGTTCATGGGCCGAGAAAGGACGAACACATTAAACATCCTCCGCCGAGTGTCCGCCCGGAACAGAATAAAGGAAATCAATTAATTCGAAGGGTATCGAAGGATGGCTACGTTGACTGGGTCGAAGAAAAACACGATCATGTATCCAAACTCCCCGTATTTTTGAGGAAACGAGCCGACAGGCCAGGGCGACGATGGGATCATTTGCGCACGGCAGAGCCAGTTATTATGGGACTCGGCTATCGAGCACCTAATGAAGATCCTTACCAGAGATGGCGGGATTTTATCCGTTCGTCTTCCTACGGAAGAAATCCCAATGATGAGTACGAAGTGGTACCCTATGATGTCCTCGCACAACAGATGCCAGGCCTCGATAAGCCCGTACGAAGCCCGCTTCATCCATTGGATCCCAAGACCAAGAGAATATCTAGAAAGGATACATGGGGGATGAAGATCTCGGACTTTGTACTGCGGCATCCAATAGCGCCTCTTATATTCCGTCTAATCGTTTTAATCACTACCATCGCAGCTCTTGCTGTAGCAACAAATATCTTCCAAAAAGAGAAGAGCCCAGAAACCCCCAACGACAATCTCCCAGAGACTTCGCAAGCGATTGTAGCTATAGTCATTGACGCGATAGCTATTCCTTACATTTTATACATGATTTGGGACGAATATACAGGGAAACCTTTAGGACTTAGAGCACCAGCACAGAAGATATCGCTAACTCTCTTGGACCTCGTTTTTATCGTGTTGAAATCTGCTAGCACGGCACTGGCTTTCGAAGCGTTGGTGTATCATAGTGGGGATGGTCTATCGACAGTTCCTGAATGGGCAGCAATGGAGAGAATGTCTTTGCATCTGGCTAGGGGTCTTGCGGCGTTGACGCTGGTAGGGTTGATCGCCTGGATTCTGAATTTCACTATTAATGTTTTCAGACTGGCAGAGAAACTGGGCGGGATAGATAACGTACATGAAAAATGAGTTAGGTAAATAGCTTATAAAGATAGCGTATATGTAAGAAGATGAATATACCCAAAGATAACGTTAATAGTATTTACCTAGGAGCCCTACAGAACATTAGCGGAATGTGATCAGCTTTATTCGCAATGCTTCGCAATGCTTGACCTTAGGTAAGGAGGTAGGTACCTAGGTACACTTCAAGGTATAGACCTTTAAATGTAAATTGTCCTCGACCAAATGTTCAGGCGTCGTTCCTTATATTGATGCTACAGATGGCAGGCACGTAGAACACAATGAAAGTAATATCCTGCAAAACAGTAATATGTTATGTACCTCTAAGGTATTTATGTGCGCCATTATTTACCTTCTGTACTTAAAAGGACTTGAGGAAGGCTAAGGTAACGTGGAGGGGTAGGACCTATCTACGTACAATACCTACCCTAGGTAAAATCGAGGTGGGGGCGGAGACTGGCAAACCAGTCGGCGCTAAACGGTTTCTGGTCGATGCGGGTCGGTTGGCAGCCTTGGGGGACCGGGTCATTTGCGGTATCTGCCTTACCTTTACAATTAGTGATGCGGCAACCTGAAATCAACTCCATCTGTTAATTCTTACCCGTAGCAGCTGTGACATCGATTTTCAACTTCTTTTGATTTACGTTTCGATTCACCTTTTTTTAACCGTCAGTCTCTTTTAACACATTGTTTTATTTTTCAAAATCATTGCGTCGCTAATTGTCCACCGAACAGTGACCCTTCCTAGACTAAGGTCACGAGTCTGGAAGATTCACCATCTCAAAGACAATGTATGTGCATTGTTTGTCTTGGTGTTCCTCTGTTTCCCTAGCATCTACAACATATAAGACTTCAGACTCTTACACTGAACTCGCATCGCCATTCTCTATAGAAGATCTGCCTGCCTTTTACACAACTGATTACCCACATCACTTTAATTGTCTTGTCTATTGCTGACTGAGTTTTGACATTCGCCCTTCTAGAGATCCGACTCCGATCTTCGTACCCGAAAGCCATCTCCCTGTCTGTCCATAGTCCCCGTCTGGCACCCTCCTTGGGGGATATCTCTTCCGACATCTTACCACAATGTCCCTAGCTGCGTCACGACCTATGCCCTCGGCGCCGAACCGAGAGGACATCAGCCAGACATGGGAGTACCTTCAGAGTGGTATTTCCAAGATCATGATTAATCTGCAGGAAGGAATGGATATGACCACTGTAAGTCTTAGATACTGTTCGCATGGTTTTCTTTGCTAACATATTCATTAGTACATGGGCATTTATACGTGAGTCTTTCAGCCTTGTTATCTAAGTTATCTAATTGCAAGTGTACTAACGCGAAACAGGGCGGTTCATAACTTCTGTACATCACAAAAAGCTGTCGGGTTAGGCAGCTCCAACGCAGTAGGACAGGCTCACAGAGGAGGTAACGACAACCTATCTCAAAATCAACAATATCTTACTAATTTACACAAAGCGCATCTCCTTGGCGAGGACCTCTACAAGAAATTAAAGGAATACCTTAACAACCACCTCAATGGACTCTACGAACAATCAAAGGGACATGCTGACGAGGCCTTACTGGCATTCTATATCAGAGAATGGAACAGATATACGGTCGCCGCCAAGTACATCCACCACCTCTTTCGATATCTCAACCGACACTGGGTCAAGCGAGAGATGGACGAAGGAAAGAAGAATACGTACGACGTTTACACCCTACATCTATACCAATGGCGTACTGAATTCTTTACACTTGTTAATAAGAAGGTTATGGATGCGGTACTCATGCTGGTAGAGAAGCAGAGAAATGGCGAGACCATTGAGCATAGGCAGATCAAGCAAGTTGTCGATTCCTTCGTATCCCTCGGTCTTGATGAGCACGATGCGACCAAGTCGACTCTCGATACCTACAGATATCATTTCGAGAAGCCGTTCCTTGCAGCAACGGAGGAGTTTTACAAGGCTGAATCTAAGCAATTTGTCGCTGAGAACAGCGTCGTGGAATACATGAAGAAGGCTGAGACTAGACTAGCTGAAGAGGAAGAGCGTGTCCGCATGTACCTTCACAACGACATAGCGCTGCCGTTGAAGAAGACATGCAACAAGGCCTTGATCGCTGACCACTCCGCAATGCTGAGGGATGAATTCCAAGTTCTCCTCGACAATGACCGAGAGGAAGATATGGCCCGTATGTACAATCTTCTCTCCAGGATTCCGGATGGGCTAGAGCCACTACGGCAGAAGTTCGAGGCTCACGTCCGCAACGCTGGTCTTAACGCGGTTGCAAAGGTTGCTTCGGATGCCGAGAAACTTGAGCCCAAGGTCTACGTGGAAGCTTTACTTGAGACGCATACCCGATATCAAGGTTTGGTTAAGCGTGCATTTGCCGATGAGCCGGAATTCACAAGGTCTTTGGATAATGCCTGCAGAGAGTTCGTGAACCGCAATGAGATTTGCAAAGCAGGAAGCAGCAAGTCTCCCGAACTTCTCGCCAAGTATACCGATGTGTTGCTAAGAAAGAGTGGGGCTGGCGTGGAAGAGGCTGAACTCGATGCTACTCTAACGCAAATCATGACCGTTTTCAAGTACATTGAGGACAAGGATGTATTCCAGAAGTTCTACTCGAGAATGTTAGCCAGACGTCTGGTGCACAGCAATTCGTCATCGGATGACGCTGAAACGAGCATGATAAGTAAGCTCAAGGAAGCGTGCGGTTTCGAATATACAAACAAATTGCAGCGCATGTTCCAGGACATGCAAATCTCCAAGGATCTCAACACCGGATTCCGAGAGCATACCAAGGGCCTGCAATCAGAGAAGCAGCCACTTGACTCCTCATACTCGATCCTAGGAACCAGCTTTTGGCCTCTGACGCCCCCTAATACAACGTTCAATCCGCCAGCTGAGATTCAAACCGACATTGATCGGTTCACACTCTTCTACAAGAACAAACACGAAGGCCGTAAGCTAAGCTGGTTATGGCAACTCTGCAAAGGAGAGCTCAAGACTGGCTACTGCAGGCAATCAAAGACGCCCTATACTTTTCAAGTGAGCGTTTATCAGATGGCTATCCTTCTACAATTCAATTCAAAGGATGTCCATTCATACGATGATATCGCATCGGTTACTCAGCTGACTAACGAGGTTTTGGATCCTGCCCTCGGTATCCTTCTCAAGGCCAAAGTTCTTCTTATGAAGCCTGACGGCGAGAAGCCTGGCCCCGGAAAGATGTTCCACCTTAACTACGATTTCAAGAGCAAGAAGATCCGTGTTAACCTTAATGTTGGCACCAAGACGGAGCAGAAGCAGGAGGAGGCCGACACCAATAAGACGATTGAGGATGACCGTCAAATGGTTCTACAGGTAAGTATTTACATAACTTTTCCCCCGTACCCCTTTTAAATCCTCCGAGTTCTCCAGCGATAATACTACTATCTGGGTTGTCGATTTATAATGAAGGTGCTAATCAATATTATAGTCTGCTATTGTCCGAATAATGAAGGCACGAAAGAAGATGAAGCACAACCTACTAATTACCGAGTGTATTACTCAGATCCGGTCGCGCTTCGTGCCTAAAGTTGGTGACATCAAGAAGTGCATCGAGATCCTTCTTGACAAGGAATACCTGGAGCGTCTGGAAGATGATGATCTCGGTTATCTCGCTTAAGACAGACATGAACCCTTGGTCTGTAGCAGAATTGCATTATACTCAGGCATATTCCCCATATTCTTTCTCTTAGCATCCGCCGACGGCGGCGGCGGTCACATTCCTCATGACACATTGCGACGGTGGTGTAATAATGAAAGCCCGGAGGTTGGCTCTCCAAACGGACACTCGGAAGGCGCTTTTTATTTTTCGTCCTGGTTCTTGGTTGGCGGACTATCTAACGCGAGACGGTTTTCGGAACAATCAACTAGACTTTTATTACGCGTTTAACGAGGCCCCGAGTTACTACAGAATGCGACGACGAGCTGGGCGCTCCCCACAATACGTTTGACGGAGAGACCAGATTTGGCACGAGGAAACGAGAGTTGTGTCGTGTACAGAACGGGAACGCCCCGCTTATAGCACCGCGGTTGGCTAGCTACTCCTTGCTTGCCCCATCCTCCTCCTGTTTTCCTACATATACCTAGGCTTATGTAGCTAGGCCGAACCCGGGTCGTCGTGACGAGAGTTGGTGATGATACCTCGGGTGCCCCGAGCAGCCCCTGCTATACCATCTGGGTATGTGTCTAGGTGGAACCGCAAACCCCATAGATACGAATAAATACTCTACATCTACGTGCGTTAGTGTTTGTGTTGTGAAAATGATGTCTACTTTACTTCGGTATACTTGTTTGCTTTACTCCCTACAAATAGCCTTCCGGCGCCCAGGTAGTATTCAAGGTCAAATAAGTCTACGTATAATAAAATTGCGGTCGGATATTCTTCAAGTTTCAAGTCTACCTGAATAGGTACCTACATATACTTTTCCATGGCCATTAATTGGTTACATTCGTAATACTGTATTGAAATATATTGAACAAAAGTAAACGCTCTCGTAGTATCAATCTAACTAGTAACCATACATTCTTTGGTGTTTCCCCCACAGCATCCCCCCAAAAGACGTTAGAGGACCCGGACTTCCTGTAGACCGGACTCTTCAGAGGTTTGTATCAAAGAGTCGATGGAAATCCTCGATGCTGAATCGTTAGATGGCCGAGGTCGAGGTCGAGGTATAACAGCAACTGGATCCCCCGTGCTAGTGAAGACTATAATAGGCCGAAGCTTATGACGCCGTCGTGCCTGTATGTAACTTATCACCAGGTGATAAAGCAACACTCCGCTCATAATTCTAGAAAATGATAATGTATTAGTACATATAGGTAAATCTCTACAAGAGATGCCTTACAAGATAGGGGCCCATAGAAGAACGACTGGGATTTGAAAAAGGATACTAGGATCCGAGGAACCATCATAAAACCATTCGAGTGACCGATCATATTCTACTTTTATATCCAAAATAGAAAAGTACATCAAAACAACTATTCCAACCGGTATAGCCACCTCTATAAAGATGGATGTTTTGGACACTATGATGCAAGGGCTGTCGCTCTTTAGATAAAACTTTTCCGACAAGTCCCATAGTATGAGAATGCCAGCCTAATCTTCGTTAACATGGATTTTCCTTTAATGTAAGAAACAATGGTGGATAAGGAACCTACGACGGAAATATCGGCTATGAAATCATCGGTAATATTATCATATAATAGGTTAAGGATTAATTGAGCAAAGTCGAAGAGGAGTCGGGTTCCATCGAACAAAAGACGAATAGTCCGAATAGAGCTCCATTTAGGCGCCGGGAAGGATTGTACGTCGCCAAAATCCTGGGCTTCCGTACTCTCTCTTACTCTTTCAAAAACTCCAAACCCGGCATGCTGGCCTTCGGGTGTCCAAGTTTCGCATCCATTATAGTCTTGTTGCCCTGGCGAGCAGAGTATATCTGCATTACTAAAGCCTAGCCTCATGTTCCCACGAGAGAGCGATAGGTAAATTTGATAGATCGTGCTATCGTATGAAAAAGATTGGGAAAAAATGAATGTTTCGTAATGAAGTTGCGCACCTTTACGCCTGTTTTAATTAGGTAATGGCCTTGGCTGGGGGTTATCTATCAGCTAAAGACCTTTTATATATGTCGCCCTCAAACAGGATTGTTGTAGTACAAGTCGCCCCTTGTCCTAGGTAACTTATATGCTGTATCTAGGTGGCTAGACAAGCCACCAGTTTATCGGAAACGTCGATATCTTAATTTAGTGGCCAAGGATACGCGGCAAGGCAGATTGATTACAATATCATGCCGAGGTGATACACTCACTATCCTAGGGGAAATATATCTTGTTGCTCTGCCTTCGCCTTCGGCCTCCTTAACACCAGTTCTATGTTTCAATTAACCTTTTTATTACTTACAACTTCGAAACACTGCAATAAGCATGGCACTACCTAAAAAATCCAGTCAGGATGCTTGGCGACGAACCGGTTTTGTCAATATCGCTTTGGCATCAACTTGTGGAATTTCGCTCCTAGTATGTCTTATCATAAGCCTCAAGCGGCCAGGGTCCTCGTTGAATACGTCTACCATTATATTCGAGGGATCGTGTAACGACTCTTCCAACATCAATATTGCGTTGCACCTGGTTCTTAATCTACTCTCAACTGGTATTTTAGCATCGTCGAACTACTTTATGCAAATCGTCAGTTCTCCATCACGGGACGAAATCGACAAAGCGCACATGTTTCTCTTTTCCCTGGATATCGGAATACCATCTAATAAGAATATTCAATTCATATCTCGTTTCAAAAAAACCTGCTGGGTTGTTTTACTGTTGTCATCCCTCCCAATACACCTCTTTTTCAATGGTACTATCTTTGAAACGAGATATCAAGGCTCAGATTGGTATTCAACTGTTGCAACCGAGGCCTTTACTCGAGGCGAACATTACTTTCCTCCTGGAGCAAGCCTGGAATTCATCATGCCCCCTAGATACAATCGCCAACCTGATATTAAACCTGACGAAATTGTGTCACCAGAAGCTCTACAAGAAATCAAAAAGGCAGCAACAGACGGTAGCAGCTGGAAACCCATGGATCCTCCCACTTGTTACGCCGAGTATACGACTTGCAAACCAAGGAATCAATACCGCGATGTGGTGATGGTTGTCGACAGCGGTACCAACAACACAAAGGGTTGGACTCGAGGAGAGGCCTTCAAGTTTCCTCTGAATACATCTCTTTGGTGGGACAAATACGTCCCTCGGAATGAAACCAATTCTCTGTGGCACACTTCCCAGTGCGCATTGATAGAACAGGCAGAACCGGAAGATCGAAGTTGCCATACTAGGTGTGATTATTCCATAATCCCCCCTTTAACACAATTCAATCTATACAATGTCAATAAAACCTCACCGTCACATTGGACAGTTTTTCCCTCCTATCAGGAACGAGACCCCGCGTACCGCGTTAACGACAAGCTTATTTTCATGACTATTAAATATTGTCTTGCTGAACCCTATTCAAGGGTCTGTAAGGTTGGTATATCTAACGCATTGCTACTACTTGTCATTATTTGCACATTCATCAAAAGTGTTCAGTGCGGCATCATCGTCTGGAAATTGCCACACTACTCGCTCGTTACTCCAGGAGATGCTATAGCATCCTTTATCACTAACCCTGACCCCTATACCATCGGGCTTGGGACCCTAGATATCCTTGACAGCTCTAGACTCGAGTCTAAGCAACGTCAGTTCTGGTCTCCATATGACGAACATATGCTAGTGCCAACGACAAAGCCTCGACAGTGGGTGGCTGTAAAGCGGCGTTATTTATCCATCATACCTCGGACCGTGCGATTTCGCACATATGTGCTCTTAATATTTTCAATAATAATACTTTGCGTGGGTTTAGGGTTCTCTTACCAAAGTAACGATCATACATTGTGAGTTACCCTGCGGCCAAAAACATCCCCGACTCGGCGTTAACTATATGTAGTGGAGGTCCCTTTGGTCATTCAGACGAAGTTCGAGTGACTAATATTATGAGAGATTCCGGGTTTATGAGCACACTTATTGTTGCTAACACGCCTCAGCTCCTACTATCAGCGTGTTATTTCTCTTACAACGCGTTCTTTACCCGACTCCTGGTCGAACAGGAATGGAACTCGTATAGCCTACGATATCAGCCCCTTCGAGTTTCTTATCCCAAGGGCGGGCAGATCTCAAGCTATAGACTACAGCTGCCGTACAAGTATAGCATACCACTCATAATCATAAGTGTAGTATGTCACTGGCTTCTGTCAGATGCGTTCTTTTTCTTTGGTATCGAAGGCGGTACGTACCTTCTAACATATGGTGTAAAGTGAATTAGAAAATACTAAGGAAGCTGTAGACTTTTCGAGCAGAAGCCCTAATCCTAGTACCCAAGCGTATTTTCATCTCTCCGAAACCTCTTTGGTCTCCTTGGGCTACTCAACCCCTGCTATACTGGCATTACTTGTCATTGGCTGTGCCATAGTACCCTTACCACTGCTTTTCAGCCTGCGGAGACCCAAAGGGAAGATGGTGGCAGGGGGCTCGAACTCGTTGGTTATGTCAGCGGCTTGTCACTGTTTCATATCATCCCCGACTGAAGTACAAAGTCAAGCATGTTCACCCTCAAACGACGAAGGCAAGTTAAACGTATGTTAATATAGTGATGGTAGCTATGACTAATGAGTTTAGTGGTCGTGAACGCCCAAGACCCTGAAGATGATACTACGAGGTTAGCAACAGATGATTTCGATGGCCGAGAAGAAGAGATGTTGCGGGAATTGTCTCAATCGAAATTGAAATGGGGTGCCACATCTCTACCAAGCGACGTTGCCGAAGCTATGAGCGAGGAGAGTGGAAATATGGTAATGCACCTTGGCTTCGGGGGTGAATCGTCTAAGGTTAGATGTCCTGAAGAAGGGGAATGGTATGTGTAATTTATCTACCATTCGGGCCTGAATGCATCAAGACACGGCATATCTATATAAGGTATATAATGCAAGGTGCAAATAGACAAACGAGAGTATCGAGCTGATTTAGTAGGTGTGAACTAGGTACCTGTATATGATTAATAGTTAGATTTCGAAGTGAAAGGTCTAGTCGCCTTGGCCTACTATTGGGTCATACTTCGGAATGCCGATCATGCGGTACCCTAAGACAGGAGGCAACAGCTCGGAAATCATAGCGCCCGGCTAGGAATAGTTCTTGGCGTGGGGATGGCCTGTCAGTCATCCGAATCATGCTTTCTACCATTGAATTGGTATAATATGAAACAATTATCAAGAGATCCTGCAAGATTAGCTCATTCTAAGAACCTTCCCCGGATAGCATCATCCGAAGTCTGCGTTTCTATGTGTGCATATAGCATGGTCTGAAAATACTGGCAATATCTGTCTTCCGAGTAGATCAGGAGGCTTGGCGTCCTTATCTTGAGATCACGGTGGTGCTCTCACCCTTCATTGATTAAGTAGCAACTGATGTTAACTGACTTGGGATGATAGAATATTTGCTGCCAAGCTAAATGAAGTTTCGTTCATGGCATCAAAGCTAAGTTTCTATAAGCCTTCTCATAAGAAGACGCAGGGGAGTCTTAAGAGTAGGTATACGTAGGAGCGATTGGTATTTGAGAGTGAAGATATAATCCACGCACCCCCCAACCCAGAGGAAATTTACTATCTCATCGCCCAAGAAAAATAATAAACATTACACTTCTTGATACCATATATTTTAGAGGTATAGTATTTACGGATCATGAACCCTTTGGCCCGTAACTGACGAATAGTAGCTGCGCTCTCTTTCGATTCTCTTCTATCTTTAACTCCGTTTGAAAGTACGTTCTATAGCTCTACCTATAGTACCAGAACATCTGCTGACATAAAAAATTATAGCGGTATATTTATTGTAATACTTGTACGTGCCTAACGATAAGATGAAGTTTACGACCGGCCCCCTTTTCACCACGTTGGCATTTATTGCCTACTTGCCCGGCATCCTTGCCGTAGCAAGACCCACCGCAAATCAGGGTTCAGTTGCCGTGCTGAGTTATGGGCTGGCAAATAATGGTACCGCCGTTGGAAACGGCGCCGAAGTGGTTAATCCTAACCAAGGCGAAGACAACAAGGATGACGCCGGGAATGATGCCGAAGATAATGACGACGAGAACAATAATGAGAACGAGGAAGAGGACACTAATGATCAGCAAAATGACGACGAAGAGAACAAAAATCAGGATAACGAAAAAGACAACCAGAATAATGATCAGGACCTTGAGGAGAATGATATCAAGGGCAACCTTCAGCAGAATATCGGAAATCTCATGCTCTCGCTGGGAGTCTGCAACTTTGACATCGGTAGCATTAGCGGCATCGGTGTCGGGAGCCAGATCCAGCTTCTTCTGCAACTCCAGCAACTTGCACAGCTTCAACAACTTGGACTCGTCAATTCATTCTCCATTGAGCAGCTCATTCGACAGGAAATTCTCCTTAACAACTTTAACCTTAGTAAGCTCTTCCTCATAAAGTTGACTTGTTTGAAAACGATTTACTAATGACGTCTAGAAATTATCAAACGTACTGTTAGTGCATCCGTCAAACAGGCTAGCCGTGAGAACAAGCGTGCTATTGTGGCTAGAAAGCAGTGTCAGAACAAGAACAATGATAACTAAGAGCATATGACTGGAAGAAAAGGCTCAATCGTTCTAAGTCCGAGGCCAAACTATGTCCGGCTATGGTCAGAGTCATGAGACTATATAGAATTGTAAATTGGAATCTACTGAACGATCAATTTTATCCGTACCCCTACCTAAAGGCGTTTTGCAACTATGTATGATGAGTGGCTTGAGAGGAAAATATTAATTAGTTAAGACATATAGTCGCAGTGGCCTTTTTCTGTTCGTCAGTTATCTATCAGATGGTCTAGAATGGGCTTTTGGGCGGACTACCCGTGGTTAACCCTGAATAAACTACCTAAGGAAACACAACTAGGGATTTTCTACCTATACATAAGTCCAGCTACCCTCGGAGGAAACGTTCCATTCCATATACGTACTCCATTTAATATGTTTTTGAGTATCCTCGAAATCGAATATGGAGCTATCCGCCTCAATGGGACTTGATATAATAGCACGAAAACCCAAGGGTAAGGCAAGTCAAAGAAACAAGTTTGTTTAGGCTCAATATCATCAGATGAACACACATGTTGTGCCCGAAACACTACCATGTGTTCCGTACCAAGTTCGGATATGTCAAGTCCCAGTGTAGCTGTGACCCAGGTGTATAGTTACATGACATATGTAAGTATACATTCATGCCTTAGGTCTGTGTGTCGTATCTGTAACACATCCGATATCCAGGAACGGGATCTCGGGGTAGCGTCGAGACCCTAGAATGATAGATGGACAGACTTGGTCTAGGCTCCCTTAGTGCCGTGCTGGGAGATCCCTTGGAAGTGACAGAGACCCCTGTGGATCTGGGGTCCAGTGGACACTTCAAGACGTCAAAATGGGTGACATGACTCTATGGTTGGCTGATAACCCTGTCACTACATAGGATGACCCTGATCATGATGAGATTTTCACCTATCAATACACCATCCGGAAGAGTGAATAGCAGGTCCGAGAAGTACATACCTTCTTGAGAACCCGAACCCAGGTCTGCGTTGCCGGCTAGTCGGCACTTCCAAAGTGAAAGCAGACCCTGCATTTAACCCCTGTCCTAGTTAAGACTTTGCCAAGAACTTGACAGCGCTTGGGCGATGGCAGTCTTTCAACTTCAACTCATCCGCTAGTTATACAAACCACGTCGAATTTTTGCACACACGAAAATAAACTGGGAGTGATAACTCTAAGCAAACTTCTTTCTCTACCGTATTATTAAAATACTATACTAACCGTGATATGCTTTTTTGATAGCAAGAATTGCGGGAAGCAATATCTCCAACCCCTGACGACGATCAAGCGAGTTGTTAAACTAGCTTAATGTAACGGCGTCAAAGAGACACCAGTTCATGCGGGGAAATCCTGTAGTAAGAAAAGTACACCTCATGGTATAGTACATGAAAGACGATTAGCATAGTCAGATCTTGTTCCAGCTAAGATCAATTAGACTACTATTACCCTTGAGATATACCTCTGATCTACGCTTTGGCTTCCGGCCAAAAGCCTTCCGTGAATGATCAATGACACCTACAGCTCCCCCGTTAGACAGCCTCCTTTTTCGTAGAGGCTATCACGTAATGAGCGACAGGGACTGCCGGCTATCGAAGTTTGCGTCCATGCGAGGATACAGTCACTGAGGTATCATGGCTATTTCTGCCAAGACATTCCCACGAGCTGTTGAATGTCTCCGTTCCGGATATGTTCCCTCGGCTCGGCTTGTTTTACTACTCGCACATCCGCCTAACGCTTTCTACATCTTGACACGCACCGGAACCCTCCTTCGACGGCATTCCGAATTATTATTGTCCCCTCAAAAGCTTGGCGTTGTTTCTAGCCCTCATGCCATCCGATCAACAATGACATGCCACTTGATATATAAGATGATGTTCATCTCATTCAGATCTATTTCTTTTTTCCAGCCATCCACTCACCAATCTTCATACCTCTTGATCCATTCTCTCATTCATTCTTTCAGAGGTAAGTCTTGAGTATTCCTCTAGGTATTAACCGGTTCGACAACTTTAACTAACATTCGATAGCTGTGCTCGTTCGCTTCATTCTTTACATACACTCATTAGAACTTTCGAGGTAAGCCAGATAATATTCAGTGATCTTAACTGGACCCTTCTACTAGTAATAAGGCTAACTAATACACACAGCTGTGCTCATATTAACTAATATTTTAATCTCTCTACACTCACTATACCTATCCAATATGAAGGCCACCACTATCCTTGCCAGCGCTCTCGCCGCTGTTGCTACCGCCGCTCCTACTGCTATTACTACCCCTGAGAAGCGAGCTGTTGTCGACCTTGGTGCCTTCAATAACTTCAACTTTGCCAACCAGGATCTCCAATACCTGCTCGCCCTTAACAAATTCGACTTGCAGTCGTTTGCTCAGTTGGCTGCCTTCAACAAACTGAACATTGGTGACTTCCAGGGGCTATTCGTCAACAACAACTTTGATATCAACTCGCTTCTCCAGCTGCAACAGATTGCTCTCCTGTCTCAGCTTGGCGGCCTCGGTCTCTTCGGCAACTTCGATCTTAGCTCTCTCCAACTCAATGTTTTCAACCTTGGTCTCATCGGCGGTATTGGCGGCTTTGATATCTCTTCCCTCGTCGACCAGTCCCTTGTTCCTCAAATCCAGGCTATCATCCAGCAGACAGGTGAGTAACTTGAAAATAATTTGATGATTCATGTGGTGCTAACTACTATTATGAAGAAATAACCGCTGTTGTCATCAATTAATAGATACGCCGCCAGACCCTGGTGAATATACCCCATGGCGTTGCTATAATTAATAGAGGATCTGTATTATGAAGCTTAGGATATATAGGGCGGGATAAGTAAGAAAGGAGACGAGGGGGTAATACCTTGGGATGGCTTCATTTTATGTCAATTACCGTTGCTTCTCACCAACTCGATAATATCATGGATCACTGGGGTTTGGCCTTCATTGTTTAGGTACCTGCAGCTTTAGGGTAGGTATGCTGCACGAAAAGATGGTTGGAGAATGAGAATGGGATTTATTAGGATTTTGAAAGATGATTCTCATCAAGTTCACCTCAATGATAGTTCATCTGCAATGAACCAGTGTGAACTTTTTCAGTGATGTTAATGAGGTCTTTCTCGGCACTATAAGAGTTTAAGATAATTCTCACGGTTCTAATATTAAATAATGTTTTATCGGACATAAATAAACAATTTTACATCATCAACCTGGTTGACCTGTCTATAAACCACACAGTCTCAGAGAATTTTATTAATAAGAATATCCACCTAGGTAGTCTTCAAGCTCTAGATGGAATCGATAGTGGACTTGGTGGCCAGTTCAGTCACGGAAACAAAAGGAAGCTTAAATTCTTAACAGTCATTTAGGATAGGGGCATATTACTTAGTCCGTTCATCTGCAACCAGTAGTGGTCTTAGCTTAGCTGGATATATAGTATTGAGTGCCTGAGAATAGATGGAAATACAGTTCAGTTCCACCTCTCATTTTATTTCTATCCCTTAAAAGACTGGAAAGAGTCTTTATAGCTGACAAGCGAGCAACTTCGCTCACGTCAACAACCATCAAAGTTAAGGTATCTACGATGAATGTTTCTACTCTACTTACAATATTTTCATCGCTGGGTTGATTCTTTTATATTAATTGGCTAAGCGTGAGTGAAAATGATTGCCAGAAACGCGGTGACGCCAGGTAGCTAAGCTGGCTGTATATCCAGCGGCTCATCCTTCATACGTTTGGCCGTTTGCTACTAACAAAAAAAAAAATAGTAAGGGGTTCAAGGACACGAGGTTAGTCGATAGATGCCTTCCTGAATGAAGATACCGCTCGGTAAATAAGGGTAGTTCTCATGACAGTAATTGTCTCATCTCAGGGGTACGGCAGATGTCAACCCCGATATCGTGTCACTATGGCGGCGTTCCATAAGTGTGATATTCTTGGTGCATATACGTATATCCATGTTAAAATGAAGACGGCGAACAGGAAAAATAAGTATAAATTGGTAAACACGGCTATCAAGCCACTGCCGTGCGAGAACCAATCACGTGTTTACATTGTCTCGATGCCGGATGTCGCAGCGATCTTCGCTCATATGCACGTCTGTTGAAGTACCGGCATCTTATCTATAGGTACCTATACCTTGTTGCATACAGCCTTATCGACTATTCTCGAGATTTTCATATATGTTTATCTATCCAGTTGAGTCGTTATGCTTGAATATATTTCGCTTGGAGGTTGTTAAGGACTTCGGGCGGCGTTGATGAGGCCGCCGGCCGTGCGGTCTAAGGCTGAACTTCTAACCCACCAGAAGGTCAATAATCGGGATAGTATATTGCATATTAAAAATGTGGGAGGCCGAACGATGTTTCAAAATGTAGCGAGTTCGTATGTCCGGTCTCACTTAAAGCCTGCTTGATGTAGGTATCGCTATATATTCCCTCGCTCGTCATGGAGTGGCTTGGTACGACGTTAGGTCTAGTGTCGGGCCAGCCTCGTGGTTTAATTAATTAAAATAAAGCCCTTATAACGTTCCCGTAGCACTCAAGCTATTGATGAAAAAAGAGGCGGTCTCGTCGGGGCCGATTTCTTACCATGGCTGCATTGTTTATCACTATGCCTAATGGGCCTGCCATTTCTCTAGATGCCCAACGCACGCTATCGATTTAGCTGCGCCGTCAGCACTTAGACCGAAGCCCTGATTCGGTGCTCGGCGCCCAGTAGAAACTCTCATCCGGAGTAATCAAAGCGGGCGAACGTCATGAAAACAAGAAAAAAAAAACTGCCTTTCACGAACATCGTTCTGCATGTTTGTGCATACATTAGGTACATAGCATGGCATAGCATGGCATCTAAAAGGTGGAAACTGTTAGCCATTCTTGGCTTTTATTTGGATGTGGGGGCTATTGGCCCTAAAGGAAGCCAGATGGTCGACGTCAAGAGGAAACGATCTACAGTGCTAAAGAAGAAACCAATCTGAAATGTCATAAGAGTATCTTGTTATTGCTGCATCCTAACCGCCCTAAAAGGATCCTACCCTCCCTGAACGCGAGGGAAGAGACCATCGCAACATCTAAACCGTAGACGGTTATTGATTATCGACGGATTAGATAATAACTCCTTTTCTTACGGATGCTGCGGTGCGAGGTCTCAGCCACGGTGTGCACGCGTTTAGCTCTCTAAGTCGGCTAGGGAATGCCGTCCGCTTGCATAAAGAGCGCAAAATCTAACCTCCCAGGCCTGCCCATTAGGTTAAAAGAGTCATGTGTGGTTTACTAGGGCCATACTCAAAAAGTGTAGACTTGGACTTGAAGACCAATTTATATATTGACGTAAGTTCTCGGTCCTCGATACGCACGATCCAGTGCGAGTCTCGGCATCAATCCCGGCCTTCGCCGCCCCACGTCCGGGAGAAACAATAGGAGAATTGTTTTACCAGACTTGCTGACTTGCCATACCCAGCATGCCGTAAGCAATGCTCGTGCCAGCAGTTCCCCCATCCTTCGGGGCGACTATGGGCTATGGGCTATACATATTCTTTCGATTTCTCATGTGGAGCCCCGTGTAAGACGTGTCACTAGAACGAGCTGATTCGAGCATCCTCCACCATCGGGGCAGTGCAGCTTCTGTTCCCTCGTAATTGGCTATATGTACGCCCTATCAATGAATCCTTTCAATACAAATGTTAAGCTAGTATGAAGTAAACCTCGTGAAGGTGCTGCAACGAGCTGCGGTTCTTGGGGCTTTTAGTGGCTGGAACAAACACCCCTTGGCAAAGTCCTTCGGCGCTCGGATGTCCAAGATAGACCGCTATCCTTTCTTCCCACTTAGCTAGCCAACTACCCTCTTCACATTCTCTTTCGTTTGTAATAGGCTAGTCTTTAGCTTTATGAATCTAGTCGTGTTATAGTCTTCATCTACCTTGTGGTCAGTTTTAGGTTGCAGACATCGATTTTGACGTGCACCGTCCCGTCACTCGCTATGCGTTTCCCTTACATGTTACTGGCGCTCGTAGCCAGCGTCACCGCGGACAATACAGCGCAAACAAAATGGTCTGATGAAAGGGAGCTGGCACTTAAATCAAGAAGACCCCTTGAAATTACCCAGGCACTTGCGGCAAGGCTAGCTTCAGTCGACATAAATCATAAAGGAGTAGTTGTCTCTAGGGATCCAGGATGTGATCCTGATAGCGACGACCCCGATCTTCCCTTCTGTGACAAGCTTCTCGAACATATAAAGGAGCAACAGGAGAAAGAGGAGAATGAGGAAAAAGGGAAGGGGCCCGGTGACGATGACGATGACAATGACGAGAACCGTCACAGCAGTGGGATGATAGCAGGAGCTGTAATAGGCGCTTTCATTGCACTCTTATTTCTTCTGGCCGTGTGGTACTTCCTCCGTATCCGACCTAGGAGGAGACAGCGTATACTAGAGCAGCGCAGGAAGCAGGATGAGCTCGAGAGCAACTATCAATTCTCTCCCCCGGGCGCACATTTGCCAACTCCGCCAACCCGATCCATGCCCGGAAGCCAGGATCCGTCTGAGCATAATGTCAGGTTCCAACGTACACCATATCCGGGAAATGCCCCATCTCCGTCAATGACAAATTCGTCTATGTCTGGTTTGGCTTTGCCAACTCCGGCACTTACATATTCTCCATCGGTCACATCCAGCGCCGTATCTCCATTGTCCCCAGTACCGGCACACGGATTAAGCGATAAGCCTCCCGCATACGCAGCGGTAGCAGCCCTCCAGTCTTCCGAGCCGCAACCCGAAGCGAGCGCATACCAGATGGGCCAAACTCCCATGCCGTTAGAACCGCCCATGTACCATCTAACTGAAGCACCGAGGCCCGCTATTATGGATATAAAAGGGGAACCTCTTCCCCGATACTGAGAAGAATAATTGTATGATGGGAGAATGTGAAGCGTCGAGGCGAGGTTATCTGTCATTTCCGCAGGCAAGGTGTTCTAGTTCTGAAATTTCACTGTGGATATCCCCTAATATTCAGAAGTTCCACTGTCTTTACTACTATGTACTCGTATTAGGAAAGGATATGGGCATTGCTCAGGAGCGAGTGGCACAGAAGAATCGATACTTATTTTTTGGGTTTTTCTATATCTGTAGAAAGGAGAGAGAAAAAGCGATAGTTCTGATTCTCCTTATAAAAAATGCCTGTAAAATAAATAAATAAATCCCCTGAAGAAAAAAACATAATAATAATAGCGATGGATAATGTCGTTCCGCAACTCCTGATTGATTGATCCTAGACCTGACCCGAGTGCAGTTACAAAAGCGTCCTGAGACTTTCAATACCATACCCAGTAATATTAATGCAGAGCCCACTCGAATTAACTCGTGTAAATAATGCTGCTGCTGCTGCATGAACGTATTGATGTAGATGGTGATACAACTTGCCACAAAAAAGGAGATCCGTAGAAAATCCTAGCAAACCATATTATCATTCCATGCATCTTCATGAACAAATCGTCAAAACACACATGTGCCCTAGTACGGGAAAACGTTCCTCTCAATAAATCATCCATCGCCCTAACATCGTTATCATGATCGAATCTCTACGTAGCGAGTGCGTGCGGGTCCTGCTCGACGTGCTCGACCCATTCGTATACGCGGTGCATGCCGCGTCCCGGCCCGGTGAGGCCGGCGAGAACGGAGTCCTTGGGCGATGTCGACGCGGCTCGCTGGCGGTGCCGCACCCGAGGTCCGGGCTCGTATAGAGCCGAGTCGTCCATGTAGCCGCGCGTCGCGGCTCGTCTGGGGAGCATCCGTTCGGGAACCCGACTGGCCCGTGGAATCTCGTATAAGTCTTCGTCATCCACGGTGTGTCTACGCATCATTGGAGGTGTCGTTAAGGGGGCTTGGGGCGGTAGTGGCGGTGGGCCCATAGCTCGGGGAGGGGCCGGGGGAGGCGGTATGGCCTGTCCGAAGCCTTGGGGAGCCGGGCTGGGGTTTTGACGCTGTTCGAACCGGTCGGCGAGACGGCGTTCCATCGAGCTGGCACGAAGGCCGCGTGCCCTGTTCACTCCGGTGACATAGTCTGCAACCGAACCCGCTGTCCTTTCGAACGGTCCTACTGGTGGCGGCGCAGGTGCTGGCGGCGCGACTACGGTCTGTGCTCGACGTCTATAGGGGTTATTCATGTTGAAGTGCGCCGTGTTGGTGGCGGTGTTGTTGCCGAGGCCCATAATGTCATCGGCAGGATCCATATATTCATCTTCACTGTCCTCAAACTGAAGTCGCCGCGCCAATTCTTCATCTCGCTGTTCTTGAAGACGCCTGCGCATAAGCTCGTCATCGTAGGGACTTGGTCGAGTTCGCAGTCCATTGCCAGGAGAGCGTCTAGCATCAAAAGGCTGAGCAAAGCCCTGAGCAGGTGGAGCGTTTCTGAGGCCTAACCTCTCGCGGTCTATCATCGGTTCCGGAATTTGCATGTGGTCGAGCCCGTCGGCGTCGGCTCCATCATAGTTGAACCACGGGCATTCGCACGTCTTCCATTTCAGCCCACAGATCATGCAAAATTCGGCACCGCAACGACTAAGTTCCTCGTTAGACCCCCCGACAAAGTCCTAGTCATAAAGAAAGATGTCTTACCATGTCATGTGATTACAGCCTTCTTTTAACTCTACCATATTTCTGCAGTTGAAGCAACGCTGCCATCCCTCTTCCTTAGCCTGCTGTAGAATCTGGTTCGTCTCTTCGTCAGCAGGGCACGGGCCGGAGCCGTGCCATTTGTTGTTGCAGTCGCAGCATACGCGAGTATGACAGCTACCGCATCTACCTACCTTGCGGCCATTACGGTGTTGCTGGATCTGGTCAGGTCTAATCCACCGGCCGCATCTCTTACCCGGACAGTATACACGGTTGCGAGTAGAAAATTCGTGGAACTTCCGGTTCCAGGTCTTCTTGAATTCGATGTCGAACAGGTTATCGACATGTTTTAGCGGGATGCAATCCGACGTGCAACATTTTGGAGGCATCTGAGCCGGATCTTTGACGGAGAGCTTGAAGCTGCGCTTTAGGCATGACTTGCACATCCGATGCCCGCACTTGAGCTTGGCCGTCTTCGAAGACGGTAGGTCGTCGAGGCACACAACACACTCCACTCTGTTTCAAGACGATTAGTTAGGCTTGCATCGTTCGTTTACCGGCGAGTTATTGCTAGATTTGCTTTGAAACTTACATCTTGGAGTGCTTCTCGGGCGGCGACTGGAGTCCTGAATCCACAAACCTATTCAGAAAAGCAGGAGAAGATATTGAGGAGGAACTCATACTCTGGGACGCTACATGTGAACTGGGAGCAGTATGCGCCCGTGGAAGAGAGGGCTTCGCAGGGTATCCCGCATCAGACTCGTAATACCTCCTCCGATGAGGTCTAATGGGGTCGTTAGAATTATCTCCCAACCATTAAATGATTTGTATTGCTTACCGTCTTGATGAACTAGCCTCTGGTTCATCGTAATGATCTCGATGACGAGGACGAATCCGGGACGTGCTTCGTGACTCGATGTGTCCTGATCGCGGCACGGATTTGGACCTTTCTCGCAAACGACGGAGCGTAGTTTCGTATTCGGGTTCTTCGTCGCTGTCTTCTTCATAGGCAGGTCTTTCTCGATGTTTTGATCGTTGTCGTCGGCGGGAGACCCGGTCGACCGGGGGTGGAGGCGGGGTTACTGGGACTTGGACTGGTCTTTTGCGGGCTCGGCGCTTAAGCCTTTCATCCTCTGTAGAATCCGATGACTCAGTGTCAACACTCGAACTTCTCGATGAAGACGGCGATGGAATCCTCGAGGTAGGCCTAGATCGATACAAGGGGGTAGATCTCGGGGGTGTCGAAAGTTCATAGGTCTCATCGTCTCCGCTGCTACTGGTCACGCTCCTGGTCATGCTCCTAGTCCTGTGTCTCGATTGCGTCCTGGGTCTGGATCTAGACCTAAGCCTCGAAATCATCTTGGCCTGTTCGTCATCGTCATCGCCATCCTCTACTTCGAGATACACTGCCCGACCTTTCCCGTTCCGAGATCCGACGGTGGCCGACCGGGGACGGGTCAGTTGCTGCTGTGGATGAGGCATTGGGTCGGTAGCATCTGAGTCGTCGTCTTCGGACAGCGGTGCACCTTGTTGAGAATAAATTTTTAAATTTCTACCGGCAAACCTGTGTATTTCAGGTCCTCGGGGTCGGTAAGGCAGCGAATGGGGGTTGGGATCATGTCGTGAGTCCCAATCATGGTGGCGAGATGGGGAGGGACTGCGTGTCTGGTGTCGACGTCTGGCCCGCTGCTTGGCTGCGACATGCTGTGATTGTGCCATTCGTCCGTTGTATCAGCCCCGTACCTACGGATTCGTAGAGGAGACCGTCTTTGCTCTACTCCTTCGGTTGGTTGAGGAATCCTGCCGGTATCGTGGGAAATGAACAGCTGGTTACTCCTGAATGGCTAGTTGCATGCACTTAATTCAGTGCTGATTGGGCTGTATGGTTGCAGTCTGCATTAGGAGTGGGATGTGCAGTATCGGGCGAAAACATCCCCAATAGACGTCAAAGTCGTAGGACAATGATGTGTGATGGCACCTAATTACGATTTAATCGTCTACGGGATCATACACGATAACTGGATCGCGCTGTCGTGGGGAGAGATACGAGAGGTGAGGTATGGAAAAGCTGTGGAGGTGAGACAAGGGAGAACAGATGGTCAGGGCAAATATCGGTTCTAACCCGTACATGAATGATACTGATACAGTACGGTATGTAAGGAATAACTATTACTAGGTGTCTCCCACTGTCTCCGCCTTCGCTGGCTATCCCCCTGCCCCTCTGTTCTGACCCTCACCTACGATCTTCACCTGGGGGTCCTTGGGGAATGGCCCGAATGGTTGTTTGAGTGGACCTAAGTGGCCGGGAACCCCCTGGAAAACGACCATTCGTTGGTTGGACAGTGATTCTGGCGGCACAAGCGCGACTAAAAACCTGGCTCCTGACTGGTCCCCTCCATGCCAGATGCCCCTCACACATGTCAGTTCCAGCCCGTTCGTCACGTTGAGAAAAAAAAAATATTAGAGCTCTAACCTTTCCAGTCGCACACAGGTTTAGAAGAAGGGACAACTTCCTGTGGTGAACAATTCCTATCAAGTGACTCGGAGTAAATGCCATTGAAAACAGAGAATCCTTCGTCACGAGTGCGTTAGCTCCTCCTGATCGTCGTCATCTATTCCAATATTCCAAGATTTCATCCTTCCAATGCATTAAAAAGGGGTGGTTGGATGATCAGTCATCAGGCACGCAGGCAGGTAGTAAGTTACACAAGAGAACCGTATCCTACGATAGATCACTGTTCACAGTTCGGCTACTCGCTCCTATATATTAATGATTACCATGGTTCCTGAAGTATGATCCAGGTGGTAGGGCGTTTAGCCGTGTAGCCTGCCTCGATTACTGTGCTAGTGTTACTAAGTTGGATACCTACCCACGTATCTGACACAACATTGCCTATTCGGCAGGCCAGTACTACTACATCAGGCAGCAGAAGAATGCTGCTGTACAACAACAGTAAGTTTCGAAAGTCCCAACTACATATGTAAAGCTGGCCGGACCAACCAGCCCTGTGCAGCCTCAGGCCCAACGGCCCATCCCGTGAATCTTTACCGAAAGTTATGCTGGAGAGAATGCATTCCTCAAAGCCCGCTTCGCTGTGTTGATAGTAGTATTACTCCCTAGCCTACCTAACCTATGTATTGTACTTCAGCTTTGGTAGCTTGTCAACACCATACCAACCTGGTACTGGTAACCCCAAGTTGTCGTTCCCTGGTTCAAGTTAATATTTTTTTGGTTAATTTTAGAATATTGGCAGTAGATTGATCAATTAGGAAGTTCTATCCTTCCCAAGTAACTGGATGCAAATCAGATATATAAACAAGCTCCATCGCCCTTCGGCGTCGGCCGTACGATGAGACTGATCAATCGATACTAAGCCCAAATAAGACACGGCGACATCATTGCCGCTCCGTCAATATTTCTATGCACAATGAAGAATAATTACAATTAGACATCTCATAAGTTATTCGAGGGTAGTTGTCCCCAAATCTCTTATCTTTGGAAATTTAAGAGACTATGCCTTAACGTTAAGATACAAGTATGGGTTACTCAACAAGTGTTCTACACAACCTTAAACTTCCTCGGAAAACAGCAAGCTTGAAATTTTGATCTTTCCATTTGCTTCGTATGTCTTATTTGATATATAAGCTTTTCAGGAAAATTACGTAACATTAGAATTCCGCTTAGGACGGCTTGGGTGCTCTTCTCGATATAAGATATTTCATAGCCCTACAACCATATATTAATATTCGGGCCGTCGCCTTTAGGATCATTTCCAATAAGCGTGTCCCCCGAGACAATAAAACAATAAGGGATTCACTCTCGGGTATGCCTTATACGCGGGTTATCTCAAGGGTTGATTCCTCAACTTGT